TGAGTTTTTCTTCTGCTTCAGGTAAAATTTAATACTTATATACCTTAAGTTTCTTGATTTTAAAAAGCACACAATGTTATATAAATCAGCTTTTTGAAATTTGTATATTTTTTTATAATTATAAAACTCACTCTATAAATATTTGAATTACAACCATTCAACATCAGATGCTTACTTTTTATTGGTGACTGTACATGGATTGTGGGTTTTTTTTCGAAAAAAATCCTTTGCTTTATATATCAGCAGTCTGACATTGTTTTCGTGAAAAAAAAATATAATAATAATTGATTCGAATGTCTGGTATCAAAACTGAATAAAAGATTGTGTTACCTACATCTTTGCCCCAATTTCATATTTTGTTTGTTATATATATATATATATGTACCATGATAAACATTTCCAAATTCAAAATGTTTTTTTATAATTCTATTCTCTTTCATCTATAATCAGTAGGCTATTTTCCCAAGGAAAATGCTTCAGGGGATTGTACACTTCGTAAGTGTAGTTATTAAGAGTTCCTTTTCATAATTAATCTACAATGAAAAGTCATTCATGTAAAGCATTTTAAAGTGCATGGAAAGCCATGTACTATGAAAATTAGAAGGGAAAAAAATGACTTTTCATTGGACGAGAAGGGGTGAGTATGTTCTAAACAAAATATAAAGCTTTTTTAATAAAACATTTGCAGAATGACTCTCATAGTATGTAGCCTGGTACAATATCCCAAATAAATTTATGAATGCGCCTGTCTGTTAATTGTCACGAGCACTTTCTGTATGAAGATATTGTTTTTCTATCAGTTGTATGATTAAAAATATCTGTTCAGGTCTAAAACTTATAAGGAAAATATTTATTTATTATCCGTTAAAAGATTTTACTATTTGTAAACTATTTTAATGAGAATCTTCTCGATACATTCACATTAAATATTCATATCCCATTAAGTCCTTTATAATTTACATAGTGTCTTCAATTCAATTATTGATCTTTGCATATCAATCGATAATATTAATATTTGTTTCCTAAACCTTTACGTACTACCTGCTGATATATACGGAAAATAGGCATTTTCCATTTATATAAACAGCAAGTAGAAAAAAATTGAGGTTGGTACGTAAGGAATTTATTCATGGCAACATTTCAAAGCAATTTAACACATAACCATGATAACCTCAATAGTCTGTCGTTCTGATCGCTTGCTATATTTATTGTGAAATGATAACATCAGCTGCTCTTCAACTTCGTACTTTATTTGGCATTTTCAACTTTTTTGATTCGAGCGTCACTGATGCGTCTCTTGTAGACTAAACGCTCGTCTCGTTTACAAAATTTTAATTTTTTTTATCTATGATGAGTTTATTTATGGTACTTCTGTTTTCATTGATTTTTTTTAATATTACTATTTACAAAAAAACGCTTCCTTGTGAAAATGGAATCAGTAGAGTCCTTGCAAAAAATATGCAAAATACTGAAGAATTTCATTTCCCTGCGCTTCTTGCGAAGCTAGTTTTTGCCACAAGATTTTCCAATGGAAAAAAAAATGATAATTTGTCAAAGTCGGTAAGGGTCAAACATGCAAATGGACTTGAAGTTCAAAATTCGAATATAACGAGTTCAAAATAGAATAAAAGTATTACATTTTCTGACTTATATCAATATATGTCGATGGCAGTCTTTGTTAACATTTCTACACTAGGGAATGATTGGAATTAGCTCAGGCAAATATCATGAAAATGCTCTGGGCGATAAAACAGGAAAAGAACAAGTAATATGTTAATTATCTGTCTTCCATCTGTCTTTACCACCCTGCTCAGATTTTTACAAGCTTGAATATTTTTAGAGGAGATGAGAAAGATGATATAAAAATCAGGAAGACCGATAGTTTACATTATACTGTTTCTTATTCTGTCGATCGCCATAAGCATTTTTCATAATATTTCCCATGAATGATAAGCTTAATATCAATCAATATTTTTTTTTAATGTAGTTATAAATTCAGTAATCCAGTCGCGAAAATGATGAATTCACAAAACAGGTTATTCAGTAACAAGAGGGAAAGCTATAACTCTGTGTTCCCCTTAATTCTGTCGTAGTTATATTCCTACACCAGACACGGGGAGAATTCAAATAGGATTTTAGGCATTGTCTTCTGGTGTCGATCTCTTGCAGTATTGAAATTATTTAGCAATTCATTTATCAATGCTGTTGAAAAGTCTAATATCCAAATTTCATACAGGGAACAATTTTGCTATGAAAAAAAATCATTTGCATCCTGTACTTTGTAATATACGTGTTGTATTGTATGTGTAAAAATATGATTGTTATTTTATTGTCCGATGCAGAATGAAATTGATGCTGAATGTCATTTCTTCCTGTTCTGTGATTTTACTCAGAATATTTGTGAAAAATTGTTTAAACATTTTAATACTGCAGAAAATATTTCTAATAACTTGACACTTATTAGTTAAGTTACAGTTAAGTCTCCCTCGTATCTTGACTAACACCTAGAAGTTGACAATGAGGGTCGGTTTGGAATTTAACTTTACGACAAAAGTGATGAATTCCCTTTCCATTTTTATGAAGCAACATTCTAGCAGCGAGTCCATAAGGAAAATATATCTCCCAGTTGATATGCTATTTCAGGGCTTGCGTTTCCTATCATGATTTCCTTGATAATGAGGGGCACTGCTTAAAATGAAGCTATTGCACCAAGGGTTCCAAGTACTAAAGTTGAAGTCATCCCTTCGAAAGTTTTTCGGAAGCCAAAATATTTGGTTGAGCGTAATGGTATATCTGTGTCACTTATCATTACGGATACGTTCCACTTGTTAAAAAGATCCCATCCTTTTTTCTCGATTTTAACATTATCAAAAGCGCCTTATTATCGATTATTAACTTGCTTGAACAACACGACGGGTGTCACATGTGGAGAAGGGACTGCATACCCTTCCGGAGAACATGAGTTCACACCTGTTTTTTAATGGGTTTCGTGTTGCTAAATCGTTAGTTTTCTGTGTAATATTGTTTGTTATCGTGGTTTTTTTGCAATGGTGTTTTTATTTAACTTATGATTTTCGAATGACTCTTTTCTCTTTTCACGACAAACGTTGAATCCGTCAACACCAAGCGACATCAAATAGTCAGTAATACCAATTTTCTGTTTATATATTTTGTCATCACTCATAATACAATAAAACGGATAATATGAATTACCAATTATACTAGACAGACCACTCAAATAAAAAATAAAAACAAAAACTGCCTAGTTGGTTACAAAAAGGACGACCGCTTGCCTGAACAATGAAATAAAAAATCCGCTTATAATTTGGAAAGCCGAATGTGCTTGCTACTACTTATCTATAGAGGTTGGTTGATACCTTCGCTCAAGAAAACAAAACAAAAATCAGAAACACTCAGACACAACAATGTTTCAAAATAATTGGGATTGTTTTGTATTTATAAGATAAGCAATATACCAACTTCACCTGCATATGGGATATACATTTCCCAACTCATTCGGTATTCAAGAGCTTGTAGCTGCTACTCAGACTTTATAAAACGTCATCAGTGTCTGAGCAGAAAGTTGATGAACCAGGGTTATGTCAAAGAACATCTCGTCCTTTTTCTAAAATAGTCATTTGGAAGATACGAAGACCTTGTTGATAAATATTCCTTATCAACTTCACAAATAATACATGATGGTCTTGAAGTATATATTCTAGGTACTGACGTTGTTTATCATCTTAATAACGTGTTATGTGTTCTTTTTATTTGTCTTTGTATATTTTTAACATTTACTGTTTAGTCCATTTTTTGGTAATATACTTTTGGCGTGACTATATTTATACATCCCGCCAATGTGTTATTGTGCTATGGACATTTTTGTATTCTTGTCTTTCATTTTTGAGCATATACTTTGTCTATAGAGTGTCTATATGCCATTTTGGTTTCTTTGTTGAAATAGTTATTTGTTTTTATAGTGATTTAGATTATATCACAATGTTGACTGCTGTATCCCAACTTTTGACATTTTTATCTATTATGTCTGTTTGTTTTGCTCACACATTGTTGTAAATATAATGGAATTCTATGCGACTGTCATACAAGTGAGAGGTTTAGCTAGCTAAAAAACCAGGTTTAATCCACCATTTTCTACATAAGGAAATGCCTGTACCGAGTCAGGAATATGACAGTTGTTTTCCATTCCTTTGATGTGTTTGAGCTTTTGATTTTGCCATTTGTAAAAGGACTTTCTGTTCTGAATTTTCCTTGGCGTTCGGTATTTTTGTTATTTTACTTTTTATAAAATTAGCTTTTTTTGTCAAATTTGGGCAACAGTAGTTTATAGATGTTCAACCTCAAAAATCGATTACAAAGACAAATCAAGCCAACAATTTAAATACTGAGAGAACTGCAAAAGCGACAATACCGGATGCGTCGACAAGATAAGCGTTTCAAGCTATGCATACATCAAAGACTGGTATTAACATTTTATTTGATTCATATTACCCCATTCTTTTGTCTATTATTGTCTGGAGGTGCTTGTGAAATAAAGATGTTTTGATCAAAGGAGAACTTTCAGCCGTATTTTTTTTTCTTCATGCGTTTCTAAGTCTGTGACCGACAATATGGTTTACAAGGTATAACGAGTACAGGAGATCTTTATATATTGATAACTAATACATTACATGATGACATTTTTAATTCAGCCTTTACAGTACGACAACCTAAGTTGTCAAGATACCGTTATATATGATTGAATAGTTCCTTCTATTGGTATAAACACCTTATTGACATGTAGGTCCGCAAGGGTTCTTGCATTCAACTCAAATTCTAAAATTTAAGTTTAAAATGAAAAATTCTTAGTTCTGTTGGCTTTGTCCATAGGAAAATTTGAAAAGTACATTTTGAAATTTCAAACTTTAATTGTATAAAATCAGATATATTTTTAATATGTTTTACCTAAGTATACCTTTATAACTGTTTCTTTGGTAACATGGTGGTGATATACTTTTAACAGTGCAGAAATTTCTAAATTTGTACATCTGTTCCAAAGGTAAGTTTAATTATTATCATATTCAGACAAATAGTGCAGAGTGTGATCTGTGGCTCATTTTATTTCAATTTTTAACCATATGCAGACATAATTTTAATTACAGAGACGATCAGGATTTTTGTATTTGAAAAGGAAAATGCTTGAGCGATTAGATTAAAAGAATATCAGGGCGACTGAGAGTTGCCGCTCTTTTTCGTATTCAAAAATAAAGGAACCAGGCTTATGAATTAGTACGCCAAACGAGTGTTTCAATATCCACAGGTTATCAATATTGCTGGCAATATACTATCACATCATGTGTTATTACCGAATAGAAATATGTACAACAGGACGTTTATGCTACCGAGACTAAGATTATCTTTGGATTCTATATTGTCCCATGTTCATCACTCCTATAAAGCAGTCAATTATTTGACAACTAGAAGGTAAAGGGCAGAACTGTTTTTCAGTATCATTTGACACTTTAAAATATTTATGCGTACTGATTACAGAAATGAAAACTCCTCTTTTTATTTTTCGAGGCTAAGAATATCTTCTTTGTATTAATTCTAGTATGTTACGCATATTATGTTGGACAAAAGCTTCTGAAGATTTGTGTTTATATCTGCTTTAAAAATGTCCATATAAATTTGGAAATTAATGTGTGTATCTATTAATGTGAGGTTTAAAATTTCTTTTAATAAATATTTAAAAAAATATGTTAAAGATAATGCATATATTAAGTTTTTCTTTAAAAAATTGAGAATCAGGATAGAATACTATATAATTTCACCTCGCATATGTGCGTTAAAGACGTGTTTTGGTACTAGTATTACAATCTTATAAATGGTGTAAATGATTATTTCTGCCTAAACCTTTAAGGAATATCTAAGATATAAAATGGTATAGAAAACCCCCAATTGGCAACAACACACGATTACTATCAAATGATGTTTTAACAAACTGTAGTTTGCATTATAATCGGAATAAACTATGACCTGAAACAGGTCATTATTTTATACCTTGAAGCACTTGTTATTGAAACTTAAAAAGAACTTCTTTAAAAGAATAACTTATCGTTCTGAAAGGAAATAACTGCATATAAGTATATAAATACAATATAAACAACCTTTTACAGTCACTATTATTGACAATATTCTATCTTACAAGTTGTCTTATTCTACCAAATGAAAAATCTTCTAGCTGTGTAATATCTTTTTTTGATGCAAAGCACTATTTTACATATCAAATAAGTTAAGATTATAATCTCTGAGCTTTGTCATTACTCTGTAACACAAATTTATTACATTATAAATATCTTTTCAGTAGCAACATTAAAATACTCCCCCAAGAAAGAGTCAACAGTATTTGACAAATGTTTCATAAATCCTTAAAGAAGATGCAAATTACGGTTAAAAACAAAAACTGAAAAAAATTGGATGAACTACAAGAAGGAGCAATACCGGGTGCGTTGACAGGGTTACGTGCCCGGCTAGGCAATTTTTCTATCTATGCACATGATATTAAATCTAGCCTAGTATCTAAAAACACATATCAGCTGTCAGGAACAAGGTGATCACAAACCCACATTCCAATCAGTGCATCATTTGAAGTAATTGTCTGTACCATAAAGAACCCGAAAGCTGGACAACATTACTGCATGAAAAAATCCTGGTGACTCAAATGGCTACACAGTAACTTGTTAGTGCCCAGACCAGGATATCAATTAATTTAGTAAATGTACTATAATGGAAACCTCCGTGTATCTTAGGCCGCGTTCACACTGCCAATGTGAAACATGTTTTGTGTACACAAGTTGTGTTGTTTTCATCTTTGAAATAAACACTATTCAATTGTTTGACATTCATTTAATTCTATATTCAAAAGTTAATTAATAATTATAAGCTACAAGTGTTTCCAAAAATAACGCGGTATTTATTTATAATTAATGTTCAAAGTTTCAATGAAACTTGTTTCAAGCTTGTTTAAGCCTCAGTGTAAACACGGCCTTATTCTTTAAAATAATTAAACTCAGTCTATTTGTTTGCTGCCGCCTTTGCAGTGCATATGAGTTTACAAATTCAGTCAATAATAAACAAATATATTGAGAACTTGATACAACATTTGTTTATCATCAACTAAAAATAGTTCTGTCGTTTGTTGTGTCACATAACCGGTTCTTTCAACTATTGCAATTCCAACGCAAAAGTACGGGACTCAAACCCCCCAAAAAAGATTGAAAAAAGGCAAACGATCGTCTCTCTTGAATACTATTAAATTGCAAAGGCTTTATCTATACAGATTTCAAGTGTCGAAAATGAATAAATAGTTTGACTTTGATCGATTTTCAAATAAATTCATCTCGTTTTCTTATGGATGACGTACTGACGCAGGATCAGGATACCGTTGGGTGACGCAATCATAAAGTAATAGAATCTGTCGACTCTTGGACGAAGTAAAGCGACATCAATTAAACACACTAGAACAACTGCAAAAGGAAAAGACGATAACCCGTCAATAGTTTTATGGAATTAATCTGGATGTATGTGAGATCTTTGTGGTGCTGAGGAGTTATATCAACCGTTTAAACACCAACAAATTATCGAAATAATTAATACTTGTGAGGCACTACTGAAAATGGTGTTTTGTAGGCATGAAACCGGACTTAATGGTTTATGTTGAAGGCCGAGAAATCAACCACCAAGCAGAATGATGAAAATATTGAAATCAGGGGTAATTAAGATCCAAATGATCAAAACTGTGATGGAACTTCGAATGAAGATAGCTTGAGGGGTACATTATTTAGAAATGAATAAAAGGGTACATAATACGCCCATTTCTAGAATAAAAAACTTCAAGTACTCGCAAAGCGATTTGTGTTCGTACCGGCTGACAAAGCAGCCAAAAATGTCTCCACAGAGAGTCATATCATTACCACTTATCAGCTTAAGGCCTCCTCTGAACATTTGAAGGTCCCTAGTATGTACTTGTTACCTAAACTACACAAAAAATAAAGTGTTTTTAACTAGTTCCTTACCTAAGAACTCATCATTAACTTCTTTGATAAAGCATATGAAAATAGTGGTATAAACAATTTTGGGGTGTACATTTTTATTTTTGATGTTTCAGATACATTACGTGCTTGTGATGGTCCTTTTAATTTGGTTGATAGTATTTCGACTCTCAACACAACACTTTTACATTATCTTATTGAACAAAAGTGTATCTTTTTGATTAAATGGTCGTTTGAAAAATGTTATTTAAATGTATCTGCTGCAGCTCATATAAAGCCTTCCTCTGAATTGAAAACGGTAAAATGCTAGATATACTTACTGGAAGTGTGATGAGATGAATAAAGCTCTAAATTTTCTCCTTATCAACATTTATATTGTCTCGGCAATAAAGTTTATCGACAGGATATAGATATTCAAATGGACACCAATTACATCCCTTTGATAGCTGACGTGTTCCTGTACTGTTATGAATCACAGTTTATGGCAAAACTCAGTAAAGACATCATGAAAAATCTGTGTTTGGCAAGATTTTGAATAAGATCACGAAGAGTGTTGATGTCAACTGGAAACGACGGTAGACCAGGCGCTTAAACTCATGACCAAGCAAAATTTCCGTCAACTAGTCGTATTCAACAAAGAACTGGTTGCTATTCACACGAAGAAGACCAAGCTCGTCATAATCACCAAAGTTGTTTTTATAAATGCCATTATCATTTATTAGTATTGAAGTGAGATACTCTTCGTTTGCATTTCTTTTTACCTCTCGGTCCCATACTTTTCACTTAAAATTGCAATAGTGGTGCAGACCTATCATTTTGACACTACTGTTGTGCAGATGGATTTATAAAATTCTAGTCTTCTCATGATCAATTTGAGTAACTTATTTTACACAATGTATAAAGGACATCTGAGAGTAATACGTTTGATTCATATCATTTCTTTTCTAGAAAAGAAAGGTCTCTTACTATTCGCTGATGTCTGGCGTAATTAAAATGTTTTATGGGCGAACTGGATTCTTGCATCTTTTAACTGACAAGGTCATTATGTCTGCTTGATATCTCAAACATCCGTCTGTATGCTAATTTAAAATATTGTGTCAGGGTGGTGATGCGTCTTCAAGAAGACTATAATTTTGTGACTTGAAATTCAACTAATCTTTGTCAGTATAGCATGTGCAGTGATGGCAGAGGAGATTTTATCGATACCACATCAATGTGTTCTAGTCTTGAATATTATTGAAAGTTTAACATTCGTCCATCGACTCATCCATCAATCATTTTTTCCATCAATCCATCCATACATTATTCAATCAGAGGAATTTTAATTGATTGTTTAATACAATCTAAGCATTTAAAATACAAAGGAGACTGTGTCATTTTACCGCATGTTACACGATGCACTTGTATTTTACAGATGAGAACTCGCTGCTGTCATGTGTTATTGTTCTATTTATCGACAATTATAACGGAGGATTTTAGTTATACACACTGCCAACAGCAAGATTTATCACCATTACTGTATCTTTATGGTCTTGGTAAGTAAATCTCATCTCATCGAACAAAATAAATTAATCAAGCTATATATCAGTCAAGAAGAGAAAAATACACTAGCAGCTGCAGACAATAAATACGTGACTGCAACCACTGGCTTTTGACAGCCAGTGGTCATGGGCTCTCTGCCTGCTATAGATGTGTTTTTGTGATAACTGTTTCTCTGCAGAGAACTACATAGATATATACCAAATTATATAAGGTTTTAATCCTTGCAAGAGACTGTTTATGTGTTAACAATATAGCAGAGACATATTATACAAGATATTGGCACCCTCATTCTATGGCCATATAACTTATTGAAATATCATATTCATAAGACTATTTCGTTATATATAACTATTTAATCATCTGCTGCCATATTCCTTTCATTTAATTTTTTTCTGTCATAGTACAAATATGATGTTATAAAAGATTGATAACAAGAAGATTTCTTGATAGCGTATAGTAGCTATTATTATGTATTTTGTAATTTTTTTTTAGAAAATAAGTAGTTAATTCGTAATTTAACATTTTCAAAGAAATCACAACGGTCATGTGATATCACGAGACTTCACCTAGTTGCCAATCACCTGTTATATACCCCAAAAAAATTGTTTCCAGTAAAAAGCAAGGCAAAATATTCATTTCCAAAATCCCCTCCCCCCTTTTCTGGATATCAAATGGTCATCCCCTTAAGCTATATGTTAAGTGAAAATAATGCATATTATGACTACTGTATTTTTCTTATTTCAGGTTCAGGACTCACAATAGGAAGTTCCATATGTCCAACATGTCCTAAATGTAAAAAATGTCAAATTGTCAGTCGGCCTTTGATTACTCAATCAACAGTGACATGTCCCCCAGCAGTATCCATACTGGCAAATACCATTGAACCATGTCAATGTCCCACAACCACAGGTCAACCTTGTAATGCAAACGAATTGCAATCATTGAGAGACGAAATTGTGGACTGGAATCATTGTCAAACTATATCTAATACGCAACAATGTAATGATGACCCTAGATGTTTTCATAATGTTAACTGTGGGCCCAAAATAAATAAATGACACCTGTTGGCATTATTCTACTCTGGTGATTTATATTTTCCAATACTTTTCCTACAATATTGATCAGATATTACCTTAGATGGTTTTAGCTATTGTTTTAAATTTCCTTTAGCTCCTCAAGTATTTATCATAGCAATAAATATAACAAATAGATGTGGTATGATTGCCAATGAGAGTACAATCTACCAGAGTTCAAATGCAGTGGATGTAAGTAATTATAGGCCACTGCAAGACCTTCAACAATGAGAAAAACCCATTCCATATAGTTGGTCCTAAAAGGCTCCGACATGAAAAATGTGAAATAATCCAACAAGAAAACCAACCATGCAAAGGTTATTTTAAAAGTGTTTATTGATGTGTAAACTTGCCCTTCACCCACAAACTGGAAGGACTTTATATAAAAAGAAGATGTGGTATGATTGCCAATGAAACAACCCTCCACAAGAGACCAAATGACACAGAAATTAATACAGTAAAATAAATAGAACATTAATATATGTAGACAGCTCTCTCACAAGCAAAAAACCGTAACTGTAAAAATATAAGGGCATACATCACAGGCTCGGGGAAACATTCTACTGCATCCACACAGCACATGTAAAAAAAAAAACCTCCAGTAAATATAAAAAGAAGATGTGGTAGGATTACCAATGAGACAACTCTCCACAAGAGACCAAATGAAACAGAATTTAACTCAGTTAAAGAAATAGAACATTAATATAATGGAATAATATGTTCACCCACAAACTGAAAAGACTATGTTAACTCACAAACAGGATGGACTTTATGTTCACTCACAAACAGGAGGCCCGAGAACACAGTTATTTCGTAGTGCATTTCTTTTAGACAATAAATTCAAATTAAAAAAATCGCACCTGCTCTATCTCAAAAAGATTTTTACAGTGTAGTGTACTACTATTGATACAAATAATATCAAAATTATAGAAACTTCTACCAGCTCTAACTCAAAATATTGACAATTCTGTGTTAAGGGGGGCTAAAATTCAGTTCGACAGCTTCAGACATTCTAATTTTTGACCTTTTTTAACTGGACCAAATCACTACTTAACATAAAGATTCAGCACCCAAATTTTTTTAACATGTAATTCATCCCCTTACTTAATATTTCATGCATAAAATATCAAGAAATAAATTCGGAAAGTGTATCAAAAAAAAAATGCAAGTTATACACTGTTCACACTAGGGACTATATTCGTAGACAACGAAAACCAAAGGACGATAACTGTGTCCTTGGACCTAATAGGATAGAAAGACTTGACCAATTTTAATAAAACTTTGCATGACCTAAGCTTAGGAAAGTAGAAGATAGTTGGCCAAGTTTCATGGCCATAGGATATATATTATAGAAACTAGGGCCATTTTAATATTGAAATTTGGATGTTTATTTTTGACGTTTAAATCAAATATTTTCAACTGTCAAGATTTTGGCCTAAAAAATTTAAATATTGCAAAAATTTGCTTTTTAAATACTCTTGAATATAATATAATAAGTATTAAAAGCAACGGAACACTCATTTGATTTATCAAATTTATTACAGTTATTCAAAAGTCAAATTTATATGAGCCTGTGCCTGAAAATAGAGATTTTCGAATTAAGGGAAGCCTTACATAAACATGCATTTTTTTCAACCAATTTGAAGTTTTTGAAGTTTTTAACCATACATTATTATTTCATATATATTAAATGTACTTTAAATGTAAAGAAAAGTTACAAAAAGAATACCACATGAGTATAAAATGGTCTTAGGCCATGTAAGACTGAAAATTATTTAGAGTCGATTTAGGCCGTAGCCCATATTTACATATAAAAATGCACACAGAGGCTATAAGAAATGGAAATTTGTTACTTTTTGCTCATTTCTATGCTAAGATGTCATGATACAAAAAGTCTAATTGCAAAAGGACTCTTGAATTCAACTTTTTTTGCAGACAGTATGGTCTGATGACCAGTTTTTCACTTTTCAATGGAAAACTTGCATGTAGTTTTATAGTCTCAATTGGCATATATTTGAACCACGTACTATCCTAAAGAAGAAAATTATGGTAGCATATGAAACGATTAAGGTGTACTGATCATTGTAAAGTTGTTTTTTTACAGATTTAGTGAAATATTTGTGATGGACTACAGATTTTATTTACAAAGCTCTTCACATTTCACATACATCAAACAGGCCGTTTAACCAGGGACATAAATACAAATATTCTGCACATTTTTTCTGTGATAATCTACTTTTCTCTAGATTCAGAGTTCACAAATGATTTATTAAATTTGATTTAAGCATAGAAACACAAATATCAGGAACATAAAAAGCTGTCAGATAGAAAGTCAGCATGGCTCTTAGGCATAAAATGGAAACTGCTTTAAAATGCTTATTTTAGCCGTATAATGCCAAAATGTGACATTTTAACAGAATTTCTGTCAAACAAAGATGTAAATCCTTTACTTTTATTGAGTTTGACAAATTGAAACCAGCAAACCATTCAGGAAAGTTGCCAAAGTACAGAATCTACATTTATGGAATTCATCTCTTAGGCCCGAGAACACAGTTATTTCGTAGTGCATTTCTTTTAGACAATAAATTCAAATTAAAAAAATCGCACCTGCTCTATCTCAAAAAGATTTTTACAGTGTAGTGTACTACTATTGATACAAATAATATCAAAATTATAGAAACTTCTACCAGCTCTAACTCAAAATATTGACAATTCTGTGTTAAGGGGGGCTAAAATTCAGTTTGACAGCTTCAGACATTCTAATTTTTGACCTTTTTTAACTGGACCAAATCACTACTTAACATAAAGATTCAGCACCCAAATTTTTTTAACATGTAATTCATCCCCTTACTTAATATTTCATGCATAAAATATCAAGAAATAAATTCGGAAAGTGTATCAAAAAAAAAATGCAAGTTATACACTGTTCACACTAGGGACTATATTCGTAGACAACGAAAACCAAAGGACGATAACTGTGTCCTTGGACCAGGATGAACAAACAGGATGGACTTTATGATCACCCACTAACAGGATGGACTTTATGTTCACTCACAAACAGGATGGACTTTATGTTCACTCACAAACAGGAAGGACTTATGTCACTGACAAACTGGAAGGATGTTATGTTTGTAAGTGAAAGGATGAGTTTACACATTGATAAACTTTGTACAAATAACCTTTATTACTTATAATTCCAATGAAACTCACTTAAAAGTATGCCCAGATTACATATTTCATGAACACTATCTCGCTTGTGTTGGAATTCATTCTATATTTCTATATACAGCCATCCTTACTTCATCTTTTTAGAAATATCTCTATTCATTGAATATCTATTAACCAGTAACTCCTAGTTATGAGTTAATAATTTGTCAGAACCATGTATGTTATTTATTTTCTTTATTTGACTATCATGATTTTTTATAATACAAGTTCTTATACATTTAATACAGTGTGTAGTGGACATCTAAAACAATGCAAAATATAAAACACATATCCACCCTAAATTGCACAAAATATCCATATTTCAATAAAATTCATACACATTGCAATATTTAATCATTTAATAATTGAAAATAGATATATTTCTTCATACCACAAAAAATGTGAAACACTACATAGGTACACAATATTGTTATAATTCAAAATTAGTAAAAAAAAATGATGTATTGTCTCTGAAAGGACTATTTCTTCCTATGCAACTGTATTTCCAGATTTATTAACACCAATATATATGTACTCTCCAGTGACATTGTTGTAACTTGTAAGCAAGACAAATCTCTCCCCCTCCCAATAAAAATACTGAAGTAAGTTCTTTATTGTAGTAATACAGTAGCAAGTAAAATTTCCCTATGACTTTACATCAGTTTTTTAAGAAAATGCCAAGAATAGGTGTACACAAACACCTGAAAAACAATACTTATCTAAAATAAATAAACAATAAAATTCATTATTGAACTTCAAAATTTGGTTCCATCATGCTGATTCTAAGCTCAGTATGTTTAACATAATAGAAGTTGTCTATACACAGACCAGCTTTTCTTGAAACAATTCAACTTTATGTACATTTTCATTACTTTTTTTTGTACGCTCTTTTTTTTCTTTTCATCCTTTCCAAAAGTCACAGATGTGTTATAAAAGATGTTTCTTCACATTTTATGCCATCACAGAAGGACCATATTTTTTGCCCTCTAGTGTGTGTCCTGATGCTGAATATCCAGATGATCCCTGAAAGTACAGATGTACACTCTTAAAAATAAGGTTTTTAAGAATTATTCAGATGAAGTTATTGTTTCGGGTGTATGAAGTATTTCCATACAAAACATTCAAAACAATACTGCGACTTTGAGATGAAGAACAGCAGAAAAAGCAATTTTCCCTGGCTTGTGGTTTGTCTAGTGCATGTTGGGATTTTGTGTCATGAACTAATACACCATATCACTTTCTTAATTTAAATAAACCCAACCTACAATATGTAAGTATACCAAATTAGAGTCGTTTAGCTTAATTTTAACATGTGAAACTGCAAGCTACTGCTCACTGATGATACCCTGCCCAAATATAATAGAAATCCTTATTATGTAGTTCCTGAGAAAGATGCGACGAAAATATTCATGGGACGGATGGACAGACTGACAGATGGACGGACAGACATAGGTAAAACAGTATACCCCCACTCTTTTAAAGCGGGGGTATAATAAACTCAACCTAATGGTTTCAGAGAAGAGTTTTCCCTAAAACAAGTTAATGAAGACTAACAAAAGAATACAAACTTACGCACCATAGTGATTAATATTTTTCACATATAAGACAGAACAGGTCCTATGGTGAAATAAAAAATATATACATGAATTTTACCATGTCTTTAGATTCAATGAAACATAACTAAAGGTAAGCCTGAACAATTTTCATATGATTTTGAATCAAACAATACTAAAATGGAATACAAGACAAAATATGAGATCCTTCAGATAAAATTTTAATCATTTCAACTTTAACAAGCCTGGTGAAATCTCTAGTGTATGAGATTTTCCTGTCATGTGAATTTTCATAAATTACAATCATGACAATAATCCCTCACACTACAATATATTCTCAACTTTACTTTTGAAATCAAAATCTTCCATACTTACTCTTTGTAATGGTAGGATGTCTTTTTCTGTCATTTTCTTGCCATTAATTGGATCTAACATGTCTTTCTTTATTAACTTTTCTACACATTCCATTGTTACAACACTGCCTCTGCATGATAAAATTCATGTCAAATGTCAAATTCAATTGTAATTTTTAATTGTAATTTTCATTTATAATAAAGTTTTTTAATGCCCATGTAATTCAGAATTTAAAAACTGCAGTTTTAAAACAACAAGCCACACATTCTAATATGACATTCTTCAAAAATATAAGCATTTTACTGAATGTCATTAAAACAAGGAAACATAAACAAACGATGATAAAATTTGTTAAAAGCCATTTTTACATATAGTAAGATTATTATTTCAATTCATCCAAACTTATCTAAGTACGTTATTGTAAATAGTTTAAGCATGTCACTAGTTCAGTTTTCTACGTTCTTTTACGTTAATATTGACATAAAAGAACGTATACTGATTTTACCACGGGTTTGCACTTTATGCCGATATTTTTCCCCTCGCTATTGCTTGTGGTAAAATATTTAGCATAAAGGGCCAACCCTTGGTAAAAAAAGAATAAATTCAAGCCCCCATGAATTATTTCTTAATCGACAACATGCAGCCAAATTGGAGGAATTTACATTGTTATAAACAATACACACTGGTCTCAATTTTTAAATTGAGACCATTAGCTTCTTTTCTTGAGCAAACATTAATCTTTATAAAAGGATATGGGAGGTACTGTCAATTAGACAGAAACCGTATGACACAAAAATCAAAATATCTAGTGGGAATTTTACATTATTCAACAATGGACAGATGTCTATGCAATATATACATCAAACTATAAAACATGCTGAGTCTAGAAAATTTGTGAAATAATTAAATAAAAAGTATCTATTCATAAACAAATATCCCACAATTTTGTCATGCTGTTTATTTTTTTAACCCTTTTTTCACTATTGCTACTGTCTTTCAAAATATTATAGAATTTGCATTTATCAGTAAAACTTATATATCATGACAAAGAGCCATCTCCATCTTGCTGCAATTAATAGTTCTTCTGAATGTTTCAAAATTACATCAGATATAAAAATAAGAAGATGTGGTATGATTGCCAATGAGACAACTCTCCACAAGAGACCAAATGACACAAAAATTAACAACTATAGGTCACTGTACGGCCTTCAACAATGAGCAAAGCCCATACCACATAGTCAGCTATAAAAGTTAACAAATGTAAAACTATTCAAACAAGAAAACTAACAACCTGATTTATGTACAAAATAATGAACGAAAAACAAATATGATATACAGCAACAAACGACAACCACTGAGGATTACAGGCTCCTGGCTTGGGACAGGCACATACAGAATGTGGCAGGGTTAAACATGTTAGCGGGCGCCCAACCCTCCCCCTAACCTGGATACCCATTTCTTATATAAAACCACTAACTATTCTACATTATTGTGGCATATTTAATTTATATATGTAATTATGATATATATTTATATATGTAATTATGATATATATTTATATATGTAATTATGATATGTATTTATATATGTAATTATGATATATATTTATATATGTAATTATGATATATATTTATATATGTAATTATGATATGTATTTATATATGTAATAATGATATGTATTTATATATGTAATTATGATATATATTTATATATGTAATTATAATATATGGTTTCACACCATTAAATCTACTTCATTCATCTAGCTAAAATCTTTCATTTAGGTAAGTCTTTTAACTCCATCAAATGAAATCATTAATTAACTTATAAATAAACATTTTGTACTTGATTTAGCTATATACAGAAACAAGAAACTTACGAAGTTTTAAGAACTGCACATGGGACAGAATTACCAAGGACATCATTTGTAACAGCACATACATATCTAGCCTGTAAAAAAATATGTATATAACATGAAGCATAGAGAAATTTTCAGTTTGACCAAAAGATATTATTGTAGTAATTAAATCAATTCTAAGAAGCCAGTGGCTAAACATCTTAGAAATGGTTTATATATCTACAATAATCTAAAATATGTTCCCTTTTTGAATTTCTACACAAGAATAAAGATATCAAATTTGTAATTTTCTACAATAGTCCTCCTGATGCACATGTGTTCCTTAACTGATTTCGGTGTTATTTTGAATTTATTACTCTTCATCATTTAACCTGTATTTGGTTTTGAGGCCCACAGCTAGTGGACTGCTAGTCCATGAGAGTCACAGCTACTGGACTGCTTTGATACTGGTATTTTAGAAATTTTCAGAGCATTCAAAATAAATGATAATAAGACTTTTTAAATTTCATAAAATATCTGCTTTTCTGGAGTAACCTTCATCAGGAACGCTCAAACTTAAACATTCAAAGCCAGGGGATGTATCACTTCAAAGAAACATCAGAGGTTATATGACAAAAAGGAATCTAAAAGAATAGACAAATTCAACCAATAAAGATGTTATATATTTTTTTTTTCTAGTGTTATGCTACTCATGTTCAGGTGTTCCTTAAGCTGGTTTGGTACTATTTTTGGGTGTTTCTTTTGGTTTACTGTTCTACAATTGATGATACTTTTGGAGCACCATTGATGAGAAATATAGATTCCACCACTGCATCAAGTGTATTACGATATTTCTCCTCTCAAGACAGTTAAATTTTTAAAAGTGATGCTTGCCGAGCTTTTAAAATATTTAAAATTTAACTGTTGAGAGTGGAGAAATATTGTAATACACAAGATAAAGTGGTGGAATCTGTTTCTCTGATGATTTTAAGATGATATCTAAACAAGTTTATCCTTCCTTTTCATAGATTTGCAGAAAGTTGTGTTCTTTATATGAGACGTCATCAGGCATGTGCGCCTTTTTTCATGAAGTCTCAATAGGAAATTCAGAAGAAATCAAGAAATTTTGCATCATAATTGAAATTTCGACCAATTATTTGCCGAGAACAGTTATTTCACTAGTGAGGGGAACAAGGTTTTCACAATCGGTTGGGAAATGTGAAAAAAGTGAAAAAATTTGAGAAATAAATTTTCAAAATGTGCACATGGTAAAATATCTAAACCGCTTCTCTGAAATGATGCCTCAAGATGCATCATAATGCTCTAACAGACTGACATTCATCTTCTATATATCCATGATTATATGAGGACATAAGTATTTTGTATCTAGTGTTAACTCTTAAAGATTTCCTCTCACACCTCTTAAAGATAATGCAAGGTTGTAGCAAGGCATTTTAATTGCTTTTGTTCTGGGTGAAGAGATACACAATAATTTATTTCCTCAATAGTGTTTTGTTAACAAGACGCCAAAAAAACATAACTGGAAGTCACTAAATTAGTACACAGAAACTGCCTTTGCAATTTGATTTCACTAATATTGCATGTGGCTGTTCTTTCATCATTTTTTCTCATTGTACTATTGAAAAACTTTTTATTGCACATGACTGACAGACAGATGTCCAGTCGACCTTGACATGGCCTGGCTAAAACATATCATCTGTCAATCAAACAGACAGTAGAAACTTTATCAATATTAAAGTGTGAACTAATGACAATAGTATATTCCTTCTTCACATAATGAAATTTCAATGACATTTTTAAACACTGTGTAAGCATTGCATTCTTTCTTACCTGTTTTGATATAAGAGCTGTTTTAGAATCTCTGTCATTTATTGGTGTAAACTTGACATCAAGCATATCTTTTAACTTGATTGGTCTACCGCTCATTGGACATCTTACTTTTTCATCCTATAAAATATTAACAATTATTTTTTTTAAATAATGTATTTAAGTTATTAATAAAGTATATAAAATGTTTGCTTGTAGCATAACAATTCCTCTTGGGTCCCTTATATCATTGGAGCAATAGAGAAAACAGCAATCATGTTGACTGCACCATGTAAGTTTTTCTAAGGAATACCTAAATTAGAATAAGAAAACCATTCAATGACATATGAAAACAAATAAAGCCTCTTAAAGGTCTTTTATCTCCAAAACAATAAGAGCTAATTTCAAATCTAATTGAAACAATAAGGAAATTTCAAAATCTTGGATAAGGCCCCTTAAATTCAGAAATGGCATATAAAAAATATCATATTGGTTGATGTCCCATGAGAAAAAGTTAAAAAAAAATTAAAAAAAAAGGTCAACATTCACCATGGAAAAGTGAAAGTACGAATTTTTAGCTCTTACAGCATTTTACTTAAGGTTGGACCCAGACTATCTTTATTTGAAATCCCAAACTTCCTTTAAAGGCAAGGAACATTAGGTAAAAATTATGAAACTGATCTTTCCCGTCATGCTCTTTAGTCATTTAACATGGAAAGACATTATAATTGTCAATATCTTTACACTAAGCAAATATGAGGTGTATGTTGACGAATATGATGCTTCCCCAAAAAGAAAATTAAAAAAAAAATTTTGTTCTGAAAAATGTATACAAATATAATCCTTACCCATGTTAAAAATGAGCATAGAGCATAAATGAAAGAACTCTTTAGATTCTAATAGGAAAAATTAAGAACTTTTTTCTTTCGTAATGGACCTAAAAGACAAGCTCAAAAAGTATCCATTTTGACTTGATGAAGCAAAAACTTTCAAGAAAACCAAAATTTTCCAAATCAGAAATTGTTTAAAAACATGTAAGACATGCTTTTTATATTATTTTCTTTATCAAATTTTCTAGTGAGCAAAACCCACAGAAATATCCATTTTGATCTTTGGAATCCTTCAAAGTACAATTTTAATTGTGATGTCATGAGCATTAACTCCATGTTTTGTTGGAATTAGAACTTAACTTTGTTTACAAAGCTAAAGAAGAGGGCTATGTTAGAATTTCTGAATTCTCATGAAATTGCATGGAGTACATTTTGTCATAAGATTGATGCCAACAATAACACAAGAGTGAACATGTTGAAATGGCTTGTCTGCTTTACTTATCATGATTGAATTTCATACCATACACCAAATTTAGTAAGACTATTGCTTATAGTATGTGAGAACCAGACCTAATTACGAAAATTGAACATTGACCAATGAACCATCAAAATGAGGTCAAGGTCAGATCATTATGTATGCAATCATTTCATTCACTGAATATACAAAATGTAGCTGAGCTATTGCTTGTAGTATCTAAGAACAGACATGACCATGAAAACTTAACATTGAAGAATGAAAATGAGATCAAGGTCAGGTGAATCCTGCCAAAACAGACATGTACACCTTACAATCATTCCACACACCATATATAGTTGACCTGTTGATTATAGTATCTGAGATATGGACAAGATCACAAAAAACCTTTTTCACTTATCCCTGATATGATGTTGAGGTCAGGTGAACCTTGACTGAAGGACATGTAGACCTTGTAAGGATCCCATATACCAAATATAGTTATTCTACTACTCATTAGTGAGGATTTCACATGAAAAAAAACTCTATAAATATTTTTCAAGCAGTCACTAATCCATGAAGATGAGGACAATGAACATATGACAGACAGAAAGTACGTAACATAAGGTATCTGCATAAAGGTATGACGTATCCAGGTCTTCTACTTTCTGAAATATAAGCTTCAAACAAATAGTTTATGTTGTCATCGCCAGTGGATTGTAATCCCTATGCCTCATATTCCGCAACTTTCCTTGCAGGCAAGACAGTAAACCATTACTGGACTACAAAATGTTTAGACTGTATAAAAAGCAAACACTTACAGGTTTTTCTATTTTAGTAGGAGCAGCATCTGGTGTTAAAGCAGGAACCCAGAAACTGGGTAATTCTTTACCTTTACCATTTTTCATGTTGCAAATACTTTCATCTTTACCAGTAGCTGTAAATGTATACATAATGTGTTGACACAGAGATTATCTCCCTATATATAATTACATTTTGATGTCGGAATTTTAAATGGTGATTCTCTAACATGTTATTATTATTCAAATAATACAAATCAATGACCCATGACTAAAGGTGCTGGGTCACATTATATTCAGGAAAATGATCATGAGAAACGCCAATGCTTATACAACTGAATACCAAATATCACTTTCTCATCGTGATTGTTGATTGTTAATCTTAAACTGACTTTTCATAACCGTGTAAGACTCTCATCTGTCACTTCTTCAAGGCGAAACAAAAATGAATTTCTTTCACATTCAAACTCCAGAAACAAAAGGAGAGTATGTATTGTTCATGTATAATTTTTATTATTCTTTCATATCTATCCTTTTATAGATAATGACAGCCCTCCTTGAAGGTGATAATAACTTGGTGTGATGATCCTCAACTTGGTGTGACAGGAAATACTTTTCTGTTCACTGCACCTTTTTGTAAGATACTTTTTGTGTTCTTGGTTTAATTTTGGGATTTGATCCTTTTTGTTTTATAAAGACTGCATAAGAGCATATTGTTTCCCTCAATGATCCTATACTTACAGTTCATGCTGCTGCAGTCAACATTTTTTCAAAGATTCAAAGCAATTATTTAAGACACATTAGAAAAACTCTGATCATTATGTATATATTTTTTGTAGGATGTGATAAACATTATTCGCTCTTTTTTTCATTCTGATTTCTGTATGAGCTACTTCCTAAGTAGGGAATGTTCTTTTCCTATGGATTATATACAATAAATCAGGATATCTTGGGGAGCGATATTCTTGCAGTTTTAACAAATTAAAAGAGGTTAAATTTTGAAGTGACATATTTTGGCATTTGGTGTCAGTACCGTGTTAGTGTACTTGTGTCACTAATGGGAACAGTTAAAATGAAATGTATTGCACAATTTCTTGATTATAACTAGTTTATATGTAAAAAAATAATCGATGTATTGTCTCTTGTAATAATACAAACTGCATTTTTTTATAAAACAAACAAATAATATCATAATCATAAGTAGAAAGAACTCATTATATAATTAAGATACACGAAATAACCTAGTTTAAAATGTTTCTGACCCCACAAAATTTTGTAATATTCCTGACATCTTAAACATACCTTAAAGTTAATGAGCGTTTGGCTTAAGAAAATTTCATGTTGACAACATTCTAATATCAGCAATAAAAGGACTTGATAATTTACCATTTTTGTCTGATGGGGCTTCCACATGACTGATAAGTTTCTGTTTCTTTGTTTCTAGTTCTGCTTTGGCTAATTCATTTAGCTCTTCCTGAATTAAAAAAAATACAAACAATGAACATACCGGTACCCATAATGAACAAACCATTAAGCAATGTTTTGGAAATTTTACAAGAATTATGTAACAACTTCTATGATCAGAAGTATAAACTTTTCTACCCATTAAGCAACATTAATAATACACTTCAAATCCATTTCATTTAAGAAATAATTCTTTCATGCCATGCTCTACGTCATTTTAACATGGGTAGGCATTATATTTGTCAATATCTTTATACCGAGCGTTAGCGAGGTGTAAAATGTTGACAAATATAATGCCTACCCATGTTAAAATTAGCATAGAGCATGGCATGATAGAATTATTTCGATTCTAATAGGAAAATTTAGAACTTTTCTACTTCGAAGCGGACCTATAGTTTGCGTTCAAAAGGCATCCATTTTGATTTGAAGAAGCCAAAACGTTATAGAAAATCAACCGTTTCACGATAAGCAAATGAAAAGATACATTTAAACTTACTTTTAGAATGATTTTATTTAATTTCCTAGCAAGCAACACCAAAACAAATGTCCATTTTGATTTCCGGCGTTGTTCAAAACACAGCTGACGTTGCTATTTCAATTGTGACGTCAATCACATGCAGCCCATGTTTTATTGGAATTAGAACATGGCTTTGTTTCCAAAACGAAAGAAGAACGTCATATTAGAATGCTCATTTTGTTTATACACTTCATAACACACTAGTACACCTTCGCATCATCCATCTTTTAGTTTCAGGTAAAACTCGAAATTTGCATTAAACGAAGAAATGTAATGAAGAGTGTTTAACAATAAGACTTTTTCTATCTTTATCTGATAATCCTCTCAGTGAACCCTGTGAATAAAAATAGGACATAATCTACCTTCATATAGAACATGTCTTCTCCTTGTCAACTTCATTTAAATATTCCTTAGCCATGTTAGCAGCAGCGTTTAAGTATATTATAATTTATAAATCAAATGTGAGAATTTGACAGCTAATGCCCCTTTAAACACTCTCAATCTGTATCATGACAGCTAATATATTGCCCCTTTAAACACCCTCAGTATGTATCATGACAGCTAATGCCACTCAGTCTGTATCTTGACAGCTAATGCCCCTTTAAACACCCTCAGTCTGTATCATGACAGCTAATGCCCCTTTAAACACCCTCAGTCTGTATCACAACAGCAACATTTTAATTGTTTTTTTTTTTAAAGATAAAGAGATAAACAAAATATAATCAATGCTCACTTTAGCTTTATTTATCTGTTTTCCATATTCTTTCAACTTTCTTGCAATCTGCTTCTTTTGTTGTATGATAAATTCTAGTATAGCTTCTTTGTCATACAGAAAACCTTCTGGTCTATATTAACATATAAATAAATTGTTAAAATGATATATTCCAATAAAGCCTTTTTATTATAACAGAATTTTTTTTTCTACATTAGATATGAATATGCATGACGAATTTGCTGCTGGGTGTTTAGTAACAATGCATCCACCCATCTCTTATTCAAAGCTCAACTTTCAAAACCTTTCAATGACTGCCAAGATGAAGAACAGCAATAAAGATGCTGCTCATTTCATGTATGGTTATTTATTGTCCACAATATCTTTCAGGTAGCTGAATGTAAAAGCCCATAAGTAGTAGTAGTATTTTTATGCAGCTGTCCTAAGTCAGAGGAGCCTGTTGTTCAGTGGTTGTCATTTGTAAATGTGGTTCATAGGTGTTTCTCGTTTCTTGTTTTTTATATAGATTAGACTGTTGGTTTTCCTGTTTGAATTGTTTTACACTAGTCATTTTAGGGCCCTTTATAGCTTGCTTGTTTCGGTGTGAGCCACAGTTCTGTGTTGAAGGCCGTACTTTGACCTATAATTGTTAACTTTTTATACATTGTGACATGGATGGAGAGTTGTCTCATTGGCACTCATACCACATCTTCTTATTTATATTTTATTTCCCAGTATACCTTAGTTTATGTATCTCATACATTTCCCAATAAACATGTATTCACATCTCCGTAATACAAGTCAAAATGGTAAGCAACCTTATGATGTCAACAAATGAAAATATATTGGAATCAATTGGTAAAAAATAAAAGTGAAAAAATCAATACATGTCAGTAAACACTTACGTTACAATAGGATTCCTGCATGGTTGTAGTGTTAAACAACAACAGTCAAAATCCTGTAACAAACAAACAGTAGTGGTAAATATAATTAAATGGTGTACATGTACCTGTCCTGTGTACAGAAAGCATGACATGAAAGAATAAATAAACTGTTTTCACAGAGATATGTCTCGCCTTTTTGTAATTTTGATAATGCAAATGTTGAAATTAAAATAGCAATACTTTAACATGTAAGTTATGCAAATATTCAAAGTCAATGAACCATGACTGAAGGTACATGGCTAAACAATCTCCAAGGAATGAGATGTGCCAATTCTTATACAACTGCATACCAAATACCATTGACTTATTATAAGTCGTTCCCTTTAAACAAACCTAAACACAAACATTAACTTGTAAACTATGTAAAAGTTTCAAAGTCAATGAACCATGATCAGGGGTGGGGCTATATAATCTCCTGGCATGGAACCGATACTTGCAAATGCCAATAAATTTGCATACCAAATATCATTGACTTAACATTAGCAGTTCATCTTAAACTGATCTAATCACAAACTAATACATGTAAACTAAGCAAAAGTTTCAAAGTAAATAGACCATGACTGAGGGGGCAGGGCCAAATATTCTCCATGGAAATGAGATGTGCTAATGCTTATACAATTGAACACCAATTAACATTGGCCTACCACTAATGGTTCCCCTTGAACTGACCTAATCACAAACTAATACATGTTAACGTAGCAAAATTTTCAAAGTCTATAGACCATGACTAAGGGGGTGGAGCCAAATAATCTCCATGGAAATGAGATATGCCAATGCTTATACAACTGCATACCAAATATCATTGACCTACCATTAGTGGTTCCCCATAAATTGACCTAATCACAAACTCATACATGTAAACTATGAAAAGTTTCAAAGTCAACAGACCTTGACTGAAGGGGCGGGGCCAAATAATCTCTATAGTAATGAGATGTGCCAATGCTAATACAACTGCATACCAAATATCATTGACCTATCACTAGTGGTTCACCATGACCTAGAGCTAATCACAAACTAATACATTGTTGACGCCACTGCCGCCATCGACGCCGGAAACAGCAAACCTATGTCTCGCTTTTTGACTTCGTCAAGGCGAGACAAAAACATTCACTATGAATAAAGAATGACAAGTAAATCATGAAAATCCTATACTTCTATTGCTCATTATATGTTAAATTAAAATCTAACACATATAATAATCTAAGTGTAAATCCCTATAACAATTGATGACAAACCTTGATAGAATCTTTTCCAAATCTGGCACTTTTACTTCCATAGCCTGATGATTTGGTATCTCTCTGTCTCTCATGGTATGTATAAACTGTTCCAGCTGTGCAGTTCTTTGAATGTCTTGTCATTTTGAAATGTGATTAATCTAAAAAGATGTAAACATAGTACAAAACAAGAAATGAACTGTCAAATTGATGGCAAAACAGATCTTCTGTATTTTGACAGTAACCATTGTTGAACTTAAAAGGCAGCTAGTACAAATGAAATTTATGCTTAATGTATGTACTTTTAGTCTTGTTTGACCTGCCTTGTTCTGGACCTATTTTACAATTTATTAAGGATAATTTGTCCTGAACGGTAAAAGTGCTAATAGTCAATATCAAACTTAACCTCCAGTTTGTCATCAGTAATAACATATTAAAATTCAAAAGCATTGGCAGAACAATTCATACTATTAACCCTATTAAAACGAATATATACTAATATGCAAATTATATGAATACATGTATATATCATAAAATTATTCATACTTCCATGTGCAAGATTTCAATAGCCAAGACTGCCTTTTTACTCATACAATGTATACATTGTATCATTCATGACATACATGGTCTTTTTTGGAGAAGTCAAAAAGTCTGTTAATAATTTAGTTACATTATTACTCCATTATTCTGCAGAAATTGCTTGCTAAGACACCTAAAACAATTGCAAATGGAACTCCAAGACTTTCATATGTTACAATTAAATGAATTAAATGTATTCACAACAAAGATTGATAATTGAAGAAGACTTGAATTCTTGCTGGTGTCAACAAATATTGTTGGTTTTTGTCCTTTGGACTGTAGTAAGTACATGTGGTCATCAAAACTTTTATGACTTTAACATTAGTGATTTCATTATCATCTATCTTTGTGATTTAAAAATTGATGTTTAGTAATCATCTATTTAAGCGATTTTGGGGTTTTGTTTGATCTTCAAATGCTAATTTCATTAATTTTCCATAAACTGATATCTTTTTCTGTAATTTTCCCACAAAGATCAATTATTCCTTTCTCTTGTAGATTAATATTTCACCAGTGCACTTGGGCAGTAATTTAGTGCACTAAAGCTTAAAAAAGTACCATTGAGATTTTTTTTGTAATCAAATAAGTAGCCTGATTGGTCTTCTTTACATTTAGAATGATCGACTTCAAGGTTTTGTCCTGATCTACAAATTATGTTAAAGCATATTTCAAATAAACTGTAAAAACCGACAGGCTCATCAAGCAAAAGATCATTTCTGCATGTATATAGTTGTTTTTTAAATGCAATCCTTGTCTTTTAACCAATAAAAAAATCAAGCTTGTGGGAAAAATAAACACTTATTGAAGTATTTACATTTTTACTTCTCAAATTACTTGTTTCAGTGATTTTAAAAGTCTGTGTCTGAATTTGTAAAAATTTTCAACTTTTCAATGCCAAAGTTACTTAAGGTTCATCAAAAGGAATTGTAAAATATGGCTGTGCTTACACCACAAAATCTACAAAATGTACTGTGAGTACAGACAAACTGATGCATCTACGAAAGTTTTAAGGCATGGCAGGACCTAGATATATAAAAGTTATATGTAGTCTATCATTCAGAAAATTAAAAACTTACCTGTATTTTGATGTGCATTTTTTTCCAGTCTACAGAAGATAGCAAAATAAACAAACACATGAGTTTCATTTGATACAGTCCACTCAATACACAGTTTAAATCACCTATTGTTTGCAGATGTCTGTTATCCATCCACTGTTCATTTAAATCAATACTACTCACAACATTAATTATATGAGGGGAGCTTCTCGAGCCTTTCCCAACTTAGTTTATTTTGACACCTTCTGCAGGAACGAAAAAAAAATGAATAGCAAAATCCAGAAAAGTTTACAATTTTCTGAAACATAAAATGCATTTAAAATTAAATTATCTAGTTCCTGCCATGCATTGCCTTAAAACTTTTCCAGGTGCACAGGTTTGTCTGTACCCAGAGTAAAATGTGTGGTGTATATACGGCCATATTAGCCAAAAGGTTATGATGAACCTTAAAACGTGATTCTATAATGCTTTTTGGAACATTCCCAGTTGTTGCATATGTTTTGGAGATGGGATATATTAAAGTTGGTCTTAGAAACATAAAATTAGGGATTAAATTGAAAACCATTACTACATTATAATAATCAGATGATTAATCTATCAAATCAACTTCAAATATTGCACTCAGAACACTGCCACTTTACTGTAAATTTGAGCAGATTAGCTACTTTTTTGATAATATAAATCAGAAAAATTCGTAAGGGTTCCACGGAACCCAGTGTATCGCCTACTTTTACTGTTAATCGCAGGCTCAACAAAAATGAGATGAGGAAAAAATTTAATAAAAATATTCCTCTCGATACAATTTTTTTATTGTAAGAAGCTTCTGTCCAAGGTTGGTAAAAATCCAGGATAGTTTATGAATCTAATAAATGTTTTAAAAAATTTAAGTGCCGACTGTATCTAATGTTAACTGGAAGAAAAACCTAAGTCCATTTATAAGTAAAATATGGATAAACAAGTACAAAATTTTAATAAAACTTTCCTTCTAGATAATAGCTTTTGATCATAAACAAACTTCTGTCCATGTTTGGTACAAATCCAGGATAGTTTAAGAAAGTATTTAAAATTTAAAAAACTTTAACCACAGAGTGAATGTAATGTTTCCTGGCAGAAAAACTAAGTCCATATATTTATAAGAAAAATACGGAAAAACAGGAATTTCTTTTTTTTTAAATTTACTTCTGGATACTATCTTATGATCATAAACAAGCATTTGTCCAAGTTTGGTAGAAATCCAGGATAGTTTGAGAAAGTTATTAAAATTTTAAAAACTTTAACCACAGAGTGAATGTAATGTTTCCTGGCAGAAAAACTAAGTCCATTTATAAGTAAAATACGGAAAAACAGGAATTTTTTTTTTACAATATTTACTTCTGGATACTAACAGTCAGGGGACTTATTGAAATAAGTGATTTTTAAATCACTTATTTAAGTAGCAAATTCAAAGTTTTGTCACAAATTGTGATTTTGTAGTTTTACCAAAATTTTAAACACATAGGTTTAGATAATATCTTTTCATTAGTAAAATTGATAAAAATGAACTTTTTGCTTCTTTTAAGCAGCAAGGTTTATGCTTTTGGTGCAATCGTTTAGCTGTAAATTGTATTTTAGTTGAAAAAATGCTATAAAAATGGCTTTACATAATGAACTGATACTTTCTTAACAGATTTTTCCCTGCAGTGGGAGTCATTTTCCTGTAAAATTCAATGTTTCATCTTATAGATTATGTAATAAAATTCTACTGTTCGCGATAAAAATTTCACTGTTCGGGGGTGTTGAAATTAGTGGGGTTATTAAAATAATGATACTTAAAGAAGTGATTTTTTGGAAGGAAATTGAGGTATGATACTTAAACAAGTGATTTTTATGTCATTATCCTAGATTTAGTACAAGGTCATCACCTGACATGACCTGGTCATCCTATCAACACAGATGTTGATTCTGATCATTTTAACAACATAATTAGTGCCTGGATCATTAGTATTCTATATTTAAAGCTACAATAAAATTAAATCACTTAGTCAAGTGATTAATTTGTACTACTTAAATACGTGATTATTAAAGAAAGACAACCCTTACTTCCAACCTTTATGGACATAATGTTACTTGAATCAGTGATTTAGAAAATCACTCATTTAAGTAAGTCCCCTGACTGACTAACTTATGATCATAAACAAGCTTCTGTCTGGTAGAAATCCAGGATAGTTTAAGAAAGTTATTAAAATTTCAAAAACTTTAACCACAGAATGAATATTTGTGGACGCCGCCGACGGAATGTAGGATCCCTATGTCTCGCTTTTTAGACAAAAGTCGAACGCTCGACAAAAAGCACAGGACGTGTTTTTGTTTTGTTTTAAACATTTACAAGAATGGAAATATAAAAAAATAAAATAATTGGCCACTTCACGGTTATTGCAGGGGCAGATTTTTTGGATAGAGGTGGAAATAGTATAACAGTACCAGAAATACTACACGTTTCCAAGCAACTGTTCTGTTTCTATGAGATTTTACCATATTTTTCATAGCATTTTCAACTCCAGTATGAAAATCTGTCCCCTATTCAATATGGCTGCAATTGACACGGAATAGAAGTTCCTTCATAATATAAGTTCCAAATGGAAACAATATTCTGGAATATTATTTCCACTGGAATAAATATTACAGTAAATGTTCCTAACGGAATAAATGGTATAGAATATTTGTTCCAACAGGAACAGATATTATGACATTGTTTATAACAAAGTTTCCAGTGGAACTTCTGTTAGGCGGAACAAATATACGTTGACACAATAACAGTGAAAGGGCCTATTTTTCTGTTAGTACTTCTGAGATTCCTGTGCATTTCCTATCACAAGTTTGTGAAGATTAAGATTACTCAGCATGTCATGATGCTAAGCTTGAATTTTTCAATATATTAATTTTTTAAATAATTTAATTTCATCTATTTGTTTACATATTTTTATCATGCCTTTTCAACAAACCATTCAATAATATAGGTATCAAAATGAGTAGATTGAGTTGAGTATTCAGCAGATTTGCAGATTCAGCCAACATAGCAAAGTAAAATACCTAGAATTATAGTAAAAATATGGCGAAGGGGCAAAAAACTTTCTTACAGAAATTTCAGTCGCTGCTCCTCTATTTACCGGAAGTTCTTTGTTTTGGGTACTTGAATTATCTCCCCATAACAAATATTAGCTTTTAAGAAAGCTTGTTTGATTATTATTAGTTTTAAAAATTCAAGAATTTAAGCAAAGGCTTTAAACCTCTTCTTTTAAAAATCCTGGATCCGTACCTGCAAATATAAAGTTAGGTTATAATATTTGATTGTACAATCAGTTCTTTTGTGTATCTAAATGTTTTTTTTTTTTATAAATTCTTTTATATTAACCTCTCTCAAGGACGTATAACTAATCTAAGAGTATACGGTCCTTGCCTCTCTCTCATGGTTTCCAAGAAATGTTGATTTATATAAATCGCATCTTATATAATTTAAAAAAAATAATAATATTTTTAAGAATATATTTTCAGTAGTAACTAAAAGTTGTATATGATCAACTAACAAAAATATGTGATGCTGATATATTTTGATGGAAGGCGTGTTTTCAACAAACAATCGACATTCCCATGGGAACCATCTGTGCTCCTCTTCTTGCCGACTTGTTCCTTTATTCATATGAGGTTGACTTCATACAGGAACTTCTAAGGAAAAATGAAAAGAAACTAGCATTATCATTTAACTTCACTTTCCGCTAGATAAATGATGTCTTCTCACTAAATAATTCCAAGTTTGATGACTATGTTGAACGCATCTATCCAACCGAACTTGAAATAAAGGATACAGCAGATACAATAAAGTCTGTCTCATATCTTGACTTACATTGAAATTGACAATGCGAGTCGATTTAGAACAAAACTTCACGAAAAAAGAGATGATTTCAGCTACCCAATTGTGAACTTTCCATTTCTATGTAGCAACCTTCCAACAGCACCTGCATATGGAGTATATATCTCCTAGTTGATACGATAATCCAGGGCTTGCGTTTCCAATCATGATTTCCTTGATAGGGGGTTGCTGCCCACAAGAAGCTATTAAAACAAGACTTCCAAGTGGTGAAATTGAACTCATCCCTTCGAAAATTTTACAGACGCCATCACGTGTTAGTTGGCCGTTATGGAATATCCGTTTCACTTTTGACGATGGATATGTTCCAATTGTCGTAACCACAATCCCGTTCTCCTTTTCCACGAATGTGACATACCTAATTAGACATATCACCGTTTTGTACTTACATTAGCAACACGACAGGTGCCACATGTGCATCAGGATCTGCTACCCGTCCGGAACACCTGATTTCACCCCCCAGTTTTTAGTGGGGTTCGTGTTGCTTAGTCTTTAGTTTTCTATGTTGTGTTTTGTATACTGTTGTTTGTCTGTTGGTCTTTTTCTTCTTTTTTGTCATGGAGTTGTCAGTTTATTTTCGACTTGTGAGTTTGATTGTCCCTTTGGTACCTTTCGCCTCTCTTTTAACGAAATGAGCACACCCAGGTTGATCAGTTATCTTCAATACAAAGATGACCGTAGTTGGAATAGGCTATTATTTTTAGGACCTTTTGGTCATGTAGCTCTTCAAATGTATCGGCTCTTATACACCTTGGCTTTCTAATATTCGGCCTTGAGCGTTCCTGATGAAGGTAAATCCAGAAAAGCATTCGGATGCATGACATTTATAAAGCGTTGTTTTCATTTCTTAGGAAGTTTAAACTAATTTTCAGCTGTTCACGTGCCAATGTATATAAAGAGTATTCAAAGAAATAATGTTTTGAGTCTACAATTGCCCATCCACAGACACAACCTGGATCGTTATATGTAGCTGTATTTATACATGTCAGTATAATATTTGTTTATGATATTTGTTGTTGTTTTGCAGAGTTATTTATATTTCTTGTAAACAATATAAATATATGGTCGTCTCAGTACCAGAATCTATGACAAACGAGACGATTTTAATTTTGAAATTATAAATCCCCCCCCCCCCCCCCCCCCCCCACTGCTACTCAGACTTTATAAAATATTTATAAAACACCAGTGTCTGAGCAGAAAGTTGATGAACCAGGGTTATGCCAAAGAACGACTCGTCCTTTTTCTAAAAAAAAAGTTCATCGGAAGATACCAATACCTTGTTGACAAATATTCCGTATCAACTTCACATATAATACATGACAGTCTTGAAGTATAGATTCTAGGTACTGACGTTGTTTATCATCTTAATCAAGTATTAAAGGGTTATTTTCTTTTGTCTTTGTATATTTTTATCCTTTACTGTTTAGTCCATTTTTAGTATATACTTTTGGCGTGACTAGGTATTTATATATCCCGCCATTGTGTTATTATGCTATGATCATTTTTGTAGTCTTGTCTTTCATTTTTGCTTATGTACTTTGTCTATAGAGTGTCTATATGCCATTTTGTTTTTCTTTGTTTAAATAGTTGTTTGTTTTTATAGTAATTAAGATTATAACACAATGTTAACTGCTGTACCCAAATTTTTGACATTTTTACCTATAATGTACGTTTGTTTTGCTCACACACTGTTGTCAATATAATGAAATGCTATATGACTATCATACAAGTAAGAGGTTTAGCTAGCTATAAAACCAGGTTTAATCCACCAATTTCTACATAAGGAAATGAATGTACCAAGTCGGGAATTTGACAGTTGTTTTCCATTCGTTTGATCTTTTGATTTTGCTATTTGATAAAGGACTTTCCGTTTTGAATTTTCCTTGGAGTTCGGTATTCTTGAAATTTTACTTTTTATGCCTTTAGTCAGCTTAAAACTATTGTCTGATCGGTTGTCAGATGGAATTTTCGAAAGATCAAAAACATTGAAAAAAATTGAAAACAACGCGTTTAATAATTTCATGCGTCCGAAGCGCTTTTCTGGATTTACCTTCATCAGGAACGCTCAATGCCAAACATTTGAAATCCGAGAGATGTATAATTACCGAAATAGTAAAAGAGCTATATAACAAAAATACCTAAAACAAATAACCAAATTCATCTAAGGTCAACTTTGCCTGAGGGAGTTGAAACCTTAGTTTCTTTATAATTTCAAAATTTATAAACGGACAATTTTAGAAAAGTTTGTTATAAATCATGTCAGTACCGAAGTACTGACTACTGAGCTGATGATACCCTCGGGGACGGATAGTCCACCAGCAGAGGTATCGACCCAGTGATGTAAAAAATTGAAAACAACACGTTTAATAATTTCATGCGTCCGAAGCGCTTTTCTGGATTTACCTTCATCAGGAACGCTCAATGCCAAACATTTGAAATCCGAGGGATGTATAAGTACCGAAATAGTAAAAGAGCTACATATAACAAAAATACATAAAACAAATAGCCAAATTCATCTAAGGTCAACTTTGCCTGAGGGAGTTGAAACCTTAGTTTCTTTATAATTTCAAAATTTATAAACGGACAATTTTAGAAAGGTTTGTTATAAATCATGTCAGTACCGAAGTACTGACTACTGAGCTGATGATACCCTCGGGGACGGATAGTCCACCAGCAGAGGTATCGACCCAGTGATGTAAAAAATTGAAAACAACACGTTTAATAATTTCTTGCGTCCGAAGCGCTTTTCTGGATTTAAAAAATATTCCGTGGAAGGGCAGACCAAAAAATGTTCAAAGGTACCCTAGATAAAACACACACGCCAAATTACAGGTAAACACAAGTCATGAGGCATATAAGTTGTACAGAATTTATTGATTTAATAACAAAAAATTGAAGGTGATTTTCTTGCATTCCCTGTAACTCGATTCTTACTATTTTGCCTGGTCTACTTGATATATCACCAGATTGTTTTCTACAACATAACTTCTGACACGGAGCTGTTTTGCCTCAGTCTTGTGGTCATCTGCAACGTGGTAATATTCATGTAAAGTTTTCACAACTGTCATTCCATCACAGTTTTACTCCAAGCTTTTACATCATTTATTTTTACATCTATAGCAAATATTTCTGTTTTTGAGAATGTATGATTGCCTCAAAGAATGTCCATCGAAGATTGTCGACTTATTTCCCCCGGCTTGTTTCTGTGTACAAAAGATCCATCTTATCATAACAGAAGTGTTTAAATCAATGAGCTCAACATGTATGGATATACATGTACTCATTGAACACCACGTACCTGCTGCGTTAGGTTAAAACTAAGTCACGGAAATTATCTGAAATTTATCACATCCTACCGCTTCAAATTAAATTGGCGCAAAAGAAAAATCAATAATTGGCGCAAATGAAATGAAAAAAAACGAAATTTTGAAAATTGGCGCAAATGTCATATGCCCAGTCATACCGATGTTTTCACCATGTATATATTTGCAAACGGGTCTTTGCGCTTTTCAAATGTATCACAACCAATTAGTAGATTCCCTGCTTTGTCAAAACTAAGACTTTCTGGCATCTCTATTCCATATTCCATGGTATTTTGTAGCGCAATTAATTCTCCTTTAGTATTAAGTACATGTAAAGCATTGCTAAACATGTCTGCAATTATAATATTGTCCTTCGCAGTTACCACAATATCAGTTGGTGCGAATAAATCAGTTTTATACTTTGACACCCCTCATAAATAAATATTGTGTTGCCTTTCATATCAAACGATACCACGCGTCTATTGCCATCTTCATCGGCTTTCCCATCAATTGCATACATTTTATTTTTGGAATCACAAACGATACGACGAATTTTATTAAAGATTTTACTGTTATTATCAATTGTTACTTTCTTCTCATAACCTGTACCAAAAACAGCAATGCTCTGATTGTACGGGTCCGACTGCTCAACCAAAACAAGTATTTTCTCATTATCTTTGTTTACATGGATACAGAATATGGCCATTGGAGAAACATCCAACAGAGTTTTTGTTTCACCAGACTTTGCAAATGTTTTAAGCTCTGATGGCGACTGTGCAGGTGAAAATAATATGTCGTCAGTAGATGATATGGCAAGATCTGTACATTCAATATCAACCTTTTGTAATATTTTCATTGATTTCGATATTTTGGCCTTTACGACACTATTTTCTGACTTTTCGGAATTAAAGTGACGATAATATATCATGTCATCATGTAAACAAAGCATCCTCATAATGTTTTTGGATTTTGTTTTGTATGTGTTCACAACAGACAAGATTACGACTGAATCATCATCATCTTTTCCAGTCTCTGTAACTGTATGTGTTTCTGGATGCATCATTTCAGGATGAATACTCTGTTTACAACTGTCACACATCAATATCCAACACTCTTTGCAGCTCCATTTACTAGGTTCCGGTTTACTGGCCTTCCTGTCTTCACATAACTTACATGATGGTGAGAATGATGCTTTACTCGATGATGTTCCCATTCTGACAGAAATGAATGGCTGTGAGTGGTGGTCAATCAGTGTCTTCTTGTTGGGCTAAAGCCGGGTCCTGAAATTACAAATTACAGAATTTTCAATGATCATGGAAGATAGAGCCAGTTTCCAAATAGAATAAATTAAATTTGACACTGAACTAGGTTGTGTTATCTCTACTAATTTTGCAAAGGTGACATTTTCAAATAAAAAAAAATAGAGTATAAAATGGGAAAATTCTACATCAGCAAATTTATTTTGGTTGCATTAGCCTCATGCAAGCATTCTTTGGTATCGTAAAATAGTATCATATAGTTTTGTTTTACTTGTTAACTTCCAGCCTAGACCAATATCAGTTTTTGGAAAGTGCGAATCGAAAAAAAAAAACGTTCTTCTCGTGTGGAGTAGCGACATTGTCTCTTGTAAACGAGATGCATTGTTGGAAAATCTCAGACGAAGTTTTACATATGTAAGAATAAATGAAAATTTTTCGGTAAATAATTGTTTTCCTTTTTAAAACAGGGATGTTTTTAACGACAAACGTTGGTATAACTTCCACTACATTGTGTACATCTAATCCCAAGTATGTTGTATTTATAACAGAAAATTAGCATATGAGATAAAATGAAACTTGTCTATAATATAGAGATGGACAAACCTATGACAATCATGTAGCAAAGACAGTGGGATGTACATCCAATGTGTGCGTTTGCACCCTACGCCATAATCGCGTGTAATACAATAATAATGCTGCTACATTTTCCTATATCAGTGTGATACTTGTTTAATAGAATAGCGACATTATTTATTATGAAAACATTATTAATGCTATATTTTTCTTATTGAAATGCATTATTTTTTTTATTTTTTTAGTATGAAAAAAGATACGATAATATGACAAAATATTTTTTCACTTCCCTTTTGAAACTAATTTATTTTTCTCAAGAAATTTAGATTCAAATTAATTTAGAAAAAAAACCATGCCCCACCACCCCACCCCAACAACAAAGGATCGTTGTTCATAGTTCAATGTTCCATCTTGATACACGTGTAATAAATTGAAAGCTATGCTCGTTTTCATAAATAATTGTACTAAATCAAAAATATATATATACTATAAGGTAACCCATTTTTTTTTATGCAAAGTCAAATTTCAAAAGTTTTCTTTGGTGCCAGTTTTATGGGTCCGAAATTGCCACTTTAGTCTATAGGCAATTCTCTTGCTGACAACTCGACATAAACATTTTTTTGATAAAGTAAAAACGGCATTAACAGTTGTTTCCACATCTCACTTTTCACCAAGTTTAAGGTGTAATGTCTCAGGCCCGTAGCCAGGAATTTTCAAGGGGTTACATCGACTTGCAAAGTCAATTTCAAATAATTCTAGACTTTGATAGTCAAAAAATCAATCAAAATCATACTTACCAGTCACAATTTCAACAGAATGTCAGCTTTAATAGTGCTTATAAATAAGAAGATGTGGTATGAGTACCAATGAGACAACTCTCCATCCAAGTCAGAATGTAAAGTTAAAAAAAAAAAGTTATAAAGAAATTTTTGACAGCTCCTGACTAAAATCAATTGAACAGATACAATCATTGATAGACTATCTAAACATAAACTTATTAATCACACCATTTCTGTTGAAAGGGAAATAACTCAATCATATAATGAATATCACTTTTGGCTACTGAAAGGTCTACAACTCAACAAAGAGAAAGCTAAAATTTCGTCAAAGCGTTTTCATGTTAATGAACGGACACTGTTTGGCAGCCGCCCGCCCGCCGTAATCCACAAATCAATAACCGATTTTTCCTTTGAAAATCCGGTTAAAAAGTTAACAATTATAGGTCAAAGTACTGCCTTCAACACGGAGCCTTGGCTCACACCGAACAGCAAACTATAAAGGGTCCCAAAATGACTACTGTAAAACAATTCAAACAGGAAAACGAACGGTCTAATCTATATAAAAAACGAGAAACGAGAAACACTTATGAACCACACCAATAAACGACAACCACTGAACAACAGGCTCCTAACTTAGGACATGTGCAAAAAAATGCAGCGGGTTTAAATGTTTTAACAGGCGCCAACATTTACCCTAACCTGAGACAGTAGTGTAACATTACAACATAAAAAGACCCACTATAAAATATCAATTGAAATGGATTAACTCGATCAAAAAGACATTTAAACAAAAACAAGTAAACATACACTGATCGAATAAGTTTGATCAATGACACAACATAAATACAATATAAATAAAAAAAAAAGATGTAGGAACAGTGTCAAAAAGACAACTCGAACCTGGGACAAAATGGGACAAAATGGCGGTAAATAAAATAACGTACACAGGTAAATTTGAATATAATAATTTTGTTGTTAGGAGTACGGAAGTAAACATTTATTACAAAACTAATCTTAATTGTTTTCAAAGGGGGTTCAACCGTACGGACCCCTCGAAGCCCCCCCCCCAAAAAAAAAAAAAAAACCTTTGTCAGCATATATTTCATTTGAAAATAAATATATGTTTACAGCGTCACTTGAGCAGATGTGTTAAATTGGTAAACGGAAAAAAGTCAAAAGAAAAACTTGAAGTCATACATTTTATAGGTAAAAGTCACAGGAAAATTATTTGAAATTTCATTAGTAATTTTAATTGTGTATATATATAGTAATATACATGTATCAATTGGATAGTGTTTCAGAATATTTCAACATCTTTTAATTAGTAGGAAATTAAAAGAATACATTTACACTTTCTATGTCTAGTATAAATCTGCTGGTTTTATGAATCTTGTATTTTATACAAATTGCAATCGAAACCTGTGACTCATACATGATTCCCATTTTTTTCTCTGAATGAATCATTGAATACACTTTTCAAGATTATAAACCAAATTTTGTCCATGAAAATTTCAACTTTATAAGAAAACCATTCAACCGACGGTTAAACTAGTCAACTGACTTCAATTTGCTATTCACATTACATGTCTGACTCATTGTATGCTGCCTTAAATAACAGATTTTTTTCGACACTTAGAACATTATCGATAACCAGCATATAATTGGAGTTATAATGTCAAACAACAGTTAAATGCATAAATATACATTATTAAATATGTTACAGTCAGATTTTAGTAAAAACTGCATGAAACGTGGCGCAGTTTAAAAATCACATACTTTATTAGGAAATATAATAATTTGAAAATTTCCGACTCAATCATGGGGTGTGTCTATCTAAGGACGAGTTAATCTAAATCTAAATAACCAAAATGAAGGATTAAACCCCCAATTCTTAAACTATAATAGTGTATAACCACCAAGGAAGTTCAAAGGTCAAGTGAATAATAAATACCTGATATCCTTTTGCTGTACTTGACGATCAGGGTGGAGATCATTTATGATAATTTATTCAGCCATGAACAGGTCCGTTCGCCCTAGTCACGCTTTCGTCCTATTTTTTTTTAAACTTATCTCAAATCAAAGATATACATTAAATCTAAAACTTTTTATCATAAGGTGTATGTTTTCACTTAGTCTAATTCATATTTATTTAATTTTGATCGGAGTTACAATATCTAAATGAAATAAGTATATGACTCCTTTTAAAGTGTTTATATCAATATACATAGTTTAATGGGTTTTTTTTTATCAAATAATTATTAATAAGAATTAATTGTTCCTTATTTTTGAGTTTGCAGTGTTAGTTTCTTTATTAAAAATTGTTATGTATCTTTAAAAAAACCTTCACTATATACATTTTTTTTAAATAACTGACAGACAGTAATCCAGATATATATGTAATTTTAAATGTATCCATAAACTACTATTATTCATTATGGCAATACGTGTTGTCCCCGCAGAAAAAAAAATAAAACAACAAGGTGTTAATCACGTGATGTAATGTATATTTTAAGGCAATAAGGTATTGACAATCAATTTGAAAACTTAATAAAGAGGAAATACTGAAAACTCTAAAATGTCCATTTTTTAATAGACAGTCGAAACTCCTGTCGGGGCCAACCTGTGCTCCCTTTTCCGCCAATTTATTCCTTTTCGTATGAGCCATGTTTTGCATAGGGGATTTTCAGGAAAAGTTGAAGAAGCCAGCATTATCCTTAAACTTCAATTTCCGTTTTAAAGATGATGTTTTCTCACTGAGTAGTTCAAAATAGGCTGACAATGTTGCATATCATCTATTCCAGTGAACTTGAAATACTGGATACAACAGATACAGTTAGCTCTGCTTCATATATTGACTTACTAGTATGTCTAGAAATTGTCAGCGGGGGTCTGTTTAGAACTCAAACTTGAAAGCGACTAATCTCCGGGCTTTACTTTTTATGAAAGCACGGGGTTGGTGGAGCAGGAACTGCTCACCCTTCTGAAGTACCTTATTTTACAGCGGTTTTTTGATACGGCTCGTGTAGTTTTTTCTTTGTAGTGTCTTGTCTGTTTGTCTTTTTTTTCGATAAAAAATACCGATTAAAATATTTTATTTTCACTCTAATAATTTGAAAAGAACTTTGACAATAGTTCGGGGAGTGACTTCACTAATCCATGGCCCTCTGCACCAAATCATGAAAAAAATGCTGAACTAAATTCTCCTCGATATGACAACGTTATGAAAAGTTATCTCGCAGAAAAAGAAACTGACATACTTACTGGAAGAGTGATGAGATGATCAAAAAGCTGTAAACTTTCTACTCGACAATATCTACGTTTCGGCAATAAAGTAATTTATCGACTGGTTGTAGACATTCCTTGGGCACCAGTTGCGCCCCTTTAACAACAGACTTGTTCCTGTATTATTACGAATCACAGTATGACAAAACTCAGTAAAGATTCGTCTTATTTACCATTAACTGGTCTATTTAAAATGTTTACCGTACCTTGGTGGTATTTTTTACCTTAAATAATCAAGATTTTGTTAATTTTACTGTGGACATTTACCCAAAGGAACTTACTTTCAATAAATCATAAATAGCAATAATTGTCCTTTTCGATATGTTTATATTTCAGTTTAATACGAAAAAGTACATAAAAGAATTTACGACAAAAGGGGCGATTTTTCGTCCCCTATTGTTAATTTTCCTTTTTTGGACGGTGATGTTTCTTTTACACCGTCTGAGGATGTTTATATATCCCAACTCGTTCACTACATGTATGCTCGTGTCTGTAGTCAAGTTTTTGATTTCAATGACCGTAATCTATGTATTACTGGTAATTCATTAAGCCATGGGTTTCGTTACCACAAATTACTTAAACCTTTTATAAATTTGTTCATAGATACAAAGATTTGGTTTGAAAGTTTGGCTGTTCCTGTAGAAAACGTATTACAAACGGGATAGCACATCCTAATTTTTACGGTGATGTTGTTTACCGGGTCAGTAATCTTAGACACGATCCGGATAAACTTATCGATCCTTTATAAATAAACTTATTTAAAAAGGTCACCAATTTAACACTGTAATTAATAATAAGATCTTTGATAGTAGAAAAGGTCAACTAGATAAAAGCACAGACAGATTAGTTGTAGAACACTTACTATAGAGGCCGAGATGAAACGATATTTTACGGGTTTTATTGTGTAGTTTGGATAACCAATACATAGTAGGGACCTGTAAATGTTCATAAAGGGCTTAAGCTGAGATGTGGTATATGATATGTTTGTTTACTATATGACTCTCTGTGGAGAGTACGGACCTGAATGTAGAATAACTTGTAACTTCATTCTTATATATAAACTTCCGTGTAGTATTTACGTCATTCCACCACCACATTTTTCGGTTACTTTGTCGGTCGGTCGGCCGGTACGAACACAAACCGATTTGCGAGTACTTGAAGTTTGTTTCTTATTCTAGAAATAGGCGTATTAAATACCCTTTTTTAGCTCACCTGGCCTGATTTTATTGGTAATCAGAATTATAATTTACGTTCGGCTGATGAAAAACTATAAAATCTTCCGAAACTAAAAACAAACTTTTTAAAGAAAACATTTACATATTCAGGTTCTCAAATATGGAACAGTTTACCAAATGAAATAAAAATGAGTAATACACTTGTATCTTTTAAAACAAAATGTTACAAATTTTTCATCAATTGTGCAGATTAATATGCTTTTTCATTATTATCTAGATACAATTGTATATTGTGTATAATATATCATTATAATATTGTATGTACTTATAGATATGTTATTATTATTTTGAGGACTCTCAGGAAGATTAATTTTAACTAATGGGATTATCCTCTTGAAATAAAGATTATTTATTTTATTTATTTATTTATTAAGGGCCAAGTGAGCTTTTCTCATCACTTGGCGTCTGTCGTCCGTTAACTTTTACAAAAATCTTCTCCTCTGAAACTACTAGGCCAAATTTAACCAAACTTGGCCACAATCATCATTAGGGTATCTAGTTTAAAAAATGTGTCCGATGACCCCGCCTGCCAACCAACATGGCCGACATGGCTAAAAATAGAACATAGGGGTAAAATGCAGTTTTTGGCTTATATCTCTGAAACTAAAGCATTTAGAGCAAATCTGACACGAAGTAAAAATGTTCATCAGGTTAAGATCTATCTGCCCTGAAATTTTCAGATGAATCAGACAACCCGTTGTTGGATTGCTGCCCCTGCATTGGTAATTTTAAGGCAATTTTGCAGTTTTTGGTTATTATCTTGAATATTATTATAGATAGAGATAAACTGTAAACAGCAATAATGTTCAGCAAAGTAAGATCTATAAATAAGTCAACTTGACCAAAATGGTCAGTTGACCCCTTAAGGAGTTATTGCCCTTTATAGTCAATTTTTAACCATTTTTCGTAAATTTTTGTAATCTTTTACAAAAATCTTCTCCTCTGAAACTACTGAGACAAATTTAACCTAACTTGTCCACAATCATCATTAGGGTATCTAGTTTAAAAAATGTGTCCGATGTCCCCGCCCGCGAACCAAGATGGCCGAAATGGCTAAAAAATAGTACATAGGGTAAAATGCAGTTTCTGGCTCATATCTCTAAAACCAAAGCATTTAGAGCAAATCTGATGCCAATAAAATTGTTCATCAGGTCAAGATCTATCTGCCCTGAAATTTTCAGACCAATCAGGCAACCCGTTGTTGGGTTGCTGCCCCTGAATTGGTAATTTTAAGGAAATTTTGCCGTTTTTGGTTATTATCTTGAATATTATTATAGATAGAGGTAAACTGTAAACAGCAATAATGTTCAGCAAAGTAAGATCTACAAATAAGTCATTTGACCAAAATGGTCAGTTGCCCCCTTAAGGAGTTATTGCCCTTTATAGTAATTTTTAACCATTTTTCGTTATTTTTTTTATTTTTTACAAAATTCTTCTCCTCTGAAACTACTTAGACAAATTTAACCAAACTTGTCCACAATCATCATTAGGATATCTAGTTTAAAAAATGTGTCCGATGACCCCGCCCGCGAATCAAGATGGCCGACATGGCTAAAAAATAGTACATAGGGTAAAATGCAGTTTTTGCCTCATATCTCTGAAACCAAAGCATTTAGAGCAAATCTGATGAGGATAAAATTGTTCATTAGGTCAAGATCGATCTGCCCTGAAAATTTTCAGACCAATCAGGCAACACGTTGTTGGGTTGCTGCCCCTGAATTGGTAATTTTAAGAAAATTTTGCAGCTTTTGGTTATTATCTTGAATATTATTATAGATAGAGATAAACTGTAAACAGCAATAATGTACAGCAAAGTTAGATCTACAAATAAGTCAACATGACCAAAATTGTCAATTGACCCTTTAAGGAGTTATTGCCCTTTATAGTCAATTTTTTACAATTTTCATAAATTTTGTAAATTTTTACAAAATATTTTCCACTGTAACAAGTTTTAATTGCCCGAAGTGTAAAAGTCTAGTCCCGGGCGTCGGGCTAGTGGATTTTTTAACCCCTGTAGACTATAGAGACTTCATGTGTACAAACCTGACGTCAAACTCGTGTACTATAAAAGAAGAGACAAATAATTTCACATTAAATCCTGTAACATTACATCTAAAGATAATTATAATCCAAAGTAAATTATATTACGATATCAATGGACTAAATTCCCGCGCAAATGTCATTACTGGGATAGACCAAAACGAATTTTAGGTTTATGTATCATTCACATTCCGATCAATTTACTCAGTTAAATAAAATATATGTGTTAACTATTTTTATATTGGTTTTGAATTTAGTTAATCTATCAGGAAAAAGGATTTATTTCTTGCAGATAGCCCTCAATATTTTACACCAACTCGACACTGAAGCTAAAAAACCCTAAAACATAATAGTATATGGAATCGTCCAAACGGATTACCTAATATTGATATAGGTGAAATATGTAGATTCAGAATTGTGTACACAGAAATAAGATCAGAAATAAAGCCCTATGTAAGGTGAAAACAATAACACAACTGTATAAAATCATTGTTTATTAAATTTGCTTGCATAAGAACCATGAAGTTAAAATTTATAACGATTACGTTTATCCTGTCAACCCCTTTTCTTCATTGCATCAAGGCTTCCGTTGCTTTACATCCAGCAGCAATTCAACCAATCGGGGAATGTTAAGTTGGGACATACCTCTATTTTTGGAAGCGTGATCTTTACATCGAGGCTTGCGTTGCTTTACACCGAGGCCACAGTAGTTCGACCAATCGGAGAATGTTTATTTGGGGCATGTGACCTATTGAACTGCAGGTTTTATAATATTTTAATCGAAATTGTAGAAAAATGAAATGTTGTTAGTACATACAAAACAGAAAATGATGAATACTTTTAGTAAAAGATAATTTGGATCCGGGTTCTGTGTATTCACATCATTTGTACAACTCTCCTTACTGATGCCATTTTTTGGAATTTCTGTGACCTAAATGGTTCGCGAAAATTAATATTTTATTATATATATAGTAACTACCGGGCCAAGTTCATTATAGATAGAGATAATAGTAAGGAGCAAGAATGTTCAGTAAAGTAAGATCTACAAACACATCACCATCACCAAAACACAATTTTGTCATGAATCCATCTGTGTCCTTTGTTTAATATGCACATAGACCAAGGTGAGCGACACAGGCTCTTTAGAGCCTCTAGTTTTATTTAAAACTTATTTTCAAATGTGATATTCAAATATCCACAATATTCATATATTAATTTTATTTAAATAAGAATCAAGAGATTTGTTATCAGATTTTTTTCCGTTTACACCAATTATTTTACAATAGGACGAAAGAGAATCTTTAATATCTTGATGACACTGATTCCGAACTATTTCAGATGGAAGACAATATTTTGGTTTCTTTTTTCAAACAACTTTTAAACCTATTTGTTTTGACTAACATGTTTACCTTGACCTATAATGGTTTACTTTTATAAATTGTAACTTGGATGGAGAGTTGTCTCATTGGCACTCATACCACATCTTCCTATATCTATTAACACAGCCACATTCTGTATGCATGTCCGAAGTCAGGAGCCTGTAATTCAGTGGTTGTAGTTGGGGTGTCTTCCTCCTTTTGTTATAGGTTATGCCATTGGTTTTTTCATTTGAATTGTTTTACATTTGTCATTACAGGGCCTTTTTGTAGATGACTATGCTATTTTACATTGAGGTTCTGCAAAAGGAAATCACGAATTCACCAACATTCCAACTGACTTCATTTTCAGAAAACGATATCTGTAACAAACATAAACTATTAGCTACTTCTTTACAAGCAGAACCAAATACAATGAAAGTCCCAACTATGTACTGGCTTCCGAAGCTACACAAATCACCTTACAAATATAGATTTATTTCGTCTTCAAGTCATTGTTCCACTACTAAATTGTCTATTCTACTTACTAGTACACTTGGTACAATCAAAAACCTGATAATAAATTGTTCAAATAAGGCCTTTGAAAATAGTGGAATTAACTACTTTTGGAGTGTCAAAAACTCGTTGGAAGTACTTGATAAATTGCATGCATATATTGGGGATTTTGAATCTGTTCAAAGTTTTGATTTTTCTACCCTATATACCACTTTACCTCATATTCTTATTAAGAAAAAATTCACACACCTAATTAAATGGGCATTTAAAAAGTCGGAATGCGAATACATATGTTCAAACTCTTTTAGGTCATTTTTTAGTAGCAACAAACAAAAGAGCTATGTCAATTGGACATGCTTTGATACTATATCTGCCCTTGAATTTTTACTTGATAACATTTTTGTTCGCTTTGGAGATTCCGTATATCGTCAAGTTATCGGAATTCCAATGGGGACTAACTGTGCACCACTTATTGCGGACCTGTTTTTGTATTGTTATGAATTACAATTTATGACTAAAATCAGCAAAGACCCATCGAAACAACATCTGATACAAAAATTTAACAATACTTTTAGATATTTGGATGATATATTGGCTCTCAATAATGACAACTTCAGTATGTATACTAAAGAAATTTATCCTGTTGAACTTACTTTAAATAAAGCTAATACTAACAATGACCACTGTCCTTTCCTCGATCTTGATATCTATATCATTAACGGGAAGCTTAATACAAAAATTTATGATAAAAGAGATGATTTTTCATTTCCTATCGTTAATTATCCATTTTTAGATGGTAACGTTCCCTTGTCACCTTCTTATGGTGTTTATATATCTCAACTTGTACGATTCGCTCGTGTATGTAACAACGTATTAGATTTTAGCGAGAGAAATTTATATATTACTGAAAAATTATTACACCAGGGTTTTCGATATCATAAACTAGTCAAAACATTTACTAAATTTTATCATGGGTACAAGGACATCATTCGTAAATATAACTCAACATGCAGACATCTTATACGTTCGGGTATTTCACATCCAATCTTTTATGGTAATATTCTTTACAAAGCACAAAAATGTCAGTATTCACCTCAAAAGCTAACAAAACCTTTAAACAGACTTATTAAGAAGGGATATAGTTACGATACTGTTGTCAGGTCATTAAAGATGGCATATTTTGGCTTTAATATTGATTCACTTATAGGGTCTTTGCATCGGAATTAAACATATTTATTCTAAAACCAGTTGTTGGCATGACACGGGTTATGTTCTTCTCATATATTTTATGACGGTATAATACTAAACCCCCTATGATATTCATATGATGAAGACATAATCTTTCAATCAGTTTAATTGAGGTCAGGAGCTGGCATGTCAGTAACTGCTAGTAGTCTGTTGTTATTTATGTATTATTGTCATTTTGTTTATTTTCTTTTGTTTCCTATTCTGACATCGGACTCGGACTTCTCTTAAACTGAGTTTTACTGTGCGTACTGTTGTACGTTTGTTTTTTCTACATTGGCTAGAGGTATAGGGGGAGGGTTGAGATCTCAAAAAACATGTTTAACCCCGCCGCATTTTTGCGCCTGTCCCAAGTCAGGAGCCTCTGGCCTTTGTTAGTCTTGTATCATTTTTGATTTTAGTTTCTTGTGTATAATTTGGAGTTTAGTATGACGTCCATTATCACTGAACTAGTATACATATTTGTTTAGGGGCCAGCTGAAGGACGCCTCCGGGTGCGGGAGTTTCTCGCTGCATTGAAGACCCATTGGTGGCCTTCGGCTGTTGTCTGCTCTATGGTCGGGTTGTTGTCTCTTTGACACATTCCCCATTTCCATTCTCAATTTTATATGGGTTTTGTTCATTGTTGAAAGCCGTGCGGTGACCTATAGTTGCTAACTTCTACGCCATCTGAACTCTGGTGAATAGTTGTCTCAATAGCAATCATACCACATCTCCTTATTTTTGTATCTTAACTTACTATACGTATATCATTTATATATCATGTAAAACCTCGGCTACTGTCCACTTACTTGGCACTTTTGTCATGAATAAAACTCAGAAAATCGAGGGAAAAACAAACAAAAACAAGTACTTAGATTTATTTACGATGACTATAAAAGCTCCGGTCGAAATTTCTGTCTGAACAGATTCCAGCCCGGTTTGTTTTCATAAACTAGTTAATAAAATGCGTATACTTTTAGGTACACAGGCTTACTTGATACATCACGTTTTAAAAGGTCAAGGTAAGAAAAGCTTAAGAGTTATAAGAGACTACAACTTTTTGCCAAATGAGAGCCTATCCATATTTCACAAGTTCAAACATTTTAGCTTTACTTGTTTTTCCCATGAAAATTGTACATACTTTTAGTTCATGCAAATAATTAGACCCTTGTTGCCTGGATCAGAGACATATATACACATATATATTATGTCTCTGCCTAGATTTAGAAGACTACTGGATGATTGAGTCTTAAATTATGATTTTTATCTTTGAGCTTGATATATGTAGTTTGTTGTCTTTGACTATAACTTGTGACTAATATGCTTTATTTTCTGGTTTGTACTATTCTGTAGCTGCTTACACTTTGTTGTGCTTGTATTAGTGCTCTGTTTTTATTTTTGCAAGAACTCGGCTACGCTAGTGAGTGAGTTTGTATTGATATGTTCTACTTTGTATATTATATAGGGTAAGCTTAGGTTGTTTTTTTTTTTAAGTTATCGGTTAGGTCGCAGCTTTATATCCGTCACTGAGTAAGGTCAGTGTTAGGGTTATGGTTAGGGTTCGTTCGGCATAGATCGATATTGTCTGAGGTCCTAAAGTAAAAGAAGGCCTAAACTTGTGTTGTTTTGTTTTGGGATTTTTCCCCATTTCTAATTATTTATATAGTATGCTATGATTTTGGAAATATTTGTTTTTTACCATTCAATACCGACAAAATCACTAGAATATTGTTATTTCAAAAATAATTTATAAAAAAAAACAATATTAAGGATAATGAATAAAGTTATCATCAGACTTTTCCCATGGTGGACGATCCCAGGAGGGGACGAGAAATTGGGCGAAAGTTAAATAGACCGAACAGTCTTTTAGGGCGAACCGACCCATTTTTCAAAATATTCGGAACTACTCATGAGCTTTCTTTGCTTTGAATGCGCGCGAATTTTCATTTTGTTGATATTTAGAAGAAATGGTATGATGTGTATTTAACAACACTGTTTTAATTAGAAGGTGTAATTAATCTTATGAACAAAATAGTTCCACGATATGTTACTAGTACTTACCATTGATACCTTATTCATTGAAAGACAGAACCACTTCTCTTGTTTTGGAATAAGAGAAAAATGGGCTGTATTTTGATAAAATGTCTGTGACACAGACGGATTTCTATTGCTGTGTAGCTGTATGTTCAGTATAAGAATCGGTTTTTGCGTAATACATATGGCTCTTAAAAGGGAGAAGATGCTTACGGCGCAATCAGATGAAAGACGGACATTAGCATGGTCAAAGGGAAGATGGACCAGGAGACTTGAGGTTCATGTGGAACCTTTGGCTAAAATGGCTGAGTTTTCACCTCAAAATTTACTCTGAGCAGAGACTAACATGTGCATCTGGAAAAGTTTTAAGGCATAGCATGCCCTAGATAAATAAAATTCAAATGCATTTTATGTTTAAGAAAATTTAAAACATAACTGGATTTTGCTGTGCACTTTTTTTTTGTCCCTGCAGAAGATGATAAAATTAACAAACAGTTGAGTTTCACTTGATATGGTCCACTCAGCTACACAGTTTAAATCACCAATTGTTGTCAGGTATCTATTGTCCCTCTACTGTCCAAGGCAATCAATACATTTCACTTCAATTATTACCTGTGGGGAAGTTCTCAAACCTCTTTCCCAACTTTGTTTATTTTGGCACCTTCTGGAGGAATGAAAAAAAGTGCACTGTAAAATCCAGTTAAGTTTCTAATTTTCTAAAAGAGAAAATGTATTTGAGTTTTATCTATCTAGCTATGCCTTAAAAAAATTTCAGATACTCAGGTTCGACTGTACTCAGAGTAAATTTTGAGGTGAAAATGCACCAATTTTAGCCAAAGGATCCACGTACATGAACCTTAAGTTGCATCAAAAACTATTGTTGACCAACTTGTACTTTGACCGACCTGACAAACAATTTTTTGTGTCATTGTTGCCTGTGGACAAGTAAAAAAGATGTTGCTTGACAATGTAAATTTATATAATCATATAGAACATCCTCAAAATTTATTCATCAAAGAATAAAAAACATCAAATCATGTATAAGTAAAACAACATCAATGATCAAGAAATAGATCGATTTTCAAACAACAAAAAATAAGTATGCTGACCCGTTTCATTATATTCTGCTTAAGGTTGGGTGGTAAATACCGCCCCTGGTATTTACCAGCGGTATTTACCGCCCCAGACAATACTCCTCAAGTGGTCAATACTGGCAAATACTGATCGATTGAAATTTTCTTGGTGGTTTTTACTATTTATTGTACATGTTGTAGTTAAAACTTGATACAAAGTAAGATATATTTAAACATTTATCTTTTAGCATGTTTCAGCTGAAATAAATAAATGAATGAATTTGATATGTTTTATTCATTTTCAACACTTATACCTACTAATTTAGTCCTTTCAAATCCATATTTTAGATTAATAAAAATTGACAAATTAAAATTACTACAATATTTTTCAAGATAATTTTTTTTTTAAAATGCATAATTTTTACAGGTAAATAAAACTACAGGTAAATGAAGTTACAGGTGTCTTATTACCCATAACCTGGCATTGCTAGGTGTGAAAAATTAACAGCCCCCCAATAAATGATGACAAAAAATGGGTTGAAAGTATTAAATTGGATATTTGAAGACTCACCTACATTTTGTAAACAATAAAATATTTCCTGTCTTATTAACTGTGAAACAAAAATCATCTTCATGCATGAAATGGAAAGTGTGATGGACCTTACTCTTACATGTCTTAAGGCTTCTGTAATTTATGGTTTAAACCAAAAAATATATAATGTAAAATAAATTTTACCTTTACCTAATCAATTTTTACTTACACAAAGTACAACCACCTTGACCTAAAGCACCTAACTGAAACCTGAAGAGCCCATTTGGAACTTCTATACACTATAAGACAACAACAAAACCAGTGCAAAATGTAATGATTCCAATGCTCTAGTCAGTGTAAAAGCCACCTGATTAGTTCCCTTGCCAGGGACGAAACATCTTTTGTACAAATAAATCATTGTAAATCACTGTTTATTAAGAATTTACAATAAAAATAGAAATAAGACCATTTAAAATGGCTTTAACACTTTCATTATTTCATTACATTCTCTAATTTTAGTTTGCCTCAATCAAATGTTATGAAACTTATACACAATGCTTATAACCACAAAACACAGATCAAATTTGAATTTTGGTGGCGTCACTTTAACCGTTCTAGAGTTATGCCCCTTTACAAATTGAAAAATTGCTGAATTTTTCGTTTCTGTTCTCTAACTTAAGTTTACCTCAGCCAAATTTTATGAAACTTATACACAATACTTATTACTACAAAACTCAGATCAAGTTCAAATTTGGGTAGCGTCACTTTTACCGTTCTTCAGTTATGTCCCTTTACAAATGGAAAAATTGCTGAATTTTTTGTTTCTGTTCTCTAACTTAAGTTTGCCTCAGCCAAATTTTATGAAACTTATACACAATGCTTATTGCCACAAAACTCAGATCAAGTTCAAATTTGTGTAGCGTCACTTTTACCATTCTTCAGTTATGTCCCTTTATAACTTTATATGATATGCAAGCGGGGGCGTCATCTGTGCCCCATGGACACATTCCACATTTATTTTTGGTTGTTTTCTTATCTATCTTATTGGTGTTCTTATCTATCTCATTGGTGTATATTCTACTTATCTTTTTTAGATATCATTCTAACATACAAAGACCAAGAATACCATTTTTATTGTGTTTCAAAACTGTTTTATAAACATACACGTTTACAGTAAAATACATCTTCTTCATTCTAAAATTCAATAAGAAATCAGGGCAAGTAACTTTTCTTCTGGATAAGTAAAATTTACTATTTCACTTATCCAGGGACAAGTGGTCACAACAAATATTTCCACACCCCTGTTGTATAAGTAAATTTGTAAGATTTATATTTTCTTTTCAAGGTTTGATTAATCTCCTCTTAATCATGTAAATCTTCTCAAAAAATTTACTTGTATAAGTAATTTTATTTTACAACGCCTAAAATTCTCAAGTTTTGGGAGGTATAAAATATGCCTGAAATAATTTTTCTCTGATTAATTTGCTAACAATTTTAAATTAGAGTTCAACTTTTCATCTCACTATTTAAACAAAGAAATCAATAATGCAAAGCTGTTAAGTAACTGCACAAGGTCTTTAAAAATTGCCCCCGGTGGCTTGTAAATGACTTTGTATAAATAAAAACTTCTGAATGTCTAAGGGATATAACTATACCATAGAAAATAATTTACCTGTACCAGTAAATAAAATACACTTGTATAAGTATTACCCCATGACTGTCTGTATTCTGTAGGTGTCTCTCTTGATACTGGATGGTTGCTCGTGTAATCTAAAATGATTTTTCTCATTTATACTAAACTAACATGTATTAATAGGTGGCAACTGTATTTAAAATTTATTAAAACAACACAGGTAGCATTAAGGTAGCCACAGATATTGGTTGAATATTGTGGACTAAAAAAAACCTAACCAACTCTTCTAACAGGTTTCTTGAAGTCTCATAAAATTTAATTGCCTGAAATCTGCGGTATTTGTGAGAGGTTAGCAAGTATTACAAATTATCCAAACATTGGTAGAGATAAAAAATAAACAATTTTATCATATACAGTTAGTGCATTATAGCATATCCGAAGACCATGCTTAATGCTCAAGACCATGAAAAAACCTGGGTTTGACTATATTATTTTTCAATGTTTTAGATCAATACATGGCATTACAATGAGGGTAGGGTTAAAAATACCATCAAATTTAAGAATTTTTTACAAGAGACATATTACTTTACAACTACAAGCAACATTATATACATGTATTTACAGGTAGCACTTAGCATGCTTAGAGGGTTGCTGATGGGAAGCAGGTATAAATAAAGTGATAAGTTGCATACTGTGATGTCATAGAAGAAGAAAGGAGAATGGTAATTTAACATTTTTTAGATTTAAGAATATCAAATAGTAGAGGAAGAATTAATGTAGATCATTCATAAATTGGTAAAGCGCAATCTAAACTATGGTTTTTGTCTCGCTTGACGGAGTCAAAAAGCGAGACATAGGTATGCTGTTTCCGGTGGGGGCGGCTGCGTCAACAATGTATTAAGTTTGTGATTAGGTCAAGTTTGTGGTGAACCACAAGTTGTAGGTCAATCATATTTGGTATACAGTTGTATTAGCATTGTCACATCTCATTTCCATGGAGATTATTTGGCCCTGCCCCCTCAGTCATGGTCTATTGACTTTGGAACTTTTGCTTATTTTACATGTATTAGTTTATGACTAGGTCAGTTCAAGGGGAACCATAAGTGGTAGGCCAATGTTAAATGGTATTCAGTTGTATAAGCATTAGCACATCTCATTTCAATGGAGAATATTTGGCCCCATCCCCTCAGTCATGGCCTAGTGACTTTGAAACTTTTGCTTAGTTTACATGTATTAGTTTGTGATAAGATCAGTTTAAGATGAACTGCTAATGTTAAGTCAATGATATTAGGTATGCAAATTTATTGGCATTTGTAAGTATCGTTTCCATTTTACTGAATATGACATTTTATGTCTTAATTCCCTTTCCTTAACATTTTACTGAATATGACATTTTATATCTTAATTCCCTTTCCTTAACATTTTACTGAATATGACATTTTATGCCTTCCCTTTCCTTAACATTTTACTGAATATGACTTTTCCACAAGTCTGTGTTAATTTCCTTAACAAAGGTATATGGCTGGCTGAGAGATTTTCTGCAATTCCCCACCCACAAAAATATGATTGGACTGGGGTTTTTTAACTGACCTTTCCCCTTTTTAATTTCTACTGAGGTGTGAGATTCTCCACTAACTTTCAAAGAAGAGTTTGACTGGATAGAAGATTCTCAATTCTATTCTGACTTTTTCATAAGAGTTTGACTTTATAGAGATTTCTCCGCTGATTTTTCCCAAGTGTTTAACTAGGTAGAAGATTCTTCAAAATTCTCTGCTGATTTTCCTTATGTATTTGATTAGATGGGAGTTCTGCAGACTTTTGAACTTCAGCGACTCTTTTCACAAAAAATCTTACGATTAAAATCGATCGTAAGTTATACTGAAATGTGTATTACTTACGAGTATATTTACTCTTAAGATTTTTTGTGAAAAGAGCCGCTGGAACATGTTGGACTAGCTCTGAGATTCTTTACAATTGTTAGTTCACCTGTCTCTAAGTGTTGGACTTAATCGGAAATATTTGCAATTCTCTGCCCACTTTTCCTCAAATTTTTTATTAGGGGACTTTTCACAATTCCTGTTGACATTTCTGTAAGTGATTAACCTGAATTGAGAATACAATGAGGTTCTCCGCAGACTTTTCCCTAAATGCTTGACTAGATAGGAGATTATCTCCTAATTTTTTCCCAAGTATTTGATGGAAAGAAGATTGTTTGTAATTTTCTGCTGCTTTTTCCCTAACTGTTTGACTAGATAGGAGATTATCTCCTCATTTTTCCACAAGTATTTGATGGAAAGAAGATTGTCTGTAATTTTCTACAGACTTTTCCCTAACTGTTTGATTAGATAGGAGATTCTCCACAGTTATCTGTTATCTTGTATATTCTATTCTCTTAGTGCCAGACCGGGAAGGAGATTCTCTACTGACTTTTTCCAAGTTTCTGACCAATGTGAACTTACTTTATATTACAATTTCTTTATTTTCATGATCTCTTACATGAAGAATGAGCCAAAGAGATAGACTGTTTGAGGATTCTTTATGCCTTGAATATAGATGAAACTTTTCTTCCTATCCCCATTTCCAATATAATGAATTTATCGCTATTTTACGAATTTTTTCATTGATCTTGCTGACTGATAATTTCCTTTCTCAGCGGAGTCGAGTGATATGAAAATTATCGCTAGAAACTAAGGGAACACGTGCCGTTGTCAAGGAAATTAACAACGTCTTCATAGGTAAAATAGCGATAAACAGATTATCATTGGTCATCTCAACTCGATTGCTTTTCTCACTTTCGCCGTACCGGCTCAAGCGATAAAATCAATGTCGTTGAGATAACCAACGATAATCTATAAGTATTATTAAGTTATGTGTATTATACAATATCATATATCGTTTTGAGATTAGAATTAAAGGCTTTTACTTTCAAATAGAGATATCTTACTCACAAGTTAAAATCAGATAACACAGCGTTCTAATTTCTTATTAAAATCTTATGAAATTTTTTTTGACTAAGGCATTATTTTTTACAGCAGAAAGTACATATTTCTTTCTTTTTTTTTAATCCATAGATACAATTAAGCTAAAATTCAGGAATGTATTTAGCCATTGATATTATTGTAATATTATTCTGTTATATCTACTGTGCTTCAGTGCTATTTGAACTTCTTCTTTATTGTGTGTGATAGCACCCAAAAGAATGTGTTCATTTCAAATATGGTACAGGTCAATATTTTTATGGTTCATAGAATTGACTTCTGTTCTGTTTTCAGATTAGATTTGCTGCCTTAAATTACAGTTCTAGTGAAGAAGACAGCCAAGATGCTCAAGAAAGAGCCGCTACAAAAGAAGCTGAGGTATAACTTTGAATTTTTAGGCTAGAGGTCAAGTAAATAATAAAATGGTTCAGTTTTGAGGTCCTATATGAAGGCATGGGATATAATTAATAGAACAAGAATTGACATGCTGAAGTATCTCACCTACATAATTGATTTTGAATGAATAATTTGCTGATTGTCTATGAGATCAAGGTCTTTGCATGTATCAAACTTGACTCACAGGATAGGCAACATAAACATGATGAAAGGATTGAACATAAATAAATATAGAATAAAGTTCTATGACTCATAATAATTGACAAAATTACCTAATCATGAATCTTAACATTGATTAATAAACCATGACAATAAGGTCAATGTCAGGTTTCCCCTCCTTGATTGAGATATAGATCATAAATAAGGCTGTTCCTTTTCTCTTTTGAATTGTTTCACATTTTCACAAGCCAGGGTCTTTTAAAGCTTACTATACAGTATGGGTTTTGCTCATTGTTGAAGGCTGTATGGTGACCTGAAATTGTTAACATCCTTATTCTTTGGTTGCTGGTATATAGTTGTTTCATTGTCAATCATATTACTGCTCCTAATTTTTATAAAAATTTAAAAATAGTCGAAAACGTAGTTGTTATTACTAATAGCTGAAAAGATCACCTTATATCTTAGAAAACTATACAGTGATTTTATTCAGTCATTGAGCAATTGATATCAGATAAAGAACAGCTAAAATGAGCCAGACTAAAACTTACGGCACAATGTGGATTATTCAGCTCTTCTATCTAATTACTTTTGCAGCTATAATCAGATTAAGAGCTTTTAATCACTTTTCATTCAGCTTGCTTCATTGCATTTTCTGTTAGTATAAGGGAGAAAGGTTTTCTAGATTTCAATTCAAAGAAATAGAATTAAAAAAAACCACTATTCTTAGATGTTAGGTTGGTCTGCTTTGCAGTTTTTGTGCAGAAGTATTTTTATGCTAAATATGTGTACATCAAAGTGGAGCATAAAGAATTTGCTGTGTTCAAAGTGTTTGTGTTCAAAGTGTTTTTCTTCCTCATTCTCAACAATTTATTGATACAATGTGATATGTGTTTGTAGGAATCTGAAGCTTTTATGCTGTACAACAGAGCCTTAAGTTTACAGAGACAAGGAAATAATGAACAGACAGAAGAAGCTTTTAGAGAACTATTACAACATCCATTTATAACTGAGGTAAAATCATTCACACTCATTTACAAAATTACTAGGTCATTTAGGTAGAATTCAAATTTCTTTTTAAATATATTAACTGTAAAATATTAATTTTTCCATTCACAGGTAGTTAGGATGAAAGATACAGACATATGATTTAGTTAAATTTTCTGATTTCTTGTTAATAATAACAACAATTAAAATTAAACCAACACTGAAATACTGTATGATTTAGTTAATGATCTTGCAAGTAATTTTGAACCAATCTGTGATTAAAATATGTCATCATACATATTCATGCTTTATTTGCATGTGTTGATTGTGTTGATGGGGCAGTAATTCTTATATGATTTGCATATCTTCAAATACTTAAATTGGAATTGTCCGTTAGAAATTTTTCCCTTGGTTCACACTTCGATAGACGATGTAGCAGAAACTTCTTCCATAACCTATTCTTGCACTATACACATGCATGGGATCCTGGAATTCTAAGAAAATTGAAATATTGAAACAAAACCACTACAGAACTTCTTATATTCAGTTTGTGAGTTAATCGCCCCAGTTTACACATCAATAACGTCTAGAAAAAATCTGTTTAATCCAGTTTATGAAGCATGTTTTAATGATATAAGTCTAAGATTCAGATTAACTCGTCATTTATATTTTGTAGGCATTAGAACTGGTTAGAGATGACATTGAAGGATCATCACATCCTGCTTTACAGCTGTTGTATTCCATACATAAAAACATTGCTAACATGGCTCTTCACAGAAAAGATTATAAAGCTGCTATTCTGTCATACATTGAGGTATTGTTGAAATATAAAGAAAAAACTAAGAAAGATTATCAGATGGATATGATCAACAACAACAAAAAAGCAAAACGCCTACCTTTTCTTAAATACAAAATGTTTATCTATGTAAATATTAAGCTTATATATTAATATGTCTTGCCTGCTGCGAATGTATCAGGAGGCAAGACTTATGTGTTATTTTTTTTTGCATTATTGATGTTCAGAAGTTATTTACAGTTTTAGCTCATTTGGAGTCATGAGAATAAAAGGAAAAATTCAGCAAGCATTGAACCTCACAAACAAATTCTGAAAACATATCTGGTAAAGATTGACAAAATTTGACCCTAATCTGCAATCTGAACTTAATCTGCTTTCTGCAATCTCATATTATTTAATGAGAGAAGTGAAATTGTTTTTTAATTTGAAATTATAATTGTAGTTTCAAAATCTGAAGGATACAATTTTGTGTTCAATCAGTGAAATGCTTAAAAAGAAAATGGAATAGATTTGAATGTCAACATTGATGTATTACAGGCTGTGAAAATAGACACTACAGAAGTAACAGTTTGGTATAAGATAGGAACTATAGCTAAACAGATATACAACTTTCCTTTAGCTAGAATGGGATTTGAAATGGTAATTATATGTCTCATACTCATTGGCCATGGTATTAATGAATGTTAAACAATGCATTAGATTGATCTGCATGTTCTTTTTCTGTTTGATTTAACAAATATAAAGATCAGGAATCCACTAGTCATCTTTTTCCACCATTATTTACAATCACTGTAGAAAACGATTTTTTTTTCCAAAGCCATTTCAGGTAAAAATGTTTTGTTTTATAGCTGTTATTGTATGTGTCAGTTCCAAAATACTTCTAGGGAATATCTGCATAGAATCTATATACAAAAGTATGTCATAATTCCATCACAAAAACATGATTTCTAAAACTGGATATTGGTAAGAAAGGTATCTAAGTAACAAGGGAGGCAACCACACCTTGCTTATCAAATGTGTATTTATTGGCTGTAAACATACAACCAGAATCTGTTTTATTGTGGTTATTAATTGATGGGATAATTTTGTTCTTGTTTGTCTATGCAGTAATAGACCACATCTATATGAATCAAATTCTGAAAGATTACTAAAAATACCATGCATCATACAGAAATTTAAAAAAAGTGATACTGTGAATTTTATTATTTTTGTGGGCACCAATTTTCATGGATTAAGAAAAAATTGTGTTTTCCATTGATACTGGTCTTTATGGCTTTGCCAAAGTCTGCATACAAACTTTAGAAAATATGCAGTTTGTTGAATATTTCATTTTGTGGTTTACCTATACCCACGAAATCCATGAAAATTGATATCCCACAAAAAATAATTAAAATCAACAGTAATAGCAATAACATTATTTATTATTTATATGACATGTTTTTAGCCATTATATATATATTTCAGGGTCTACACTGTAACGCTAACCACTGGCCATGTCTTGATAATGTAATCACTTTACTGTATGCTATGAATGATTACTGGTGTAAGTTTGTACTTAAAGACTAGATATAAAAACATTTAAGCTTAGTGAAATGAAAGGTGTTTAATTGATAAAAAAAAATCAATTGTAGAAGGTTAAAAGGTGCTTTACTTATGTAATTCTTTGAAGTATTTACTTTTGTAGGATATTAATAAGAGTAGAGGTTGAGTTTATGTTAATTATACAGCAACCCAACAATGCAAATAACCTGTACACATCTATGGAATATACTACTGTACTGTCAACAATGCACTCTCACAGACAAAAATACTTAATCACAGTTCACTATGTATACTGTGGAATCATTATCATTCTTGGGATACCAATTTTCTAGAATTTTTAGGTATAGTTAAACCAAGAATTTAAATGTTCAACGAAGTACAAGTTTTCTATAGGCTTATAGGCAAACTTTGACAACACCACAAAATTAGATAATCATGAAAAACATGATTGTTCTTCAATAAGTTGGTATCCACAAAAATAAATGAATCCACATTAAATCTTACTCAAACACTAGCTCCTTTATAGTTTATACATAAAACTGCTATATGGACCTTAGTGCCTTAACACTATTTGGTGAATTATGTTTTAACTTTACAGACTGTCTTTTCTACATATCAAAAGCCCTTGTGAAAGACCATGGGTATACTAAAGGTCTTGTTCTCAGAAGTCAAATCTTCAAAGAGGATCCATCACTTAGAGAAACTACAATAAATATGTTCAAAGATTGGTAAGTTCTTGTGTTTAGCATTTAATGTTAAGTCTCCTTTGGTACATTTAATATGAGGCAGGTGTTACCTTTGACAGAGGACAATTCTGAATAAGTTGCTATTTAGAATACTGTAAATTCAGAAGTTATTCTGTGCGTTAGTTTTTGCTATTTTTGAAGAATGGACAAAAATGCGAGATTAATTATTGCGATTTCAAGAAAATCTGTAGACAGATATATATATCAGATATAAGAATGCGAGTTCTGATTATTGTGATACACACTAAGTCGCATTATTCGCATTGATAAAAACCTTGCAATAATTTCTGAATTTGCAGTAGCATTAAATTAACAAAGAGATAATTTGAATTTTATTTATTAAATTTTGCATGGTGTAATGCAAACATCATTTGAAAAATAATCAGCTATACATGTTAGTGGAAATACATTACTTAATATGAATTTGTCACACAATTTTTGATGAAAACGTCAATGAAAATATTGCAATTTCCTGGATGTTAGTCATGCAATTGTACAATTTATGAATGAAGTCATTATCAATGTAAACAAAGGAATACCTACTTCAATTTCAGCTATTAACATTTATTTTGTATTATAGTATTTTTTTGTAAAAATAATCTTAATCTAATAATTTATACCTGAAAATAAGGTAGATAATTTGTCTATGTTACATAAAACTGCATTAGTTATAACAAGAGCATGTTGTGTGTAATGTTTGCGATTTAAGTTCGAACAATCTTATGAAAGTAGAGGTGCGAAATGCACACGTTTTAATATACTGACAGAAAATAAAAGAACGTTATAGGAATAACAATAGTACTGTCAAAATAAGATTTCTCTATATTGATAACTGAAAAAGTTGGCAAGGAAATGGTATAAGTTTTATTTTTTTATAGGCATCATACTATGTCTACAAATCTTCAGGAAATTGTATTCTCCTTTATTATGTTTTACAAAAATCCTGTAAAATCCTCCAATGCTCTAGAAAATTGCACATATGTGAAAATATTTAAGAAAAAAGCATGATTACTAGTGTTTATCTTTTATATAGATTTCTGCTGTAATGAGGGCTTTGTCCTCTTTTACATGTAAATAGTAAACAATTGTTTCATTATCATTTTTAGGGTTTTTGATTTTGGATAGGTTTCTGTCATTGTTTATGCCACATTTTGCACTAAGCTATATGTATAGGCCTTGTTCAGCTCTTTGTATGGTGTGAGTTTAAGCTTATTGTTAATGACCATCCTATGTTAAAATATCACTTTATTCTATAGAATTACTCCTTCTACATTTTTTCAGTGACCCTGCTATAGATAACATAGAGATTGATGCTGAAGATAAAGAAGAGGTAAGTCCAGTATTACTGTTAATTTGGGGGGAGGGGCAACCTGCTGTATAAATAGGGCTATGGACTACTTGCCCAAATAGCTCTTGTGTTCATACTGAAAAATACATGTAAAGCCGCTCCCCCAAATGCAACTTATCAATAAAACTGTGAATTTGGGGTAACTTAAGGTTTAAATTTTACCCCCTCTCTGGAAATGCTTCTTGTAGGTTTTCCTAATGCTCAGTTTAGATTATTTTTTTTCACAAGTATAATACCTAACCATGATAAATTGAGTAAAGAAAGAATTATTTCTTAAATAAATTTCAATTACTATTTCTGTTTCCGTTGTTATTTCTTGTTATTTCAACACTAAAAAAACTATTATCAGCTTTCTGTGATTTGGCAGTTTCTGTCTACCTATTAAGACAATACATGTTTCCTATTTAAAGATTTCCTGTATCAGCATTTTGCGTGTTACCACTATCAATGAAGTTAGTGTATCAAATGAGATAGATATCAGTTGTATGTGTTTGTCCTTTTTTTTTATCATAGTAATGCATATTTCAGTCCTTCTTTAAGATTAGTATTTGGCTAAATTTTCCCCTTTTGTGTTTATTAAAATGATATTTTAATGTATGACATTGTATATCAAATACTATTTTTAGTTTGTCAATGAGTGTTTAAAGCTGGCTGAAGAAAGAAGACAACTATCAAAGCCCAAAATGTTACAAATGGTCAAATTACCAGTCCCTATACAATTATATACGTAAGTTTTAAAACTCATATTACAAGACGAATATAAATTAATTGAAAGTAGAAGCCCTACAAAGTGATTAAAAAAAACAGTGTAAAAATTAGAATATGTAGATGTACAAGACATTCTATCCTAATGCTATGGTAAAACTTTGCATTTACTAACTTGGAAAAACAACGTATCAGGTTAAAGTTTTGGTTTAAGTTAGTTGATATTGTGGTCAACTTTAATATAAAATTAATGAGATGTGGTTTATTTGCCAATGAGACAACCATCCACCAGAGGTCAAATGATAAAGATATCAGCAATTATAGGTTCCATACAGCCTTCAATAGTAGACTTTCGAATTCATGCACTTTCCTGTAAATTTCCTATGTCACAATACATATGTTATTACATCACAGTAAGAACCGATTGTTCAATGATGTCGTTAACTCTGATTGACCCCGGGTCAAACGTTGTAACTCATTCATAATAAACATTCGATATCGGAGTATAATGAGAAAATTCATACAGTATAGTCCGCTTATTTTTTGTTGGTGAGGCAAGGTGTCCTAAGAACACATATTCTTGTTTTTTCCTATATGTGAATTTTAATGCTTCTACTATCAGTTACAATATGAGCTGCTTTGGATAGAAAGCGACCTTATCTGCCATTATCAATGCATCTGTTAACTTATTTAGGGTTGAAAAAAATCTTTTTGCAAAGTCTGTAACTGTTTCGAAATTGAGTTGATATAAGAACCCTACTAAACAGACCAAAATTCATCTTTTATATCGTATTTGAATGTTCCAAAACCAATCAAAGTTGTATACATGTACATGTATATGTGCACTTGCATAAGGTCAATTTCTATTCAACGCAGCTCATATGTAATGAGATATAATTTTGATTTTACAGGTGGTGTAGCCTAGGAGAAGCCTTGTTGACATTATACAATATGTAATGAGATATAATTTTGGTTTTACAGGTGGTGTAGCCTAGGAGAAGCCTTGTTGACATTATACAATATGTAATGAGATATAATTTTGATTTTACAGGTGGTGTAGCCTAGGAGAAGCCTTGTTGACATTATACAATATGTAATGAGATATAATTTTGATTTTTACAGGTGGTGTAGCCTAGGAGAAGCCTTGTTGACATTATACAATATGTAATGATATATAATTTTGATTTTACAGGTTGTGTAGCCTAGGAGAAGCCTTGTTGACATTAAACAATATGTAATGAGATATAATTTTGATTTTTACAGGTGGTGTAGCCTAGGAGAAGCCTTGTTGACATTAAACAATATGTAATGAGATATAATTTTGATTTTTACAGGTGGTGTAGCCTAGGAGAAGCCTTGTTGACATTATACAATATGTAATGAGATATAATTTTGATTTTTCAGGTGGTGTAGCCTAGGAGAAGCCTTGTTGACATTATACAATATGTAATGAGATATAATTTTGATTTTACAGGTGGTGTAGCCTAGGAGAAGCCTTGTTGACATTATACAATATGTAATGAGATATAATTTTGATTTTAGAGGTGGTGTAGCCTAGGAGAAGCCTTGTTGACATTATACAATATGTAATGAGATATAATTTTGATTTTTACAGGTGGTGTAGCCTAGGAGAAGCCTTGTTGACATTATACAATATGTAATGAGATATAATTTTGATTTTTACAGGTGGTGTAGCCTAGGAGAAGCCTTGTTGACATTAAACAATATGTAATGATATATAATTTTGATTTTACTGGTGGTGTAGCCTAGGAGAAGCCTTGTTGACATTATACAATATGTAATGAGATATAATTTTGATTTTTACAGGTGGTGTAGCCTAGGAGAAGCCTTGTTGACATTATACAATATGTAATGAGATATAATTTTGATTTTACAGGTGGTGTAGCCTAGGAGAAGCCTTGTTGACATTATACAATATGTAATGAGATATAATTTTGATTTTACATGTGGTGTAGCCTAGGAGAAGCCTTGTTGACATTATACAATATGTAATGAGATATAATTTTGATTTTACAGGTGTAGTAGCCTAGGAGAAGCCTTGTTGACATTATACAATATGTAATGAGATATAATTTTGATTTTACAGGTGGTGTAGCCTAGGAGAAGCCTTGTTGACATTATACAATATGTAATGAGAAATAATTTTGATTTTACAGGTGGTGTAGCCTAGGAGAAGCCTTGTTGACATTATACAATATGTAATGAGATATAAGTTTGATTTTACAGGTGGTGTAGCCTAGGAGAAGCCTTGTTGACATTATACAATATGTAATGAGATATAATTTTGATTTTACAGGTGGTGTAGCCTAGGAGAAGCCTTGTTGACATTATACAATATGTAATGAGATATAATTTTGATTTTACAGGTGGTGTAGCCTAGGAGAAGCCTTGTTGACATTATACAATATGTAATGAGATATAATTTTGATTTTTACAGGTGGTGTAGCCTAGGAGAAGCCTTGTTGACATTATACAATATGTGATGATATATAATTTTGATTTTACAGGTGGTGTAGCCTAGGAGAAGCCTTGTTGACATTATACAATATGTAATGAGATATAATTTTGATTTTACAGGTGGTGTAGCCTAGGAGAAGCCTTGTTGACATTATACAATATGTAATGAGATATAATTTTGATTTTAGAGGTGGTGTAGCCTAGGAGAAGCCTTGTTGACATTATACAATATGTAATGAGATATGATTTTGATTTTACAGGTGGTGTAGCCTAGGAAAAGCCTTGTTGACATTATACAATATGTAATGAGATATAATTTTGATTTTACAGGTGGTGTAGCCTAGGAGAAGCCTTGTCGACATTATACAATATGTAATGAGATATAATTTTGATTTTTACAGGTGGTGTAGCCTAGGAGAAGCCTTGTTGACATTATACAATATGTAATGATATATAATTTTGATTTTACAGGTGGTGTAGCCTAGGAGAAGCCTTGTTGACATTATACAATATGTAATGAGATATAATTTTGATTTTTACAGGTGGTGTAGCCTAGGAGAAGCCTTGTTGACATTAAACAATATGTAATGATATATAATTTTGATTTTACTGGTGGTGTAGCCTAGGAGAAGCCTTGTTGACATTATACAATATGTAATGAGATATAATTTTGATTTTTACAGGTGGTGTAGCCTAGGAGAAGCCTTGTTGACATTATACAATATGTAATGAGATATAATTTTGATTTTACATGTGGTGTAGCCTAGGAGAAGCCTTGTTGACATTATACAATATGTAATGAGATATAATTTTGAATTTACAGGTGGTGTAGCCTAGGAGAAGCCTTGTTGACATTATACAATATGTAATGATATATAATTTTGATTTTACAGGTGGTGTAGCCTAGGAGAAGCCTTGTTGACATTATACAATATGTAATGAGATATAATTTTGAATTATAGGTGGTGTAGCCTAGGAGAAGCCTTGTTGACATTATACAATATGTAATGATATATAATTTGGATTTTTACAGGTGGTGTAGCCTAGGAGAAGCCTTGTTGACATTATACAATATGTAATGAGATATAATTTGGATTTTTACAGGTGGTGTAGCCTAGGAGAAGCCTTGTTGACATTATACAATATGTAATGAGATATAATTTTGATTTTACAGGTGGTGTAGCCTAGGAGAAGCCTTGTTGACATTAGACAATATGTAATGAGATGTAATTTTTATTTTACAGGTGGTGTAGCCTAGGAGAAGCCTTGTTGACATTATACAATATGTAATGATATATAATTTTGATTTTACAGGTGGTGTAGCCTAGGAGAAGCCTTGTTGACATTATACAATATGTAATGAGATATAATTTTGATTTTACAGGTGGTGTAGCCTAGGAGAAGCCTTGTCGACATTATACAATATGTAATGAGATATAATTTTGATTTTTACAGGTGGTGTAGCCTAGGAGAAGCCTTGTTGACATTATACAATATGTAATGATATATAATTTTGATTTTACAGGTGGTGTAGCCTAGGAGAAGCCTTGTTGACATTATACAATATGTAATGAGATATAATTTTGATTTTTACAGGTGGTGTAGCCTAGGAGAAGCCTTGTTGACATTAAACAATATGTAATGATATATAATTTTGATTTTACTGGTGGTGTAGCCTAGGAGAAGCCTTGTTGACATTATACAATATGTAATGAGATATAATTTTGATTTTTACAGGTGGTGTAGCCTAGGAGAAGCCTTGTTGACATTATACAATATGTAATGAGATATAATTTTGATTTTACATGTGGTGTAGCCTAGGAGAAGCCTTGTTGACATTATACAATATGTAATGAGATATAATTTTGAATTTACAGGTGGTGTAGCCTAGGAGAAGCCTTGTTGACATTAGACAATATGTAATGAGATGTAATTTTTATTTTACAGGTGGTGTAGCCTAGGAGAAGCCTTGTTGACATTATACAATATGTAATGAGATATAATTTTGATTTTAGAGGTGGTGTAGCCTAGGAGAAGCCTTGTTGACATTAAACAATATGTAATGAGATATAATTTTGATTTTACAGGTGGTGTAGCCTAGGAGAAGCCTTGTTGACATTATACAATATGTAATGAGATATAATTTTGATTTTTACAGGTGGTGTAGCCTAGGAGAAGCCTTGTTGACATTATACAATATGTAATGATATATAATTTTGATTTTACAGGTTGTGTAGCCTAGGAGAAGCCTTGTTGACATTAAACAATATGTAATGAGATATAATTTTGATTTTTACAGGTGGTGTAGCCTAGGAGAAGCCTTGTTGACATTAAACAATATGTAATGAGATATAATTTTGATTTTTACAGGTGGTGTAGCCTAGGAGAAGCCTTGTTGACATTATACAATATGTAATGAGATATAATTTTGATTTTTCAGGTGGTGTAGCCTAGGAGAAGCCTTGTTGACATTATACAATATGTAATGAGATATAATTTTGATTTTACAGGTGGTGTAGCCTAGGAGAAGCCTTGTTGACATTATACAATATGTAATGAGATATAATTTTGATTTTAGAGGTGGTGTAGCCTAGGAGAAGCCTTGTTGACATTATACAATATGTAATGAGATATAATTTTGATTTTTACAGGTGGTGTAGCCTAGGAGAAGCCTTGTTGACATTATACAATATGTAATGAGATATAATTTTGATTTTTACAGGTGGTGTAGCCTAGGAGAAGCCTTGTTGACATTAAACAATATGTAATGATATATAATTTTGATTTTACTGGTGGTGTAGCCTAGGAGAAGCCTTGTTGACATTATACAATATGTAATGAGATATAATTTTGATTTTTACAGGTGGTGTAGCCTAGGAGAAGCCTTGTTGACATTATACAATATGTAATGAGATATAATTTTGATTTTACAGGTGGTGTAGCCTAGGAGAAGCCTTGTTGACATTATACAATATGTAATGAGATATAATTTTGATTTTACATGTGGTGTAGCCTAGGAGAAGCCTTGTTGACATTATACAATATGTAATGAGATATAATTTTGATTTTACAGGTGTAGTAGCCTAGGAGAAGCCTTGTTGACATTATACAATATGTAATGAGATATAATTTTGATTTTACAGGTGGTGTAGCCTAGGAGAAGCCTTGTTGACATTATACAATATGTAATGAGAAATAATTTTGATTTTACAGGTGGTGTAGCCTAGGAGAAGCCTTGTTGACATTATACAATATGTAATGAGATATAAGTTTGATTTTACAGGTGGTGTAGCCTAGGAGAAGCCTTGTTGACATTATACAATATGTAATGAGATATAATTTTGATTTTACAGGTGGTGTAGCCTAGGAGAAGCCTTGTTGACATTATACAATATGTAATGAGATATAATTTTGATTTTACAGGTGGTGTAGCCTAGGAGAAGCCTTGTTGACATTATACAATATGTAATGAGATATAATTTTGATTTTTACAGGTGGTGTAGCCTAGGAGAAGCCTTGTTGACATTATACAATATGTGATGATATATAATTTTGATTTTACAGGTGGTGTAGCCTAGGAGAAGCCTTGTTGACATTATACAATATGTAATGAGATATAATTTTGATTTTACAGGTGGTGTAGCCTAGGAGAAGCCTTGTTGACATTATACAATATGTAATGAGATATGATTTTGATTTTACAGGTGGTGTAGCCTAGGAGAAGCCTTGTTGACATTATACAATATGTAATGAGATATGATTTTGATTTTACAGGTGGTGTAGCCTAGGAAAAGCCTTGTTGACATTATACAATATGTAATGAGATATAATTTTGATTTTACAGGTGGTGTAGCCTAGGAGAAGCCTTGTCGACATTATACAATATGTAATGAGATATAATTTTGATTTTTACAGGTGGTGTAGCCTAGGAGAAGCCTTGTTGACATTATACAATATGTAATGATATATAATTTTGATTTTACAGGTGGTGTAGCCTAGGAGAAGCCTTGTTGACATTATACAATATGTAATGAGATATAATTTTGATTTTTACAGGTGGTGTAGCCTAGGAGAAGCCTTGTTGACATTAAACAATATGTAATGATATATAATTTTGATTTTACTGGTGGTGTAGCCTAGGAGAAGCCTTGTTGACATTATACAATATGTAATGAGATATAATTTTTATTTTTACAGGTGGTGTAGCCTAGGAGAAGCCTTGTTGACATTATACAATATGTAATGAGATATAATTTTGATTTTACATGTGGTGTAGCCTAGGAGAAGCCTTGTTGACATTATACAATATGTAATGAGATATAATTTTGAATTTACAGGTGGTGTAGCCTAGGAGAAGCCTTGTTGACATTATACAATATGTAATGATATATAATTTTGATTTTACAGGTGGTGTAGCCTAGGAGAAGCCTTGTTGACATTATACAATATGTAATGAGATATAATTTTGAATTATAGGTGGTGTAGCCTAGGAGAAGCCTTGTTGACATTATACAATATGTTATGATATATAATTTGGATTTTTACAGGTGGTGTAGCCTAGGAGAAGCCTTGTTGACATTATACAATATGTAATGAGATATAATTTGGATTTTTACAGGTGGTGTAGCCTAGGAGAAGCCTTGTTGACATTATACAATATGTAATGAGATATAATTTTGATTTTACAGGTGGTGTAGCCTAGGAGAAGCCTTGTTGACATTAGACAATATGTAATGAGATGTAATTTTTATTTTACAGGTGGTGTAGCCTAGGAGAAGCCTTGTTGACATTATACAATATGTAATGATATATAATTTTGATTTTACAGGTGGTGTAGCCTAGGAGAAGCCTTGTTGACATTATACAATATGTAATGAGATATAATTTTGATTTTACAGGTGGTGTAGCCTAGGAGAAGCCTTGTCGACATTATACAATATGTAATGAGATATAATTTTGATTTTTACAGGTGGTGTAGCCTAGGAGAAGCCTTGTTGACATTATACAATATGTAATGATATATAATTTTGATTTTACAGGTGGTGTAGCCTAGGAGAAGCCTTGTTGACATTATACAATATGTAATGAGATATAATTTTGATTTTTACAGGTGGTGTAGCCTAGGAGAAGCCTTGTTGACATTAAACAATATGTAATGATATATAATTTTGATTTTACTGGTGGTGTAGCCTAGGAGAAGCCTTGTTGACATTATACAATATGTAATGAGATATAATTTTGATTTTTACAGGTGGTGTAGCCTAGGAGAAGCCTTGTTGACATTATACAATATGTAATGAGATATAATTTTGATTTTACATGTGGTGTAGCCTAGGAGAAGCCTTGTTGACATTATACAATATGTAATGAGATATAATTTTGAATTTACAGGTGGTGTAGCCTAGGAGAAGCCTTGTTGACATTAGACAATATGTAATGAGATGTAATTTTTATTTTACAGGTGGTGTAGCCTAGGAGAAGCCTTGTTGACATTATACAATATGTAATGAGATATAATTTTGATTTTAGAGGTGGTGTAGCCTAGGAGAAGCCTTGTTGACATTAAACAATATGTAATGAGATATAATTTTGATTTTACAGGTGGTGTAGCCTAGGAGAAGCCTTGTTGACATTATACAATATGTAATGATATATAATTTGGATTTTTACAGGTGGTGTAGCCTAGGAGAAGCCTTGTTGACATTATACAATATGTAATGAGATATAATTTTGAATTTACAGGTGGTGTAGCCTAGGAGAAGCCTTGTTGACATTATACAATATGTAATGATATATAATTTGGATTTTTACAGGTGGTGTAGCCTAGGAGAAGCCTTGTTGACATTATACAATATGTAATGAGATATAATTTGGATTTTTACAGGTGGTGTAGCCTAGGAGAAGCCTTGTTGACATTATACAATATGTAATGAGATATAATTTTGATTTTACTGGTGGTGTAGCCTAGGAGAAGCCTTGTTGACATTAGACAATATGTAATGAGATGTAATTTTTATTTTACAGGTGGTGTAGCCTAGGAGAAGCCTTGTTGACATTATACAATATGTAATGATATATAATTTTGATTTTACAGGTGGTGTAGCCTAGGAGAAGCCTTGTTGACATTATACAATATGTAATGAGATATAATTTTGATTTTTACAGGTGGTGTAGCCTAGGAGAAGCCTTGTTGACATTAAACAATATGTAATGAGATATAATTTTGATTTTTACAGGTGGTGTAGCCTAGGAGAAGCCTTGTTGACATTAAACAATATGTAATGAGATATAATTTTGATTTTTACAGGTGGTGTAGCCTAGGAGAAGCCTTGTTGACATTATACAATATGTAATGAGATATAATTTTGATTTTTACAGGTGGTGTAGCCTAGGAGAAGCCTTGTTGACATTATACAATATGTAATGAGATATAATTTTGATTTTACAGGTGGTGTAGCCTAGGAGAAGCCTTTTTGACATTATACAATATGTAATGATATATAATTTGGATTTTTACAGGTGGTGTAGCCTAGGAGAAGCCTTGTTGACATTATACAATATGTAATGAGATATAATTTGGATTTTTACAGGTGGTGTAGCCTAGGAGAAGCCTTGTTGACATTATACAATATGTAATGAGATATAATTTTGATTTTACAGGTGGTGTAGCCTAGGAGAAGCCTTGTTGACATTAGACAATATGTAATGAGATGTAATTTTTATTTTACAGGTGGTGTAGCCTAGGAGAAGCCTTGTTGACATTATACAATATGTAATGAGATATAATTTTGATTTTAGAGGTGGTGTAGCCTAGGAGAAGCCTTGTTGACATTAAACAATATGTAATGAGATATAATTTTGATTTTACAGGTGGTGTAGCCTAGGAGAAGCCTTGTTGACGTTAAACAATATGTAATGAGATATAATTTTGATTTTACAGGTGGTGTAGCCTAGGAGAAGCCTTGTTGACATTATACAATATGTAATGAGATATAATTTTGATTTTACAGGTGGTGTAGCCTAGGAGAAGCCTTGTTGACATTATACAATATGTAATGAGATATAATTTTGATTTTACAGGTGGTGTAACCTAGGAGAAGCCTTGTTGACATTATACAATATATAATGAGATATAATTTTAATTTTACAGGTGGTGTAGCCTAGGAGAAGCCTTGTTGGCATTATATAAGATGCTGAAGTCTTCAGATCCTCCTGTTGTAAGATAACGTTTATGATGAATTATACACGTACACGATGAAATATACATGTCACAGTTTGTTAATTGGATTGTAATTTTGGCTTGTTACACACACTAAAGTCTTAACACTGCAACCTATTATATTGAGTAACTCTGCTTTACCACCACAAAATAACAGACCATTTGATGGCTGATTTTCATGAGTAATTGAGGTTTACTATTTTTCAATGATTGTAATAATTTTCATTATACATCCCTTTTGCACCACTTCATAATGTAAAAGTTGATTTAACTTATTCAGTCTTGCAAATTTTGTATTGCTTTAAGTTGAACAACAGACAAAATTGTTAGATTTAAGATTTCAGGAAATGCTGCAAACAAATAAAGGTATTACAATCTAAAATGTGACTTCTTATTTTTTGCAATATTGGCAACAATGAAAACATTGCAAAAATTTCTTAACTTACAGTAATTGTTGACTTCAAGTATCTCTAGAATGAAAATATACAAGTTGATACCATATTCTACAAAATTTTATTGTATTTTATTATATGTTATTCTTACAAAATATGAACACTTTACAGAGTATGGGATGTCGTGTGGACTTTTCTGCTTACAATGGAGAGGAAAAAGTAAAAGAGGCAGAAGAACAGCCAATGGAAACAGATGCTGCCATGACAACCAATGACATGATGGTAGATGATGTTGATGAAGCAGCAGATCAGTTTGATTCTAAGACAGTTACCTCCCTTGAACAGTTCCTGTCAAATTTACCAGCTGACCAAATGACAGAACTTTTACAGAGTACTCCACCAACACCAAGCTCAGGTACAGTGTTGCAGTTATAAAAAAAAACAAGGGTGATTTATTGGTTGATTTCTATTTTTATTGAAACTGGAGGGGTTCTTGCCTTTATAAAGCTCTTGCCAAGTTCCACAAAGTTCCATAAATTTCTCCCTCCAAAATTCAAACATAAACAATTGAATCAATTTCACGCTAGAATGACAGTTTAAAGAGGTCTTGGAAATATAAAGTAACAAGAAATTCCAAAGACAAATGAAATTGAAATAATGAAATATTTAAAAAAATAAAATAAAATGGCACAAGTAATGATATATCTTTTCCTGAAAATCTTTGATATTATGGAAATTTGTATATTTTTGTTCCCTGTTGCACAATACCATCCATAAATTGAAATCTGATATCAATTTCTCAGTGCATTTATTCATAAACTAGTGAACAGGAGAATTTGTTCTTGCAGTTACAACAACTGTACAAGATCACAACACAAGTATATCATCCCCAATGGAAACAAGTGTCATAAAACAGGCAGATAGTGTGCCAAAAGTTGACACAGATGATATCCCTAAAGAAGGGACCCTATCTGAAAAAAAGGACACTGAATCGGCAGACATGTTGTCTAAAGATGAAATTTCAGGGGAAACAAAAGCTGATTCTTCTATTGATACTTTATCCAAGGAACTCTTTCCAGCAGACAGTTTATCAAAATCAAAAACTCCTAAGAGAAAGAAAGGTTTCTTGGAGGATTTTGGTGGGAAAAGAAGATCTGCGAGGGTAAGTAAGCAATAAAAGGTAAAAAATTTTAATGTCCATGACGTTAAATATTAATGATAGATATATATACCACAAAACATTAACATTCTCAGTTTTAATTCTTTAGAACACAGCTTTATTGAGTAAGATAATCTTTCAAGGTAAAAAACACTGCTTTATTGAGTAAGATAATCTTACAAGGTAAAAAGAGTAATAATTAACATCTTACATCAATAGACAACTTTCGAGTTCGATGCATTTCTGTCAAAAACTCTGGTTTTAGTGAACATCATTCGTGCGTTTATGGGCATCGTCACATCCGTTCCAATGTTGAGCGAGTGGTTGGAAAACTATAAATGCTATATTGAACGAATTATTCGGCAAATTAAATTCTCATAATTGAAAATCAGCACTGCTGTCATTAGGGAATTGTGATTAAGTACTTACAAAACAAACGTTATTTCTAGTTTATCGTGCACAATGACGATCACTAAGACGCTTGATGAACGTTAATAGTGCAGGGATACAGGCGATCCCCTCTATCTGGTAAATGACGTCATAAAGGCGCACATAATTGACGAGTTTTTTTCCGGTGACGGATGAACTCGAAAGTGGTCTATTGTAAACGCATTGGATAACAAGTTTTCAGAAATTGATAGATATTAAATATGTATGCATATGAATCTGACCTCGTACAACAAGAAAAAAGTTATATTTATAGGGATCCATTATTTATTTGAAATAACCAATATTTTTAAGTACTGCAAAATTAAGTAATTATAATGTTTTAAAGTTGTATACAGGAAAGTTATACCCATATGTCTATGTTGTTTTAGGTTAGAAATACCAGTAAAAGAAAGGAAGAGGACTGTGTTAATTTTCAGGGATTATTACTCACATTCTTGCCGTCAACACTCAGGTATAAATTTATCCTTCAGCTTCCTCATTGCATCATTCAGCCATAGGATTCTATTAAGGAATAAGCCTAAGTAAACAGCTTTGTTGGACAACTGAATTTCAATTTCTTTTAACTGAAAATTTCCATTTCTTTTAACTGAAAATTTCATTTGAATATCTCAAACCCCATTTTTCAACCATTCAGTCCCATTTCATTACTAATCCACATATGAGGAAAGAATTTCGAATTGTATTTAGCATAATACCATGTTCATAGTAGTAAATAATATTTTTTCAGGGACTATGATGAAGAAGTTAGTGGATTACTACAGCCAATGGAAGAAACATCAGCTGTTAAACCAGCAGGTAATAGAGAAATAACCTTTAACCTATTTCTTGTTATGGATATAAATATTTACATTATTTACAATCATGTTTTCTTACTTGAAAAAAAAACCAATATGTACAGAAAATTTAAAAATAAAAAATAATTCTTTAAAGAAATGTTAGTCCATATAAAGGAAAGGAAATGCCAGACTAAAAATTTGAGTAGGACACATACATTTAAATTTTACATATATCAATTATATTTGACCACTTCTGTCCTTTTGTACAGTATGTCTGTATATGCTAGAAAAATATTTGAATAAAAGGTGATGTTGGGTATACTTCAATGAGACAGTAACCCAATAAACTAAATATAGAGGTCAACATATGGCCTTCAACAATAGACAAGTGTCAATATAATATAAAAAGGTTGTGTTTTGGTTTGTTTCTCAGAAAAGTATGGTAATATTTTAACAATATTTCATTACTACAGTCCTTCAGTGTAGAACAAATATATTTTTAACACAATTTTTCTTTCACTCTTGTCTTTACTTTCAAACCTTCAAAAAAAGTTGTCTTCTGAATAAAAATTATATATACAATAATATTTTGACAGAACCTGAAGCAGTATTGTCTGCTAAAAGTCTTTGTGATACAGAAAAAGAAGAGATTCGTCAGTTGTTGCTGACCATGCAGAAAAATAGTGGCTGTTTAGATCTGATGATGCAGTTCATATTCAAATTAGCTGAGAAATCTAATCTTAAATGGTATGTATATAAATAATTCATAATGATTTCATCAATTTAATAGAAATAAGAAGATGTGGTATGAGCGCCAATAAGACAACTCTCCATCCAAGTCACAATGTGTAAAAAGTAAACAATTATAGGTCAAAGTACGGCCTTCAACACAGAGCCTTGGTTCACACCGAACAGCAAGCTATAAAGGGCCCCAAAATTACTAGTGTAAAACATTTCAAACAGGAAAACCAACAGTTAATCTATATAAAAAACGAGAAACTCTTATGAACCACATCAACCACTGAACAACAGGTAAACTTAGTACAAAAGCAATTTGGCTGATGATAATTAAAAGTTAACATAAGGAGTTTAACTTATTCTGGGTAAAAGCAAATATACTCACAGAAACTCAGACAGCAGTGGTTCACTTATCTTTCTTACTCATAAAAAAATAGTATATTTTTATTTTATAGGAAAGTTTTCTTCAATGTTATTTTATATACATTTGTCTCACAAGTCAAATGCTTTATAAATGATGTATGTAACTTAGATGACCTTTGAAAGTTATTCACATCATTACATGTACACAAAACAGCAAAATCAAAATGTATCTATCAGATTGTAAATGGTAACTTTGGGTTGGTCCCTGGTATTGGTTTGTAATTTTATGGGATGAATTTTTGTTACATACCATTATTTAAGTCCAGTTGGGGCCTCAGTGGCTGAGTGGTCTAAATAGTCGAACTACTGCACCACTAGCAAGTCAACACTGAGGTTGTGAATTAGAATCCTGCACGGGAGAGGTGCACTCGACTCCAATCTTAATTGACTAGGATTGTCAGTTTCCCTGTTGAAAGTCGGTGGTTCTCTCCAGGCACTCCGGCTTCCTCCACCAATTAAATCTGAGTCACGAAATAGCACAGTACGTGTAGTGTTGAAAGTGGCATTAAACACCAATCAATCAATCAATCAGTTAAGTACAGTGAGCATGTTTAAAAGATACCAGATTTATTGTTCTATGTGCAATAGAAGTAGCATACATGAGTTGAATGAACACATTTGTATATTTTATTAATTTTTCTGGTTTTGCAGTGACAGTTCATAAAAAATAATCATGTTTGTAATTTATTTGATTTTTCTTAATTATATAAAATTTTAGTTTCAGATTTTTTAACTTTTATGAACCATGAACAAAATACTTTACAAATTTAGATGATTTGTAATTCATCAAATAATTTGGTTTCCACTATTTGTAATAAGCAGCATTTACTAATAAAGTGTAAATATAAAGTTCTTGAATGCTCACTCAAAACCTATGATCTATATGTATATATTTTTTTTCCTTTTTCCTTAGGCCAGTTGGTCTCACTGGTGTTTATCTGAGGGTATACAAGATGGTGAGGAATCATTTTGACCTTCCTGATACTTTTTGGTATGTTTATATCATTATTTTATTCAATAAACTGTCATTTTATGTAACTTATAAACAATAGGTGTTGTAATGTCTAGCAATGCAATTTTCCAGTCAAATTATTTTAATTTTATTCATATTTTAAAGTTTTTCATTCTATCCATTTACTTATGGAGTATGAAGACTGCACTTTATCAAAGAAATAATTTGGATCATACATTTGTTAAAAATTCATTATGTAGATCTTTAGTACCAATTGTTTGAGAAACTTTGCAATTTCACTCTTACTTGTCATAGTTAACTCAGAATAACATATAATTCTCATACTATTAGAAAGTATCCAAAGCATGTAATAGGAACTCACGAAAGAAATTATATTTCTATGATTTGAACTTTGCATGGAAATATTGTTAAATCTGATGCTTTTTTGAATTTCAAAAAATGTTAAAAAAATAAATGTTTCAATAATAGTTGTTAATGGATGATATTTCAGTGATGATGAAATTGATGACAACTTGATAGAACTTGGAAAGGTGAGTAGAAATTCAATTTTGTGATGAGATTTAGAATGTATATTGTAATTCCATATATTTATACAGATCATTTTTCCCATTCAACCCTTTCTAGGCTCACTTTGTATTATAAGGGTCTCTGTGGAAAAGTGGTCTAAGAAGTTCATCTACAGCAATTACTAGCCTTTTAACACTGAGGTTGTAAGTTCGAACCCGCACTTGACAAGGTCATTTGACTTCAATCTTATTGTCCCCTGTGCATCGCATTGCGGGAGACATAGAAATACTGGGTATTGTACAATTCTTTCCAGATTTTGATGAAACTTATATTGTAGCTTTATATTAGCAATGTCTTGGATGAGTTCGAAAATCAGTGCCAATCAATTATTTTTAAAAGAGTTATGCCCCTTGGAAACATTAATGATATGGAAAAATTGCATCTTTAGTGCTCTCATGTGAACAATTCTTGCCAACTTGTATACCGTAAATTCAGAATTTATTGCGTGCATTTATTATTGCGATTTTATCATTTTAGACTAAATGCGATTTTAATTTTTGCGATTTTGAGAAAAATCCTGTTTAATTCATATAAAAAATTTCCAAAATGTGAGTTTAAATTATTGCGATTATAACCCTGTCGCATTTTTCGCAATAATAAAAACATTGAAAAATTTCTGAATTTACAGTAATAGGTTTATATTCATAATGTCTCTGACAAGTTCGAAAATTAGTGTCGATCAATTATTTTTTAAAGAGTTATACCCCTTGGAAATATTAATTATATGGAAAATTGCATTGTGAACGTTCTCGTTACAATTCTTACCAGATTTGTATGAAATTTATATTATAGGGTCATATCAGCAATGTCTCAGACAAGTTTGAAAATCAGTATTATCAATTATTTTTAAAAGAGTTCTACCACTTGAAAATATTGATTATATGGAAAATTGCATTGTTAGCGCTATCATGTGTACAGTTCTTGCCAGTTTTGTATGAAACTTATATCATAGTTTTATATCAGCAATGTCTCGGAACAATTTTGAAAATAAGTGCTGATCAAATATTTTTAACGAGTTATGCCCCTTGGAAATGTTAATTATATTGGAAATTGCTCTGTATTTGTTCTAAAGCCTTCATATCTGTAAGATATTTATAATAAGTTTTAAAGAACCAAAAAAAAAAGTTTTTACACAGATCAAGTTTGAATTTTGGTGGTGTCACTATAACCGTTCTAGAGTTTTTCCCCTTTACAAATGGAAAAATTGCTAAATTTTTCGTTTCCATTCTCTAACTTTAGTTTGCCTCAATCAAATGTTATGAAACTTATATACAATGCTTATTACCACATAATACAGATGTAGTTCGAAATTGGGTGGCGTCACTTTCACCATTCTTGAGTTATGCCCCTTTATAAACATAAAAATTGCATAATTTTTTGTTTCCGTTCTCTAACTTTAGTTTGCCTCAACCAAATGTTATGAAACTTATATACAATGCTTATTACCACATAATACAGATCTAGTTCCAAATTGGGTGGCGTCACTTTCACCGTTCTTGAGTGATGCCCCTTTATAAACATAAAAATTGCATAATTTTTCGTTTCCGTTCTCTTACTTTAGTTTGCCTCAACCAAATGTTATGAAACTTATACACAATGCTTATTACCACATAATACAGATCAAGTTTGAAATGTGGTGTCATCACTTTTACCGTTCTTGAGTTATGCCCCTATATAAACATAAAAATTGCATAATTTTTCGTTTCCGTTCTATAACTTTAGTTTGCCTCAACCAAATGCTATAACTTTAGTTTGCCTCAACCAAATGTTATGAAACTTATTCACAATGCTTATTACCACAAAACTCAGATCAAGTACAAATTTGGGTAGTGTCACTTTTACCCTTCTTCAGTTATGTCTCTTTATAACTTTATATTATATGCAAGCGGGAGCATCATCTGTGTCCCATGGACACATTACCCATTTATTTTACTTATTGTCCTTAGACCTTGGACAGATAGAATATGTGCAACGCGGGAGACATTAGAACTCTGTTCTTTTATTTAACCTGGATAGCCAATTTTCCTGATGAAGTCAGTAGTTATTTCTGGGCACTATTGCATCATATAAGTTTGATATCCCTGCTAATAAATGTTTAATTCCTTTAAAGTAAAATAAGATGTTTATAATTTTAGACTTTACTGTTGTATTCAGAACTGCAGCTTGACCATTGGACCGCAACCAAATCCAGATTCATGTCTTCTCCCAGACAGTATGTATTATCTAAAGTCATATGAAACGAGTTTCTAGTAATTATAAAGTTATCTAAATTATTGAACCAATACATCCATATATACTAAACTAAGTCCTGAATGCACGTTTTTTACATTTGATACGAATCTATAATGTATTATCGACAAGTAATATTTCATTCAGGGACTGTTGATTGCAAGTTAAATTAACTTTCGAGTTCATTGCCAAAGTTTACCAAATCGTGACATTTATGAACAATCAACACAGAACACATGGAACATGTAAAAAATAAGTGAATAATTAAAGCAATGATATTATTTTTTTTATATTTTCCATGCATTCCCAATTGTTAATTAAACTTTTCCTTAACATTTTTTAGACGATATGGTGTATTTAATTTGTTCTTTAGAATCAGTTATTACTTTTTGCCTTTAAGTCCACGTTTGTTTGCATTCTTTCATCACTGTTTTTTCCTCACACTTGCACTGTGTGGTGGCAGAAGTTCTAACAAGAGGTCTCTTGTTAAGGTCACTGCATACGGGAAAATATCGGCGAATTACCGTAGATACTCGCTTAATAGTCGATCCTACTATAAGTCGGGGTCCCTTTTCAGCTCCAAATTCTAAGGATTTAGTCTTGACCCTCGTATAAGTCGGACAAAATTTGGGCATTTTTTTTTCAGCTGACAGTAACTGAACGCCGGTAAAACCAATGCAAATCCAGGAATAATATTCATTTCTGCATTAATGTTTGTTTGGTTTGAATTTAGTTGATGCTCATCATGATAATTTATATTGCTGTTAATAATAAAGATGTATTCATTTCTCTTGTTTTGTTCACTGTTCAAATGTTAGATTAGCCATGTGTTGTTTACGTAATGCATCAATGATTTTGTAGGGTATGACTAACAACCTATTGTTTGAGAAAAGCGAATATAAACCAATATGAACCTGAAAAATTTAAAGTCAATCAACACTTGATGAAAATATTTTTCACAGCATACATAACTCGGTGTTAAATGAGCATGTACACTTCATAATTCTTATTATATTGTGATGATTAAAGGATTAAAAAAATTAAGTGAAGCTAATCAATATATTAAAATAACTAACTCCAACTCATTAGTGTCATCTGTTTACCTATCACTGATAGTTTTCACACCTTTAGTGAATACAACTCTTTGTCTCTTAATTGGGGTTATCAATGGATTATATTGGCTTGTCAATCAATTTTGTAATTTTTGTTTACCTGAGACACTATAATGAATAATATTTTGATTTTGGGAATGAATCTTAAAATTATTTTTTGATTATTATATGATTTATAAGCATTGAATTGATATCATGATATCACAATAATGACACAATAACTCCGCTGAAAACATCCTTTCACATATTTGGTACATTGTTATCTCCTTTTCATTTTTGGTTCTTGGCTCTTCTTTTGGGTTTATAGGAAAACCATCTGACCATGAAAATCAATACACAAACCGGAAACAGTAGAATTTCAACACGAATTTGCAGAAAATGTTTACCAAAGAACAAATAAAACACAAAGACAGTATTGAAGTCATTTATTTTCAACAAAAACTTTTTATTTATTGATTTATGTAGGTTTGGCAATCAAAAACGTAGTTTTGACCAGGAAATTCACTCTGACCACTTTTCTCAAGCTTGGATTTTTCCTCTGGTAGCTAGATCTCGTCTATTAGTCGGCCCCCCTCTCTGGATTATGAATTTTACTCCCAATTTTCCGACTAATAAGCGAGTAGGAACGGTAGTGTACGGGAAGACAATAATTCAGTAGTAGTACATTTATGAAGATTTTGATAAGATAATGATTTTCTTTTACAAGAAAGTTTACGTACACTTGTTTTATAGTAAAATTTAGCCATTCAAGGAAAGGTATATAAAATATATTCAACTTTTTTTTTAAATTTGAATTTTCTTATGACTTTAATTACTGTAACTCATTCAAGTATACTGAATAAAAAAGTTAAGTGAATGTTTGTAGTTATTGGGACCAACTGATACATACTGAATAAAAAAGTTTCGAAATATACCTTCACCAACATCTATATTTATATGCTTTATAACAACAAAATTAGTGTGATATACCGTTGAACATTCATATGAGCATGTATCAAGTTAATTTTAAGTTTTTTGAATTGATTTTTAATTTTTACATAGTGTTTAGTTCCATTATAAAAACCTTCCTTTATTTCTTTAAGTTTAACAGAATTTTAGATCCAGAATTAAATAGAACTTTAAATGTGAATTTGTCTATTATATCTCCCCTTCAACAAACGGAGATATTATGTTTTGGTAGTGCTTTTTCTTCTCATACAACCATGTCCTGGTGACAACCTTTTTATGCCCCACCTACGATAGTAGAGGCGCATTATGTTTTTCGGTCTGTGCGTCCGTTCGTTTGTCCGTCCGTCTGTCCCGCTTCAGGTTAAAGTTTTTGGTCAAGGTAGTTTTTGATGAAGTTGAAGTCCAATCAACTTGAAACTTAGTACACATGTTCCCTATGATATGATCTTTCTAATTTTAATGTCAAATTAGAGTTATGACCCCAATTTTATGGTCCACTGAACATAGAAAATGATAGTGCGAGTGCGGCATCCGTGTACTTTGGACACATTCTTGATTTTTAATCTTTTAACACAGGCTTAGGACATTTGGCATGAAGGTATATTACCATAAAACTGAGTGTCACATATCATCATGACCTTCAGGTCAAAATACTTGATTTTTTTTACATTTTTGTATCAGGAACATAAATTTTATAACCTTGGACATAGGCTTTTGATATTTGGCACATCTTCTTTTATTCTAATTCATGTACTGAGGCTAATGTAATATGCTTTTAAATGAAATACCAAAGTTATTACAAAGCAATATTTCAAAAATGAAATGAGAAGTTTGATATTTTTCAGCCCACAAAGTCCAGGAGTTCCCAAAGTGAAGGAATCTGACCTCCCAGCTTACTACTATGATGATGAATACTTCATTTCAGGGATGATCTCAAGGCCAGATGTATTTGGCAATTTCTGGTCAGAGTATTGTGTTAGAGGTAATCACATACAAGTATTAACAAATACTTTTGGAGTCCGACTTTTATCAGTTTTATAGTACACATTTTAATTATACTGTAAATTCAGAATATTTTCAATTATTGAACATTGGACATAAATGCAAGATTAATTATCAAAACTATTAAATTTACAGTAGATGATTTTTTTATTATCTCGCCTTGACGGAGTCAAAAAGCGAGACATAGGTATGCTGTTTCCGGCGTCGGTGACAGCGACGGCGATGGCGTCAACAATGTATTAGTTTGTGATTAGGTCTAGTTCATGGTGAACCACATGTGGTAGGTCAATGATATTTGGTATGCAGTTGTATAAGCATTGGCACATCTCATTACCTTGGAGTTATTTGGCCCACCCCCTCAGTCAAGGTCTATTGACTTTGAAACTTTTCATAGTTTACATGTATTAGTTTGTGATTAGGTCAATTTATGGGGAACCACTAGTGGTAGGTCAATGATATTTGGTATGCAGTTGTATAAGCATTGGCACATCTCATTACCATGGAGATTATTTGGCCCTCAGTCAAGGTCTATTGACTTTGAAACTTTTCATAGTTTACATGTATTAGTTTGTGATTAGGTCAATTTATGGGGAACCACTAGTAGTAGGTCAATAATATTTGGTATGCAGTTGTATAAGCATTGGCATATCTCATTTCCATGGAGATTATTTGGCTCTGCCCCCTTATTCATGGTCTATAGACTTTGAAAATTTTGCTTAGTTAACATGGATTAGTTTGTGATTAGGTCAGTTCAAGGGGAACCATTAGTGGTAGGCCAATGTTAATTGGTGTTCAGTTGTATAAGCATTAGCACATCTCATTTCCACGGAGAATATTTGGCCCCGCCCCCTCAGTCATGGTCTATTTACTTTGAAACTTTTGCTTAGTTTACATGTATTAGTTTGTGATTAGATCAGTTTAAGATGAACTGCTAATGTTAAAGAACAAACAGCCTGTTGTTGATGCACATCAACTAACGCAACTTGGTAGTGACATAAAACCTCTATGACGTTGTTTCTAGCCATGAAAAAAAACCGTCAAATTATAACATCCTATTTCGCGTTTTTCACGGATTCCAACATGGTGTACGCTTAAAACTACGTCTTCCAAGAAAAGTGGAATTAAGCGTCGCACTGATACCTAGTGGAAATTAAACACAAATGGACACAAAAGATACTACACTATCTGTAACCTCCGTTCTAATAAAAATAATAACAAAAATATAAATTTTGAACTCGGCTTTTTGCATTTGCGCCGATCTGCATTTCACTTTTTTTCTTTCACTTGCGCCGATTTTGTCTTTCATTTGCGCCGATTGTGTACAGGTAAATTATAGGTGAAAGTTATTTTTTATTTATCATATAAACCTCTTCCGTTAGCCAGTTGTACATATGTTATGAATTGTCAATTATAACATGTATATAACTGTTGTCCCCTGCTCACAAAGGGGAGGTGGGAATAGAATTTCGAGCAGGATAAGTCAATTTAAAAGATATTCGTGCACTCTATTTACATCCACTAAAATCATGGAGTAAAATTCTATTTACAGCATTTCAAAGCACCACAATAAAATCCTTAAAAATGTAATACTAGTACAATGAATTATTATCTTGCCGAGAATTTATATGCCACACATCTGATATATTCCTTTCTTGTCATTTTATCTTTTCTATACTTGTTGTACTTGCCAATAACGAAGTCCATCTTTTCTTTCTCGTGTCAAAACGAAGTTCTCGAACATTATGACCAAAATTATCTTAAACATAAGGGAACACTATTTATATCCATATATTACCATGCAATATACATTCTAGGTTTACTACATGTACATGTATTTAATCGTATAGCATAAAAAGTATCGGGGCTAGTGATACAAAAAATAAAATAGGCGCTAATGAAAGAATCAAATCGGCGCAGATTAAAGATCGAAATTTTTTTTAAATCGGCGCAAATCTCATACGCCCGTGTAACTTTACACTGGTAAATTTATATGACTTACGCTTAGAATTTTAACTTAATATGTGATTTTCAAAACTGAGTTTTCAGAAGGTTAGTCCGATAAACAATACTTTCTAGAAGTTTCGATATACTGGCAACGTATGCATGTTGAGATTAACTTATTTCTTTAAGATTCTCGTAAAATAATGGTGATCTTGCAATGAAGTTAAATTTTATCAATACTGCTTAATTGACAAAATCTTATAGTAAAAATAAAAATGATAAAGGTTCAATGTCTTTTGTCATTTGTTTCATTTCAAATTGCCTCAAGGAGAAATGATAAAGATTTCGCCTGATCTCACAGAAGCTTAAGGCAAAAAATATAAGAAATTAATATACTCAGTGAATGTGAATTAAAATAAAAATTTACAAGTTTTTAAAACTAAACTTGTTGTAAATTTAACTTCTGACAAAAAACAATATTTCATCGTGTTTTGAGAAAAACTTTATAGTTTTCAACGGAAAATTATTTCTTAGATTCGAAATCAATTTTTGAATTAAAAACTTTATTTGTATTTCATATTTACTGTCTCGTTTATTCAAAACACCTGATGTAGTAATAACGGGGATTGTATTTTATGATAGGTTAAATGGATGTAAAACATTTTAGAATCAAAAACTTTTAATTTATATATTATACCTATAATTTTGATTTTCTTATATTTTAAATATTCAGAAATAATGAATCCACAAACTAGATGGAATAATTTGTATACGCTCGTCCTTGTCGGGACACATAATGGTATAAAGAAGTCCGTCTGTGCTAATGTCTGTCTGTCTGTCAACAGTAGCGAAAGAGTGCGCTATAGCGAAGTTCTGAAATTGACGCGACAAAAAAACCCACACATCTAGTCTAATATAGTCAAATAGTCTGTAAGTTAGCCAGTGTCATCTTTCATTTCTCTTTTTATTTTCAATGCATGATTTTGCTAATGAGAGGGAGAGGACAAAAACAGACTCCTTTCTAAAGCGTCGTAAAAGGTTATTTCGAACAATTTTTCATTCCGACGGAAGGTGTTTCTGAAGGTTAATTTTGTGCGGCAACAACATCGTGAGATCTGATACTGATACATACATGTGATCTCTTGTATCATCGGATAATAAAGTAGGTGAATATAGTTGTTATTCTTGATTATTGAAAATTTAAATGTGGGTTTCAAACCAGGGTTTCCAAAATTATTTTTAGCCAGCCGGACATTTTATATATTATCCCGATTTTAATCCCTTAAGACTAAATAAATAAAAGGCAGTTATGGTAATCAGTTGCCGAGTTGGCCATCCGAATGATTGACATTAAAAAAAAAACATATTAAACTTTCTTTGATTCAAATTCGAAGTTCTGACATAAACTGTTAAATTGGCAGTGCATCATTCGAAGTGTGCAACATCAGCGTACTTATATCTGCTTAGACTCTTTATTTGTGCAAAATAACGTTGTCAAAAACTTTACTTTCGTTTTTAAATCTAAACCGGATGTTATCTTGACAATGGTAAAAGATGGACCAGAGACAGATATGTAAATTCCGTGTATGTTTACAAAGCATGAATGAGTGTAAGTAGCTCTTTCTACGTTATTTCTTCAAGAAAATATTCGAAATAAACGTGAGATAAAGGTATCAATGACAATTTAAGCATTTTTTGAAGGAATTAGGATGCATAATTCAATTTCACACCTGCGCACATGCGCACACGTGTACTAGTTACAGAGACATGTCTCTGGTTCAAACAACGTGGTTATGACGATTTTTCATTTTCACCTTTTTAATTTTTTCATCAAATCATATTCTAAACGTATTTCTGATCATTTAAATCTTTTTGACTAAATTAATTAGATGCAAACCGCTGAAATGTAAGAAAATAACTTTGAATAGACCGATCAATGTCCGGTTCAAAATAGTTTACCTGTCACCTGAACAGGTAAATTTCAGCTGTTCGACAACTAATTAGCCTTGATTAAAATGAGAAGGTATTAAAGTAGGGGTTGTTTTGATAGTACTTAATGATCATGTCACTTTTATGACCAGAAATGTGTGGCTGTTAAAGGCAAAAGGTTGGGTCAAAAAGATCGCGAATAATTTTTCAAATGACCGTCTCTTAAGCCTTGAAAACTAAAAAGTAGATGTCCGTTTCATGCTTTGCCCAGCCGGACTTTTACCGGACATTATACAAATGTCCGGAATATATGACCGTTTTGGAAGCCTTGTTTCAAACGTCCAATTTGTAATTTTTTTCAAACAGTACGACAGCAAGGAAAACTTGTACTATGACGTCAGATTCACTGTTCTGAAGAAAGACAACTCTTTTCTTCAAACGAAGGAGAAAAAAACATGAAAATTAATCATAACTTTTTTGAAAGGTCGGTGACATATACATTTTTTTGCTTTATTTTGAAGAGTACACATGGCACTTTCCTTCTTGAAATTTTTATGAAAAAATCACTGGTAGATATTTTTTAATACTTGAAACGTTTTTTCATTCTTGCGTTTTATTTTTGGCGGGAATGAAATAAATCATATTTTTTAAGATCAAAACAATAAGAGTCTTAAACTCTTGAACCTGTATTTGATGGACACAAATCTACTGTATAACATGAAACAAAAATTATGCTTGTAGGTTTGATATAATGGGATTTTTTAAGAGTTTAAATAACAAGCAAATATCATGTTAATATTCGGGAAAACACGAAACTGAGGTTGCTATAGTGACAAAACTAAGTCGGTGACCCCCAATTTTTTTTATCATATTTTGTTCCTCAAATCATGAAATACCTTCTCACAAAATTTTCAGGAAAAATCACTGGTAGAACTGAATAGGCTGTTTGGTCTTTAAGTCAATGATATTTGGTATGCAAATTTATTGGCATTTGCAAGTATCGTTTCCATGGAGATTATATAGCCCCACCCCTGATCATGGTTCATTGACTTTAAAACTTTTGCATAGTTTACAAGTTAATGTTTGTGTTTAGGTTTGTTTAAAGGGAACGACTTATAATAAGTCAATGGTATTTGGTATGCAGTTGTATTAGCATTGGCACATCTCATTCCATGGAGATTGTTTAGCCATGTACCTTCAGTCATGGTTCATCGACTTTGAATATTTGCATTACTTACATGTTAAAGTATTGCTATTTTAATTTCAACATTTGCATTATCATAATTACAAAAAGACGAGACATATCTCTGTGATAACAGTTTATTTCCCCTATGCAAGACATAGGGATGCTAATCTGGCAGTGCCATTAGCTCTTTACATAAAGCTGTGTATTTCAGAAGGTAGGAGATCTAGATACTTTTAAAATATCTTGTATATGGATGCCTTATGATAAAATGTTTCTGTCTGACATATATATACATTGTCCTTAACCTTTTTTTCATTGTTCACCAAATGCTGATTTAAACTATAGTTTCTTTTTTGTAAGTGATTTTATTCAGTTATGAGTAATGGGACAACTGTATAGAATAATTTCAAGGTATAAATGTCCATTAGTCCATTTGCCTTGACCTCATTTCATGGATCTTTAGTCAACAGTAAGTTTTCAAGATTAGGTTTGTGTCTAAGATACTATAAGCAGTAGGTCAAATATAATTGGTATATGGAGTTGATGTAAGGAGTATGTGTTTGACTGGCAGGGAACATCTTACTTTGACATTATTTTCATATTTTATTCTTAAATGTTAAGTTTATGTGTAATTTTTATATTATTATTTATGATAGATATGGCCAATGAATAATAATAAATTCACAGTATACCATTTCATTTCAAAAGTGAGTGAGTCCCATGATAACTTCAGATATAAATTCATTGAACTTTCTTTTTTACAGTGTATTGGTTGAAGGCCAAGTTTTACATGTTACAAAACAATATGGAAGATGCTGTTTTCTTTTTCAAAAAGGTAATGTGATTCCTGGTTATACAAAGCATTGTTTTAATTTAAAAAATATCAAACTTTTTCCTAATAAAAATGGTTTGATTTGAATATGAAATTGAAACAATGTTAAATTCTTAATCACATTCACACAAACATACAGTATCTCTGAAATCACTATTATAACAGAATTCAAAATGTTGTAATAATTAGGAATGCATATTAATCAATTGCGACAAATTCCATAGCGAAGTCTGAAAATTGAATCAAGATATTGGAGCAGACAGAGAACTATTGTGGATCCATTATTATTCGTTGGATACCAATTTTCATGGATTTGGTGGGAACAGGTGAACCATTTAAATGTTCAACGAATAAAATTTTTTCTATAGGAATGTATGCAAACCTAAACAAAACCACAAAATGAAATATCCAAGAAAATGCAAGTTTTCCTCAATCCACAAAAATTGTTACCCACGAATACTGAAGTGAAAAGAATAATGGAAAATCAAGAAGGAATGAAAACGTTACATTTTAAAAGGCATCATTAATAGTTTTCCTTATTTTTCTTTACTAATTTTTTACACAAATCTTATTGTACAACCTCACTTCATTGTAATAAAAGACTTTGCTCACATATATTCTAGGGCATTATACAAGTCTATAAATTTTATGAAAATTTTCTCTAAATGTTGAAAAAATATTGTTTTGTTTATAGGCATTATGCTGTCTAAAGGAATCATCTGAGACAGAAACTAATAAAGAAATACAGATAGTAATTCCTAACTGTAGTATACATAAAGTCTTATCTATAGGTAAGTAATAAGTTTATATCTTGTAAGTTTAAAGGACAAAATTAAAATCTTTATTACAGATATGATACACTTTCTTGAACGTAGTATATAATAATATCAATTTCTTTGTACACCATGGACCAAAAGTTTGAAAAGCTAAAAATATATAATGTTTAAATGCTGAAAAAATCAGAAAACCTAAACAGAACATAAAACTTCAAATAGCATAAACACTAAAAGGTCATAATCAGAACAACCAAAACTCTCCAAGGTTAAGTGTGCCATTTGGTGTAAATTCAGAAATTATTGCATGCATTTATTTTTGCGAATTTTCAAGAAAGGACAAAATGCGAGATTAATTATTTTGATTTAAGGATAATTTGCCATCTGAGATTATGCATTATTCGCATTAACATAAACCTCACAATAACTTCTGAAATTACAGTATTCTAATAGTTTCGACATTGCAACTATAATTGTATTCATTTTATGCCCCAGTTGGGGCATTATGTTTTTCGGTCTGTGCGTCCATTCATTCGTCTGTCCATTCGTCCATCTGTCCCGCTTCAGGTTAAAGTTTTAGGTCGAGGTAGTTTTTGATGAAGTTGAAGTCCAATCAACTTGAAACTTAGTACACATGATTCCTATGATATGATCATTCAAATTTTAATGCCAAATTCGAGTTTTGACCCCAATTTCATGGTCCACTGAACATAGAAAATGATAGTGCAAGTGGGGCGGGCATCCGTGTACTATGGACACATTCTTGTTTCTCTTTACAAAAAATTACTGTATTTTATTAGAATATAGACTAAATAGTGATAAACTACTGTCCAGACTTCAATAGTTAAAAAAAAAAAAGAAATAGATGTTGCTTTTGAAATGTTTATTTCACAAATATCTTGTCTTTATCGTCCTGTATTTCCTTCAGCTTTTTTACCTTTTGGTGCAAAAAATTGTAAAAGTGAAATGTATGTTTCAAAATCCATTGTAGTGGAAGTAGAAAAGCAGTTGAAATCATTAGAAAGATCTCAATCATTTGATGAAACACAGAGGTTGTATGATGCTGGAGAGTATGACAAAGTTGTAGACTGCCTACTGAAAACAAGTCTGAATAAGGTAACTCAATGTTAATAAACATGCCAAATAAAGTAACTCAATGTTAATAAACATGCCAAATAAAGTAACTCAATGTTAATAAACATGCCAAATAAGGTAACTCAATGTAAATAAACATGCCAAATAAGGTAACTCAATGTTAATAGACATGCCAAATAAGGTAACTCAATGTTAATAAACATGCCAAATAAGGTAACTCACTGTTAATAAACATGCCAAATAAGGTAATGCTCTGCTGATAAACAAGTGTAAATTAGGTAACACATGGCTGATAAACATGGTAATATGAAGTTGTAAAAATGTGAAATAGGAATTACACTGGCAATTAACATTTCAGATATATAAGTTTTAAGGTCATATACTTTTGATAAACAAGTCTTGATAAGTTTATACATTGCTCATAATTGTGAATCAGGTAATACACTGTAGATAAACAAAAAAGGTGACACATTATAAACATGTCTTGAAAAGGGGATTCAATATTAAACTTATTGGCAGAACAAAGGTAAAGCTTTAAAGACAAGCTAGATAACACCCTACTGTAAACAAGTCGAGAAAAGTAATTGTACTTATGCAAGAGTTTGCGGTCAGATCACAAATGGGTCAAACTCTTTCTGTGGCAGTTTTAATTCCTCCTTTCAAGCTGATTAATAGGTGATATTTTCAGAAAAGAAAACTTGTACTTTATACTATAATGCAGGTTGTGAATAGCCTATTTTTTTCTAATTGTTGCCTGTTTCTTGTTTCAAATAGAAATAAGTAAAATAAAACAGCTTGATATCAGGCATACATGTATGAACAAGTTTGATGCACTTGGAAATGAACACTTCTTTGATAATAGCATTGTATATCCTATTGTTGTTGCCCAATCCTCATACATGTAGACAGTAGATAAGAACAAAAAAATACAATAAATAATTTAAAACTTTATTTACAGCAGGTTTCTATGACAACTAGTGCTACAGAAAGAAGATCACAGCTACTTTTGCTTCAGGATTCCTTGATAAAATTGAAAGATTATAAGGTAGTTTTATTTAAGAGAAAATAAAAACTCTATAAAGTTAAATAAATTTTTAACTAAAAACAATTTAAATCAGGGCTGTGAGTTTAAAAAAAATTATCAGTTAATGTTTGCATTTGTTTTTCTTTATGTGAAGTAAAGAGTTTCAATCTTATGACTTTATCAGTATCATGTGACATTTCTACTTCATTAAATCAGATGTTATAAAAAATTTCATTTGGACTATTATCTTTGGAATTACCAGATGAGTTCCATTTTAAACCTTATGTGTACAGTAATGAAGTTTCACAGTTGAAGATATCAAATTTTAACAACATTTTAAATTTTGATGAACAGAGAGCCTTTTTGTGGTCTGAGATAACCTTAGATGAAGCAGTCCAAGCTTATAAGATGAGTGGGTCCTCTGAGAAGGAGCAGTGGGCAGACACATTGGTCCAAACATGTGAATCTTTGATACTGTGAGTGATATCTTCAGTTTGAAGTGTCTAGTTTCATATATAACCGAAACTTTACATTAGTTTTTTTACAAAAAAGGTCTTTCTAGCTGGCAGGGTAATATCAATTTACTACACAAGTGTTAACTATATATATAGTAAATGAGAAAGAAAAGATATGGTGTATCCATTTGTGACAAAAAATCACTACATGCACATGGGAAGACCAAAACAAAGGAATGGCACTTTTATTGCTTTTCTTCATCTCAGTGGAATTGTAGAGTTCAAAGTATTTCTTTTAAATTTGATCTGGCTTCATTTGAAAAAAAAACACTTGTTACAAAAACAATGTTAGAATACAGTTATTTTTGTTCATTATGTGCATACTATATTCACAGGATTATAAAGAAAGACAAATTGGTCATTTCTAGTTTACCTATAGTCAACCAAGCTAGACTGTCCCATAATCTTATCTACATGATAGATGTTGAAATGTCAGTTCCTGATACTTGCATAGATATGCCTATTGGTACAGTATTACCATGGATACTGTTATATAAACTTATAAAAAAGTGAGTAAAAACTATGATTTTATTCATTTGCATATGATGTTGGTAACTTTTTTTTTCATATATTTGAAAAACTTTCCTTTTGTCTTTGATTGTAGAATCAAATGTTTAGACTATTCTTTAATATTATATATGTATACATGAAATTCTTAAAATTTAAAGTTACATGATCATGCAGGCTCCTACAATTTCCATTGTTTCATTTCAAATTAGCCTCTGAAAAAAAGACATTTAACCAAGCACAATCCCATCACAATCCAACAACATATTTCTCTTGAAGAATGAATTGTTAGTAAGATATACTGTAATACTGGTACCTTTTTCATAAACAGAGAAGAAAGTGAAGCACCAAAACCAGTTAGCCCAGTGCCAGAAGAATTGGACAGTTCTATTCCTTCATCACTTATGTTACTAAATATAGCTCACGAATATCTTGGCAGGTAATACTACATTTTTACCTCATATACAATACTTTATTTCCAATCAAGTACACTTTACATGTTCTTAGATCTTTATTTGGAATACACAATTTATTTACAATCAAAATGTTTTTGAGTTATTTTTACAGATTTCCATGCTCCATTAATGATATCATACAAAGAAAAGAAAAAGTAAAATTTAAAAAAGATTTTATTTGTTTTTTGGGGGATAATGTTTAACATATGCTGCATCTGATGATATGGAACTTTTCCTTTTATTAGAAACTGTCTCTGTAATTGGAACAAAAAAACAATTTTCTGTATTTATATGCACCACCTACGATAGTAGAGGGGCATAATGTTTTTCGGTCTGTGCATCCGTTTGTCCTTCTGTCCGCTTCAGGTTAAAGTTTTTGGTCAAGGTAGTTTTTGATGAAGTTGAAGTCCAATCAACTTGAAACTTAGTACACATGTTCCCTATGATATGATCTTTTTCATTTTAATGCCAAATTAGAGTTTTGACCCCAATTTAACGGTACACTGAACATAGAAAATGATAGTGCGGGTGGGCAGGTTAAAGTTTTTGGTCAAGGTAGTTTTTGATGAAGTTGAAGTCCAATCAACTTGAAACTTAGTACACATGTTCCCAATTATATGATCTTTCTAATTTAAATGCCAAATTAGAGTTTTGACCCCAATTTCACGGTCAACTGAACATACAAAATGATAGCTCGAGTGGGGCATCTGTGTACTATGGACACATTCTTGTTAATTCTTGAGAGGGATAATTCATTGTCACAGTTTGAAATTGATGAAAAAAAAGGTCACTTGGTCAGTAGCATTAAAAATCAAAGTCCCCAGTGCAGTTTGTCTGAATTTTAATTTCAGATACAATTATTTTAACAATTTATAGGGGAAATATGCTCTAGAGAATAGGTTTTATCCTAGAAATCATGAAATTTAAAACTCTGCCAAAAGTAAGCCCCTTTACAGAATGGTAAAAAGGTATTCATTTTATGTTTCTGAAATCATAGACTAAAAGTAGGACTTGAGATAAAAAAATTCAAAAGATTATCAGAGCAAATCACTTGACATGTTGATAAATTACATAAAATTTATTAACTTGGAATCTATATATTTTTTCTGCTCAAGTTGTTTTAGTTTCACTTATCTAAGATGAAATAATGATATTGTTTTATAGACATGCTTGGTGTACAAAGTCAGAAGGAGAGTTCCTGCTCTTCTACATAGGAATCTTAACCTCAGAAAAATCTTCGTCAGAAATATTCAACGAGGAATTAGGTCAAGCAGTGGAGCAGTGCTTTTTCTGTTTGTATGGTCATCCAACAAAGAAAGGCAGATATCGTCATCTTATGGACCATAATGCACCACAGATTGAATTGACATGGGAACGAACTACCGATTTATTTAACTATTTTAAACCAAAATCAGTGCCAGAATTTGACAGTTATAAAACAGAAGCAGTCCCTGCAGAGGTAATTATATGATTTCTAGTACACTCTTCTCATCTCAATACACGTTGGAGCTTCTTTCAAAGTAAATACCTTCAAAGTCTGTAGAGAATAATTATAAAATGATTGTGCTGAAAGAGTATAATTTGCTTTTCTTTATAGGTTGAACATTTATTAAGAAGAATTTGTAATTTGGTTCCAGAATCACAAAAGCCAGGTAAGTTTCTACTCATTATAAGATATTTATTTAGTCTTCTAGATCTGTTTCACAGAAGGTATTTAAAAATGTATTCAACATGATTCCTTTTAAATGAAACTTCTTTCTATCAGATATTGGATCTTACAAAAATTTTTTTTTAGATTTTCTCCTTGAGGTTAGAAAAACTTACTTATCAAAATAATTGCTTTTCTTTTATTCTAATTACATATCTATAGAAAAAAAGGTTTAGATTTAATGAGAATCTTCATCCTTACATTGAATATGTCATTTAAACAATATTTTTCAGTTGTTCATATTTCATAGTTAATAGATAGTTTGCATTGTCAACTTATCTAGTTTTTTCTGTGTATGATTTGATACAACCACATCGGCTCATTTTCCTAATTTACTGATTTTCTAATATTCTGAAAAAAGTTGACTAGCTACATATCAGTAAGACAGTAACTCAAAAAGTCAAAGTAACCATTAATTGAACATGTAATGAATATATTTTTCAGTATATGTGATTGATTCCTTACAAGATTATATTGAGGGAACAACTGACACATTTAATGAGGAGTCCATTTACAATCCATCGTAAGTATTTCTTTGTATGGTTTGTGCCAGTGGAACATTCTTCATTTCTTAGATTATAGATTACTATATCAATTTATTTTGCTATTTGATAAGATGAGGCAGTGAGTCTTTGTATATTTCAATGACTGTTACTTTATAATGTAAAGTTGTCTTTGAAATAGATTTTACTAATAATTTCAATCTTTATTTCAGGCCTGTATCTCAAGAGCTTTATTATCTGTTGGCTGACTACTACTTCAAAAATCATGAACAGGCGTGAGTATAAGATGTAGTTGAAGTCTTTTGTTTATTAAAAATTTTAGATGATGTCTTCACTTGTTTGCTGTAGTTTTCTTTAATTATGATCAGAGGCGAATCCAAGGGGGGGCGGTGTTCCGGAGGTTGGAACCCCCCTTTTTTTTGACGATCAATGCTTTTGAATGGGGACATATGGTTGGAAACCACCACCCCCAATTTTGAATATGGCTGGAACCGCCCCTGGATGATGATGCTGAATTGCTATTTAATGTCCTGTGGCAAATTAAATGCATATTCAGGAGGAGGACATGACATATGAACTGCTTTGTACAAGATAGACATGTTGAGCCTGTATTTTAACATGCAGTCAACATGTTACATTATATTGAGAAACACAATAAAATATTGGAATGCCTCACGATTGTTGTCGGCCAATCAAAAGTACAGATTCTTATGAAACATACATGCATACAATGTTATTATTGAAAATATGCCGCTTTTGAAAAAAGAATTTGTATATATTTTATTTAACACAATAACTTTTATTTCCAGAAAGGCCATAAAATATTACATGAATGATATATGTGTAAATCCTAGCCGCTTAGACTCTTGGGCAGGTATGGCTCTGGCTAGGATGAGTCAGTTAGAACAAAAACTTAATTCTGTAAGTTTATTTAAGCTAATAACCAAAAAAGGGAAAAAAAGAAGAGGTGTGCTAAGGTTATTTTTTGGACTTTGAATAGAAGTATTGCAAATTTGTGAATTTTCATCAAAAAGATTGACAAGTTTAAGCAAAGTTAGCAAAAAATGACAAAAATAAATAGTTTTGACAAAGATTTATTTTTATGTGGGAAATATCAAGTGCATGCAAGAACCTAGTGAATATTTATAAGAAAATTGTTGTTCATATTGCCAGGCAATGTCATAATTTATTTATTTGCATGAATTTAAAGTACTTCTGCAATGAAGGATGTGTAAGGTTACTTACATAGTCTGACTATGTATCTTTGCTCTATTGAAGTTATGTTAACATTTCAGTATAAATTAAAATCAATTTTGTAAATTGAAAGATTGTTTGTATAATAGTCCTATATTCTTTTCCCATAGTCTTCTGATGAATATAGAATTAACTTTTGATAGCTCATCCTGGTCATTTTAGTGATCACTAGATCTATGTTGGTACAGATGCCTTAACCTTTGAATAATTGTTGCTCATTTCTTTCTATCGTAGACTGAACTGAAAATGGATTTCCCTGTTCACAAGAAATCAATAGCAGCATTAAGATGTTTCAGAAGAGCCTTACAGATAGATGAGGGTAATGGTAAACTATGGATGGAATATGGATCATTGGCCTACCAGTTACACTCCCATTCCTCTAGACAACTCACATGGGTAAGTACAGATCATTGGCCTACCAGTTACACTCTCATTCCTCTAGACAACTCACATGGGTAAGTTCATATCATTGGCCTACCAGTTACACTCTCATTTCTCTAGACAACTCACATGGGTAAGTTCAGAGCATTGGCCTACCAGTTACACTCTCATTCCTCCAGACAACTCACATGGGTAAGTACAGATCATTAGCCTATTATCAGTTTCACCCCAAGAAAGTATTCATTTTTAATGAAATAATATTAGCAGTTAATCAAAATGAAAATCTTACTGTCTATAAATAACAATGAAATGTAACTGTTTCTTGTTAAAGGGGTTTTCTGAATTTTCCTGCCAGAAAAGCACATGGCTTTCAACAAATGTAAACAAAGCAGTCAATTTGTGATCATGGATTACAGCTTTAATTAATTTATTTGGATATAGATATTCAATGAAAGGTACAGTCAAGCATTGTTTTTACTTTCTTCTGGATTAAAACTAGTTTAAGAGATCAATTTAAAAAAAAAAATCTTTGACATATAAACAACAGATGATCTACGGATACATCAAACTCAAATTGTCATCTTTTGAGAAATATTGAAATTGAAATGCTGACTGACTGAATTTAATGAGATAAATTATTACAATGGTCAATTATGAAGTTTAATTGACGGATTAATGACCCATCCAATGTCGATAAGCGGATTATCTGTAATCACAACTTATTACACCTGAGCTGTAAATGTTAATTAGCTGAGGGTCATAAACTTGTCTTAAATATGAAGACAGGTAGAATAATTGTATTTTCATCAAAATATTATGGCAATAAAGGCATGGACTTACCAAAAAGGGCAGGGCGTCTTAAAAAGGGAAGAGGGCGTCAGAAAAAGGGCACAGGGCGGCACTCCGGAAAGGGCGGGCGGACCGCCCTGTGAAAAAGATCTAGCTGGAACACTGGGGTAATTTCAGATCATTGGCCTACCAGTTACACTCTCATTCCTTTAGACAACTCACATGGGTAAGTTCAGATCATTAGCCTACCAGTTACACTCTCATTCCTCTAGACAACTCACATGGGTAAGTTCAGATCATTGGCCTACCAGTTACACTCTCATTCCTTTAGACAACTCACATGGGTAAGTTCAGATCATTGGCCTACCAGTTACACTCTCATTTCTCTAGACAACTCACATGGGAAAGTTCAGATCATTGGCCTACCAGTTACACTCCCATTCCTCTAGACAACTCACATGAGTAAGTTCAGATCATTGGCCTACCAGTTACACTCCCATTCCTCGTGACAACTCACATGGGTAAGTACAGATCATTAGCCTACCAGTTACACTCTCATTCCTCTAGACAACTCACATGGGTAAGTTCAGATCATTGGCCTACCAGTTACACTCTCATTCCTCTAGACAACTCACATGGGTAAGTACAGGGAAAATCTTTACAAGATTGTATATCATTTAAGCTTGGTATAAAAATCTTCATCAAACTCTACAAGACATTTAGTTTTTTTTATTTTCTGATCTGAAATTTGTTAGGGATTGTCTGTCTAAGGAACTGAAAAAAAGATACTAATTTTGTTTCTCTTCAAAGTGTAGTCTTCTCCTATTGCCCATGCTAGCCTCTGTTTTCATACTTTTGTTATCAGATCAGATTTTAAATGTTAAGTGGGCAACAGTTACATAGCTTGAGTCTTTGTCAGCATTCCATTGAAAGGAATCTACCGTGATTTACCATGGTTTCTGTTCTCCTTTGGTTCACCTTGATTTCTCCAGTCTTTGTGAGCACTCCATTGAGAAAGTGATTTACCATGATTTATCTTCTCCTTTGGTTCACATGAGTCTCTTTTTGTCTTTACAGAAATACACCTTTCCATTAAGTCCTGAGATGGAACAGATAGCTACCAACAGTAGACAGGAGATGTTACGGACATCCTATAACTGTTACAGAAAAGCCATCGAGTGTGAGAACGAGGAGGAATGGTTACAGCATTACATGATAGGCAAATGTTTGGAGAAAATGAAAAAGTCACCTGGGGATTTCCTAAAACATTATGAACAGGTATGGGAAAATTACATTTTTATGCCCCCGCTGCGGCGGATGGGGCATTAAGTGTTACCCTTGTCCGTCTGTCTGGGTCACCCGTGAATTTCCCCTCTCATCAGGAATTTTTTAATTAACCGCCTGGTGATCAAATAACCCGGGAATTCAGAAAATGACCCTTTTACTCGTATTTCTGACCGGTATTGATTCTGGTATTGAGATGTGAAATATACATTCGGTTTTATCGGCTTTTTTTTTTCTTTGAAAAAGAGAACAATTGAAAAGTCAAAACTTAGGATTTGCTTATTTACGTTGCTCTTAATTGGATGAATACAGCTATCAAAACATATTTTGACACTCTTTTGATTGAAAAGTAACAATTCGCTTCTTATTTCGTTAATTGTACCCCAGAGAGTTTAATCCAGTTAAGCTTGACATACAATTCTATGTCCTGATTATAAGATTTTCCGTTTGCAAATATCAATTATCCTATAAAAATGCTTTTAAAACAATTTGAACCTCTTAATACAATTCTGTTGGAGAGATGCAAGTCCCTTATAAACTATTTTAAACCATTTATCTTTGTTATCACTTAAATGTAAAAGCTTTGAGTCAAATCCATATGCTCTAGATATTGCAATGGAAGTAAACACACTTGCTTCTTCTTTCTCTTATCTTCCTCCTGTGTAAAGGAGCATATATTAGCCATAACTGATTTCTAATTATAGCTAAGGTTTATGATAGTCATTTATAAAAAGCAAGTTATATTATATATTATAAGAATAAACTCTAAATACTAAAATTCAACTAAAAAAAGTGTGTAAGTGTTATGATATGACATTTTACTCCTCAATGCAGGTCATGACCCTGCATTTTCATTTTCAGAGGTTGACAGTTGTAATGTATTTAAAGTAGTATTACTATCACCCATGAAAAGAAAGTCATGCTGACTCTAAACTGTGTAAATAGGTACTTTGTATGCAAAAAATATATTATTTTCACTTCCATATTAAAACCCATTGCATGATTGATATAAAAATGAGGTGATGTGGTATGATTGCCAATGCGACAACTATCCGCCAGAGTTGCAATTTAGTGGTAGTAAGCAATTCAACAATGGGAGAAACCCATATTTTATAGTCAGCCATAAAAGGCCCTGACATGAAAAATATGAAACAGTTAAAAAGAAAAAACAAACAGCATGATTTTTAACAAAACAATTAATGAAAAACAAACGTGACAGACTTGAAGAGGTGACAACCACTGTACTACAGGCTTCTGACTTGGGACAAACACATAAAGAATGTGATGGAGTTAAACACTTTTTAGTGAGTGCTCAACCCTCTTCCTAACCTGGGACAGTGGTGTAACAGCTCAACATAAGAACAAACTGTAAAATCAGTTGCAATTGGTTTAACTCAAAAGATCGTTAAGAGCCAAAAAAATCACTATGTTTACTAGCAGTTATTGAAAGCTAGTTCAAAGCCAATTACAACTAATAGATCAATCATATTTACCCAGACTAAAGTCTAAAGTCAAGGTCATGGACCAATTCAGAAATTTAACATCTGTCCTCATAAAGTAGGTTACACTGTCACAGTGTCTTAGTAAATGATATCTGGACTAATTAGGATGCTGAAAACATTTAGTCTCCCAAAATGCAATACAATTTCTGAAGTGGTCCACTAAATATTGATGGAACACTATGCTAAAAACATGTTTGTGATGTTTTAGGCAACTGAATGTTTATATGAAGAGAATGCACCCTATCCAAAGAAGATAGCCTATGCCTATTCAACACCACATCTAGCTGTAGAAGCATTAGAGGTAAGTTGTTAGAATGTAGAAATTAGACTAGGGAATAGGTCCCTCAAAATAATGTTACATATTTTCACAAATTACATTTTCCAGTTTAACTTATGACAAAGGTCGTGCTTTTCTCTATGCACTCTGGCTTCCTCCACCAATAAATACTGACTGCCATGAAATAGGGCAATAGTGTTGAAAGTAGTGTTAAACATCAATCAATCAATCAATCAATATGATTAATAGAGGCAGTTGACTTCTTTTCCTTTACTGCTGAAAGAAAAAAAATATATAAAAAATTGTACCTAAATTAAACAGAGGAAAAAGAGCTGTAGAAGAAGCAACACTTCTAATGCTGAAAAACTATTTTTAATTGAAAATCTGGTATATGAGTCTTTCAAAATTTTTTAATAAATTTATGCAAGTAAAAACACTGACATAAAAATTTTGGGAAAACCTCTAAGGAACAAGAAATTCAAACAAGTAACACTTACTTTTTGTATTAACATTGCAACAGATACAGGGGAGGAAGAATATCAACAAACATGTGTTTTGAACCCCACCTTCCTACATGTTAATGCTTATTCCAGCAACAGTGGGGGTTCAAAAGAATATCACAAAAACATCTTACTAACAGATTGAATTACTTTCTTCCTATTTTTTATTGCAGATGTTTTATAGGCTTCATTCCTCTATTTTGAAACTTATATTAGACAAACATCAACCTGACACAGATTATCAGTTATTTGAACGTTTTATAAACAAGGCAGCTGCTAGTCCATTTGCAAGTGCTAAACAAAAAAATGAAGAATTGTTAGATAGGTAATATTTATTGGCTGAAAAGTACTTATATTGTGTTGAATACACATTTCATTGTCAATATCAACCTCAATTATTTTATGTAATCATCACCTTGATATAGCCTTTTTGTGTTGCTGGTGTGTAAAACAACCAATCAATCACTTTATGCAATTGATTGACATGTACCAAAACATTCCACTGTAAAAACAAAGACGAAGAAAGATTGAAGGGCAGTTGTAATATTGCATGTCTACCGGTATTCATACCATGGTAGTTTCAGGTAATTTTTTTAAGAATGGAAGAAAAAGTTATATAAACTACATGTAGTTGAAAGCCCATGTAGAATATAAAAAGAGACTGTTTTTTTTAATTTTTCCCCACAAATATGACGTAAATTGCAGACTATATGTTAAAAATCACATTAATTAATCAGGGTTTATAAAACTACATGCAAAGTATTTATTTGACACTGAATATCTATATATTGTGCATAAAATGTCACTGTTCTGTTCAGTGAAATACAATTTGATGTTTGTGATATTTTATTATAGTAAAGAAACAACTGGCATGGAAAATAAGGCTACAGATACAACAAAAGCTGCCCCTTCCTCATCACAAGACCATACATACTCCAAACAGAAACAGAAAATGTCTCTTCTTCAGGCACCATCAGGAGTGGTCTCTCTTGAAAACTCATGCAGTGATTCAGTCTCACAAGAATCTGCTTACATGTCATCTGATCCAGTTAGCCAGTCATATGATGTGTCATATGATGTTTCAGCAGATTCAAGTAGTCAACCAATGGAGTTAGGTCTTACATATCAGAAAGACAAAGTAGAATCATCCCAAACAAGTTTTTCAAACAGCAGTTCTGTGGGTTCTTTGAGCAACTCTGATCTTATTAAATCTAAGTCTAAAACATTGGAGCTATCAGAAAATGACATGAGAGAAGAGATCACCAATGTTGAAAAATTAGACAGTTTTTTATCAACAGATTCAGAGAGTGCTAACAAATTGAACCAAATTGAACTATTAAAAAAATATGACAAAGCCAGTGATAGTCCTCTAAGTATAGGCAGTTCTGATATCTATGAAGATGACGAGGGTAATATTACTGTGACTGCTAAACTAGAGAACATTGGAAGGTCATCATCATCAGACGGGGAGATGAGCCAATCAAAACCAAAGGATGATAATGTTGGCATGTCAACAGTTTTATCAAGACAGAGTTTTGGATTTGAGCCAATGATTACTGATGAACCAGGCAAGTAGAATTTTAATACTTTTCTCAGGAGTGATCATTCAGATTTCTTTTCATGCTCCTTGCCCAATAAAGAAATATCATCAACTTTGTGATTTATTGTGATGAAAATTAACTAACATTCATTGCGTGAACCAAATATTGTTTCTTAGCGCTGTAAAATTTGAAATGATTATGATTAGTTTGACAGACACAAGACTGAATTACTTTGTGTGGTTTATGTAAGTGCTATTCCCGAAAAAAATGTATGGGGGGAATTCAGACAACACTTTTTTTTATACCCAACCAACATTAAGCTTTACTTTCATTTGTTACAGAATTGTATTTGCTCCCACCCCTGTTACTCACATCATTTGGTGTCCAACCCTCCAATTCATTTTTGTCTGGAATTAACCAAAGAAGACAAACAGGAAACATGAAATTTCTCAAATAAAAGAATGTAATACTGAGACAAGGAACAATCAGAAACTATCACATTGTATCAGATCCTTGTATGAATCTCTATATATCTGTTTATGATGGAACAATCAGAAACTATCACATTGTATCAGATCCTTGTATGAATCTCTATATATCTGTTTATGATGGAACAATCAGAAACTATCACATTGTATCAGATCCTTGTATGAATCTCTATATATCTGTTTATGATGAGCTCCCTCATGATGTTTTAGATCTATAGGACCAGACTAAAACAATGAGGCGGTCAAGTCTGATGAATTACAAGTTAGATATTAATTTACCTCAGCCCTGTCTAACTGACTTTTCAGCAATATATTTTCTTATTTTCTTGATGTATTTTGAAGTTTTACATATTGCCCATGATTTATATTCCCAAAATTTTTCTACCTGCAAAGTCACAGAAATTATTTGGTTTACATTATTAAGTAGGTCACTCAAAATAAGAGACAATTGAATATATTTTAGATTCTTTATTTGTAGTTGTGAAGAAATTTTATATGAAGTAAATGAAGTTTTAATGATGCAGTGGTATTTCTTGTTTAAAGTAAGTTTCCCTTTATTTTCAGATGTTGCAAAGGAAACCGATGGTGTCAAAATGGATGTTGATGTTCAAAGCCATATTAACGAAAACTCACAAGATATCAATGATAGTGTTGCCACTGCTCTTGAAAATGTTGTATCTACAGTTGAAACGGTTGACAGTATTCTGTCTGATGTAACTCTTAAAAGTGAAATACCTAAGGTAGAATCCTTAGAACAAAGTGCTGACAAAGACATTGTGAAGGAAAACCAGGACATTGTACGGCAGTCTGAAAATGTCGACAATATCCAGGCCAGAAATGAAGATGATAGTAAACTTCGATCTCAGGTTGAAGGCAAAGTTGATACAGATAGTGGTATTTTCTCACATAAAGGGGACAATGAATCACAGAGTGATAACACAAGTACAGAAATAAACAAAAAACCAGATGTTGTCATGACAACTGAAAGGAAAATGTCTCTTCATCCTCCTTATGATTCACAAAGTTCTGAGGAAGAACAAAAATCTGACATGGAAGGCATGAATAAATCTGTTACCAGTAATACTGCAGAATTGTCAACATCTGTTACATCTCTATGTCAGTATGAGTCAACAAGTTCAGAAGATGAAGGAGTTGGTAGGGTTGGAAAAGCGAGTGAAAAAAGTCCAGAAAAATCGCAAGTCCAAATACTGTCAGCCAATGTGTCATTGTGTGCTGATTACGACTCGCTTAGCTCAGAAAATGATGACATTGAAAATGGAGAATCAGAGGAAGATAAAAATACTTCAGCAGCGAAAAAGGGGGAAATAAGAACACTTGGTACGTCATTTGATGATGTGTCACATGATCATAATGTTAATGTTCTCGAGATTAGTGAAGGTGGAATAAGTGGCGATGTAACTGTACAGGACAATAAAGTTAAGCCGCAGAATGGAAAAGTACAAAATGATGGACAAGAAAAGGTGGAAACTGACCAGAAAAGTGCTATTTGTCAGTCTGAGGGGTCTGCATCCAAATCTACTGCAGAAATAAAAGACACAGACAATGTACAAATGGAAATAGATAAAATGTTGGACAGTTTAGGTCAGTGTAAGGATACTAATCCAGAAACTCATGGAAAACCTGAGGAAAAGGTTGCTCAAGGTCAAAGTTTAGGAAATGTTGAAAGTCAGAAAGAAGATGCAAAAAGTGAGGTTGGAATGGAAGTTGATGAAACCTCTGTAAAGAAGGAACCTGATCATTCACAAAATACTAAAACTGAAAGTAGTAAAAGTGATGAAAGTAAAATGGAAACAAATATTGAAGGAAAAGTTGAAGATTCATTTATGAAAGAAGATTCAGAAAAACAGAAAGAAACCTCTGATTATAAAGATAAAGAAGAGAATACAGAAAAGATGGAATGTGGTGAGATCTTTAATAAAAGTGATCTAAAGAATGACACAGCAGCAGATGGAAAATCTGGTTCAGAGATCTTAAAAGAAACTGATGGAAAAGATGGAGAGAAAGAAATTTGTGAAAAGAAGGAAGATATTTCAGAGAAGGAAAATGAAGTAAAATTAAGTGGTAAAACAGGAGAACAACTACATAAATTGTTGATAGAGAAATGTATGGCAGCTTTACATTTATGTTTGTCTCGATTTCCAACACATTACAAATCTATGTACAGATTGGCCGATGTTTATGTCAACTCACCATATCATAAGGTATTTATAGGTCCAACACATTACAAATCTATGTACAGATTGGCTATGGTTTATGTCAACTCACCGTATCATAAGGTATTTATAGGTAACACATTACAAATCTATGTACAGATTGGCTATGGTTTATGTCAACTCACCATATCATAAGGTATTTATAGGCAACACATTACAAATCTATGTAAAGATTGGCTATGGTTTATGTCAACTCACCATATCATAAGGTATTTATAGGCAACACATTACAAATCTATGTAAAGATTGGCTATGGTTGATGTCAACTCACCATATCATAAGGTATTAATAGGCATCACATTACAAATCTATGTAAAGATTGGCTATGGTTTATGTCAACTCACCATATCATAAGGTATTTATAGGTAACACATTACAAATCGATGTACAGATTTGGCTGATGTTTATATCAACCCACCGTATCATAAGATATTTAAAGGTAACACATTACAAATCGATGTACAGATTGGCTGATGTTTATGTCAACTCACCATATCATAAGGTATTTATATGTAACACATTACAAATCTATGTAAAGATTGGCTATGGTTTATATCAACCCACCGTATCATAAGGTATTTATAGGTAACAAATTACAAATCTATGTAAAGATTGGCTGATGTTTATGTCAACTCACCATATCATAAGGTATTTATAGGTTACACATTACAAATCTATGTAAAGGTTGGCTATGGTTTATGTCAGCTCACCATATCATAAGGTATTTATAGGTAACACATTACAAATCTATGTAAAGATTGGCTATGGTTTATGTCAACTCACCATATCATAAGGTATTTATTGGTAACACATTACAAATCTTTGTAAAGATTGGCTATGCTTTATATCAACCCACCGTTTCATAAGGTATTTATAGGTAACACATTACAAATCTATGTAAATATTGGCTATGGTTTATATCAACCCACCGTATCATAAGGTATTTATAGGTAACACATTACAAATCTATGTAAAGATTGGCTATGGTTTATGTCAACTCACCATATCATAAGGTATTTATAGGTAACACATTACAAATCTATGTACAGATTGGCTGATGTTTATGTCAACTCACCATATCATAAGGTATTTATAGGCAATATATAGGTGTTGTTTTCAAATCTTTCACTTGTATTTGTGTTGAAAATTTTGTGATAATAATTGTGAATGAAAGGAAAGTTGCATGATTTTAGTATGGAGGTAAAGTGTGTATTGCTGTATGATATTTACTATGAAAAAAGATAAGGCTTGAAAAAATGATGTCTGCAAAATATTATACAAGAAATTGTTTACTATGGAATATGATTAATAATTGATGTTTTAATGTAGAAAATAATATAATTCAGTAGCAAATACAGTACATTGTATTATTGTAGAAAAGTTACTTGAAGTTATATGTTTTTGGAGAACTTGGTAATGTTGGAATATCTTTAGTTGTTTAATCTCTGTGTATTCATACATATTAAGGAGATATATTTTTTTCTCTTTATTACAATATCCATTCTTGAGTGTAATTGTGTTTTTTATTGCAGAACTTGAAGTTTGCCCAGGATTTGTTGCTTGGGTCATCCAACTGGCAGCAGCAAAGTCACATGCCTGCACAGGGATTATTTGGGGACAAGAAACAGAACAATTTTTTCCAGGTATGAAAAACATAAATATGTTAGGTTCTTTAAAATTTAAGCTGAAATGTCTTTTGTAAGAGACTGACAAGCCTATTTAAATGTTGCTGGAGTGTTTTCTGGTCATGAATTTCATTTTTTTTAAAGAAGTCTACAAACTTAAGTTATTGATGTGAGTATAGATAATTAGTCGATTGAATTTAGTTTGTCCATCTTACTATTAAAGATAACTATTTATAAAACATTAAATTTTACCTAAATCAGGGGGATGGGGGAAGAAATTAAATATGGTTGAACTTTGCCAACACCTTTCTGTGGTACTTTATTATAGAGGGGTAATCTAGGAGTTGATACCTAGCCTATACATTGTACATAAAAAGTGACGTTAGGATATACATAAGTCAAATATTACTGTAATGAGAAATGTTATATATATGTATGTAATGCATAACATTACGAACATGAGATAACAAGAATCTCTATTATCAGTTTATTTTGTGTACTAGTTTTGCTGTGTGTATTGTCTTTATAACAGATGTGTTTGACAATAAGACACAAAAACATAAAATATGATTTCCTCAAGTAACTGTGATAAAGTTAAGTTGCTTGTATTGACTTTATGGCAACTTTACATGATTAAATGAAAGTACCATGTATTATAAATAGTGCAGATAATGTAAATAATAGATCTGTTAGATTTGGGGGTGTTTGACCTCCTCCACAAAAGATGCACAGCACAGTATTTTTATTCATTGATTTATTTCAAGGAAATAATTAGCTTTAAGATGAATTAATATATTTCTTGTTATGATTTGCAGGGTATATGGAGGATACCTATAGGTGACATTGACAGATCAGGAAGCTTTGCCTCTCACATGAACAGATCAGTCATGTTATTGTTGGAGGTTTTGAGGCAGAGAAGAGAGTTAACACTGATGTATCAGATACATTTATGGATGAATAGGTCTCCTGAATCAGGAAAGTAAGAATGTTTGTGTTAAAAGTGATAATGCTACTTTAAGGCAAATATGAGGAAATGTTTTCATCTGTGCTGGTACCACAAGATAAAATTTCCTTAATAGTATATTTACTATTCTTAAATTAATTCTTTCCTACCTTGAATTGATAATTGACTTTTGTGTTTTGAATTTATCTTAAAAGACTTTTAGACTCAATTTATGAAATGACAGCTTGCATTGATTGAGTGGTGGTTTTTTTACTGTTCCATAAGATGTTTCTTGAAATCAGCAACCCTCAAATGTCATTAAATTGATGGTAAGAAAACATTTAGAAATTTAAACTATTAAGAAGTAATTGAAAACAAAAGCATGATTTATATTTCAATTTATTGAATGCAGAAATTTGTGAGAATGCAACTTTGAAGCTATTGTTAGGCACTCGTTTGTTTGAAATAGTATATCAACCTTATAAAATTTTCAGTTCTTTTCATTCATTATGATTTTCTATTGTATTGTCCAATATTTTTGTTTATTCAAATTTTCCTTTTAATGTATCATTAATGTTTTTTTTTTCTGCAGAAAATATCTAAGAGATTCAGAGAGAATCCTGTTTGTTAAGATGTCCTTCAGATTATGTTGGGAAATCATTGATGAAAGAAATGCAGAATTAACAAAAATGGTAGACAAAGAAAAGCTGGAGAAAATTTTATTGGAGGTTTATAAAATCTGGAATTATGGGAATTCTTCAAAGATGAAGAATGATATAGGGCTTGATACAAACAAGATATTTGGGGAGACTTACAAAGCTGCCATGAAAGATCGGGTAAGAATAGGAGTTATGTAGTTTGGTTTTTGAAGAGAAACCAAGCAAGAAAATAATTATTTGTTGATGAAAAAGTGTTTTGAAGTCTGCTTTACCATGAAATAAATATCAGGGGTTATATGGAATTGTAGTATTCTGTAAAAACAATTATTATTTTTCATTTTACTCTTTTTCATGTTTTAAAACTTATTTTACAGATTGCTGCTGATCGTCCTCTGTTTAAGCAGGCTGTAGATTTCTGTCAGCACTACAATCAGGTTAAAATTCAGGTAACATTACCAAACATATATTCAATAAGAGATTTCTGTCGACACTACAATCAGGTTAAAATTCAGGTAACATTGTCAACGTATATTTGTTCCGCCTAACAGAAGTTCCACTAGAAACTTTGTTATAAACAATGTTATAATATCTGTTCCTGTTGGAACAAATATTCTATACCATTTATTCCATTACTGGCATTAGGAACATTTACTGTAATATTTATTCCAGTGGAAATAATATTCCAGAATATTGTTTCCATTTGGAACTTATATTATGAAGGAACTTCTATTCTGTGACAACATTGCCAAACATAGATTCAATAAGAGATTTCTGTCGACACTACAATCAGGTTAAAATTCAGGTAACATTACCAAACATAGATTCAATAAGAGATTTCTGTCGACACTACAATCAGGTTAAAATTCAGGTAACATTACCAAACATAGATTCAATAAGAGATTTCTGTCGACACTACAATCAGGTTAAAATTCAGGTAACATTACCAAACATAGATTCAATAAGAGATTTCTGTCGACACTACAATCAGGTTAAAATTCAGGTAACATTACATAGATTCAATAAGAGATTTCTGTCAACAACACAATCAGGTTAAAATTCAGATAAAATTCCTATTTTAAGAATTGGCAAACATAAGATTCAATAAGAGATTTCTGTCAACACTAAAATTCAGGTAAAACTGCTCTTTTAGGGCTTACTAAACATAGATTCAATAAGAATGATGTAAAATAGTTGTGCCTGAAACATACCAGAACAAAATATCATGAAACATTTAGTAAAATGCTTCAATTTCTCCCACCAAAAATAGTTTTCAACAATTAAGTAATTTTTCTTATCTTAGTAAATAATATGATTTGTCAGTATAAAGGGTGTAAACATTCTACTATAAATATTTGTTTTAAATCCCGTACTTTTCCATAGATTAATGAGAAAACCAGGCAATAATAACCATGCTAGGTTATGTATTCAAAGTTAATATTGAGTTTCTCAGGATATAATTAATAAATTGTCATTTCTATCATAAATATGATCCCACATGGTTGACTTGGGTATCAAAATATTGTCATTCCTTAGACTTCTTCCATCCAGCAGTAAAACCCATGCTTAAGAGGGGCATCTGTGTGCATTCTCTGGACGTCAAAGAGCCCTTTCAACACTTCATTGAGGGGTCTTTAGGTGGCCCATTGTAAGAAAAAAATCTGCTGCCTATCCAGCTCACCCTTTCCTGTTGCAGTGTGAATTTTCTGCAATTCATCATGGTCTACCTACATTACAGTTCCTACTTAATGATTTCATTGTTAAATTGTTCTCGTCCTAGGCATTGTATTAAAAATTGATCAGTAACTCCTATATTTATGTCTCTAAAACATCTGACAAAATGTTTTCAAATTCTTGTTATAATACTACACTCTTTTAAAACAAGGACACAAACCCTACTACATATCAGAAAAAAAATAATGTGTTTTTCATTTTCTATTGTAGATACTTTTTATTTTTTTTTAATTAAGCAGCAAACATAACAATCAAGAAATAGATCAAAGCTTTACTTTGCTTTGCATGAAATGAATAAAAAGTGATACGGGTTATAAGGTTAAAAGACATTTAGAGTAGTCTTCAACAAGACTATGATGTCTATCTTTCAAATGTATTTATCAGTTCATATAATAATGTAAAATAATAAAGTTTATTGATAGATTGATTTGTAACAGACAGAGAAAGAAAATACACATAGATTTTAAACACAGTACTTTTTTCAATAATAGTCATTTAAGAGAAGGTTGGAACTAGCATGCAATCCATTATCAGAGTCGTATTAATGATTTATTTTACCTAATGAAACTAACTAAAACTATATTTTATTCAGAAAAGATAATTAATCAAGACTATCTATATATATAATAAACTATATTTTGTCAATGTTTTTATTTTGCAGTTGCAGAAAGCTAATCAGGAAGGTCAGAATATTGGGAACAGATCAGAATCTTTATTTTCACCATCTCGTTTATCTTTTTCATCATATTCACCAGTAAGATCAACTGCAATGCAGTCACCTAGTACACAGAGTCCAAGCATAACAGCATCACCCCAGCAACAATCAAAACAACTTCCATCTACCATGCCTTCTCAGATTGTAGTAGTAGACAAAGACAAAAGAGAGCTGTCTGCTACATCAGGCTCCAGCAAACAGTCTCAGTCACAGTTGGCGTATTTAACAAAACCATTAGAGACATTAAGAACCACACAGTCTCAAGTTTTGGTTAAGAAGCTACCAGAAAAGGCCTTTGTACCTACTGTTCAGCAAAAAGATCCTAGATCCATGCATGCCCCTTCAATCCAGCAAAAAGATTCAAGGCCCACACATGTGATGGCAATTCATCATAAAGATGCAAAGCCAATGTCTAGAAAACCAGCAACAAACCCATTTGAAAATCCAGTTGTTGAAACTTTAGTTAAGGACATAAATCCTGCATCAATATTTGAAACATTATTAGCAAATGAGTTTGGCACTGAGTCTGAAGATCAGGAGAAAGTCAAAAACCCTGATGAAGTGGATGGGTCAGCCAAGAAAGCTCATATTTCAACAGTTACAGATCATTATACAAAGAAACAGACCATTGTTGTGTCAAAGTCAAGCAATCAACCAATCATTTGTAAAGTTGATGATTCAAAAGGAGGCTTAAATATTATTTCACCAGAGTTTGGGTCATTGGAAGTTTTATCTCCAAATACACCTTGTCCAGACACAATGAAATTCAGTATTCCATCAAAAGATCCCAAAACCAAAACAACAATTGTTATAACAAAAAGAAAACCACCACTAAAAATTACAGAACCGATAGAAATATCTTCATCAGATGATGAAGAAGACTTAAAAAAATCAGAAACAACATATTCTGTTGCTAAGACCATAGGGATCACAGTGCCAACAGAAAGCAAACAGCAAACAACATCATTAACATCAGCAGCAATTCCTAAAACAACATCATCAACATCAGCAGTAATTCCAAAAACAACATCATCATCATTCCCAAAGATAAGTCAAATAAAGAAACCCCCACAGCAAGTTCATAGAAGTGTGATTAAGTTAGATAACTTAGATTCAGCAGAAGACAGTATCCCCTCATCATCAGAGTCTGGCTCGGTCTATGTTCCAGATGATAGTAGTTCTGATAGCATACCTTCCTCTCCTGAGCCAACCAATTGTAGACTTGATGAAATAACCGGATTGTTCATTCCACCTGATGTCAAATTTTTCAAAGACAACAAATTAGTAGAGGATGATAATTAAAATAAATGTGTTTGTAATCATTCTTAATATGGCTTTATGGATTCATCATCATAATCTCTGCATGCATTTGCTGTTTCACATTTTTTTGCACATATAATCCTTTCATGAAAACGTATGGTCCAATAAGGCAATTTTTTATTCTTTCTTGCAAGTTGATATAAAAATAAGGCGTATAAGGTGTACAAGAGTTCAAAAACAAAGCTTTTGGTCTTTATGTCATTTCTGTAAATCTGTGTTAAATCTGATTCCAAGTGTTGGGAGAGTGCCCAAACTCATTATGTTAAAGAACCGTTGCAACAACAATTTGAGGGGTACATAGTTGGCCAATTACAAGGGAAAATGTTTTCCTACCCAACATACTCATTTTTCCAGATAAAATCCAGATTTTCTGCCCTTCATTGTAGCAGACCCCCTTTGCAAAACTAACCAATTAGATTCATGTAAATTTGTTCTTGACCTGGATATGCATTACAAAGTAGAGAAACTCTAGCTTTGGTGCAGTTCATCATGTTTTAGAATTCTTTCCATATTACTGTGACTTGACTATAAATAAAGGCAACAGCAGTATACCGCTGTTCAAAAGTCATAAATCGATTGAGAGAAAACAAATATGGGTTACAAACTAAAACCGAGGGAAACACATCAACTAAAAGAGGAAAACAAATGAACAACAGAAACACTGAAGTGCAACAAAAACAAACGCCAACATACATAGAAACGAACTATTTGATAACAACTGCCACATTCCTGACTTGGTACAGGCCATTTTAAGAAAAAATGGTGGGTTGAACCTGGTTTTATGGCTAGCCAAACCTCCCGCTTATATGGCAATGATAAAAAATATTGCTAAAATGACAACACTACGTGACAGAAATACAGCACAAACACACACAAGAACACTCATCACAGAGAAACGCACAAATAAATAATACAATAGTCGTTACACCATGTAAACCGCAGAATAACAACGAACATCTTCCATTAACGACAGACAGCACAGGACATCACAAACAGTGACGTATATTTTTGTAACGAATATATAATCTTGAAATTCATACAATTATTTTCACAATACTAGTCCAAACAATTATCATGATAATGACGGTATTGAAAGGCTATTTTATAATTATTTGGACTACAAACGATAAGACATAACACATTATCCTAGCGAAACCTCAACAGAAACATCATAAATACATACATGAATGTTGGATGTAAAAAATACCGAGACGCGTCGTATAGCAATGCAAATTCACACTTGGCAAAACAGTCATATTCGGGAATAGGTCATGTTCTGTAAATCTGTTAAATCTGATGCCAAGTGTAGGGAGAGTGCCCAATCTCATTATGTTAAAGAACCCTTGCAACAAGTGTTGCTCTCCACCTACTGCAGTTCAATTACAGTTCTGACCAATTTGCAATTTGTTTTATCAAACCAAACTGTTCAGAATTTTTAACCAGCTGCAGAAAAACTACAGTCAAGTGATCAAAGTGCAAGGTGATAACATAAAACATACTTACAATCCTATTAGTCTTTAAATCCCCATCAATGATATTATTAAACTGAAGCTTACTACCTATCACCTTTCGGATGACTATTACATTAACAATATGTATAAAAATATTTAGCTTCATTTTCATAATATGGAAGCGGAATTAAAGTCTAATAGGATTGTATGTATGCTTTATTTTATCACCTTGCACTTTTTGGTTTTCCACAGAAATTGGTTAAAATTTCGACCAGTTAAACAGTTGATTTGTTGACACCAATTGCAATTTGGTTAGAATTTTGAACGACTTGTAACACTTACAATCAAGTCACTGTAAAAAGCAAATATATTATAACATGTCTCATTTTCAAATCTTGGATTCTTGGTACAGCTCTTAACCTTACCTGACCGTCAGGACTGATACTGCTTGTTCATTCATAGTAATTTCAAACTGAAGTTTTCCTCTCAATCATTTGGAGCCATTGAAACAACAAATATAAAATATTTATAAATGACTTTTCTTGATGAATTTTACCATTTTTAGGCTATTTTTTAAACACTACTACAGATAAATAAAAACTGCAAACAGTCTAAATCATCAGCAACAGAAGATCTACAAAAAATGTCAAGTGATTGGATTCACAAATTGACAGATTAAAGGAGTGCACTCAAATGAAGATTTTTAGCATTTTTTCGAGCCTGCGACTTCTGTGACATAGGGATAGTGATCCGGCGGCGGCGTTAGCTAACTTCTTAAAAGCTTTATATTTTAGAAGGTGGAAGGTCTGGATGCTTAATACTTTGTATATGGATGCCTCATGTTACGAAGTTTCCGTCAGTCACATGTCCAATGTCCTTGACCTCATTTTCATGGTTCAGTGACTACTTGAAAAAAAGTAAAGATTTTTTGTAATGTTAAATTCTCTCTTATTATAAGTAATAGGATAACTATATTTGGTATGTGCGTACCTTGCAAGGTCCTCATGCCCGTCAGACAGTTTTCACTTGACCTCGACCTCATTTCATGGATCCTTGAACAAGGTTAAGTTTTGGTGGTCAAGTCCATATCTCAGATACTATAAGCAATAGGTCTAGTATATTCGATGTACGGAAGGACTGTAAGGTGTACATGTCCAACTGGCAGGTGTCATCTGACCTTAACCTCATTTTCATGGTTCAGTGGTTATAGTTAAGTTTTTGTGTTTTGGTCAGTTTTTCTTATACTGTATGCAATAGGTCTACTATATTTGGTGTATGGAATGATTGTAAGGTGTACATGTCTAGCTGGCAGGTGTCATCTGACCTTGACCTCATTTTCATGGTTCAGTGGTCAAAGTTAAGTTTTTGAGTTTTGGTCTTTTTTTCTAATACTATATGCAATAGTTCAACTATATTTGGTGTATGGAAAAATGTTATGATCTATATGTTAGTCACGCAGGTTTTATTTGACCTTGACCTCATTTCCAAGGTTCATTGCTCAGTGTTGAGTGTTTGTGTTTTGGTCTGTTTTTCTTAAACTATAAGCAATAGGTCAACTATATTTGTTGTATGGAAGAATTGTTAGCTGTACATGCCTGCCTAGCATGGTTCATCTGACCTTGACCTCATTTTCATGGTTCATTGGTCAATGTTTAATTTACTTGATTAATGTTAAGTTTGTGTGACAGTTGTAATAAAGCTTTATATTTAGGACTATCAACATAATATCAATGATTAGTAAAGAAGGCGAGACATTTCAGCGTGTGCACTCTTGTTGATTATTATCTCTTAAACTATGATAGACAAACAGATAAGTTAGAGTAGTGTACTGATGTTCAAATCTCATCTATCCATCTAGAAGATACAACTCAAGTTCAACACAAAAACTTTAGAATTGCATGGACTCAGAAAGGAGCATAATCGTGCCAATCAACAGGGTAAGTGTCTCCTGTTATACATGGATCACCAGTCATGCAGATCCACTTAAAGGAGGAAACATGTTACAATCTGAATTCGGACATATTTGATAAATTAAAAGATCAGATCACTTCAAGTATCTAAAGATCTAAGACTGCGCGAACACATGTTGGTAGAAAGTTGAGACAGAGATGTGTTGTATCAGTCAACGGAATGGTGATGGAGACAGTAAAACTTGTGTAATATGGTATAGTGTGAACATTTACAAGTGTTGAATAACAAAGTATAACTAAAATACAAAACTCCAAGGTAAATCCAAAAAGGGGAAGTTCATAAAAACTGACAAAGTTCAACGTTGGACTTTACCATCCAACGGAATGAATGGAACGATATTTTCCGAAGAAAATGGTGGGTTATATCTGATTTTATAGTTGCATTGTCCAGCCTGCGACGAAAATTGCAGTATGCGAGACTTAGGGATTACAATCTGTTGGCGGTGGCGTAAACTATTTGTATAAAGCTTTATATTTCAGAAGGTAGAAGACCTGGATGCTTCATAGCTTGCATGAAGATATCTTATGTTACGAAGTTTCCGTCTGTCATATGTCCATTGTTCTTGACCTCATTTTCATGGTTCAGAGACTGCTTGAAAAAGAATTATAGTTTTTTTCCATGTGAATTTCTCACTTATGAGTAATAGGATAACTATATTTGGTATATAGGTTCCTTGCAACGTCTACATGTCCATTAGACAGGGATCAGTGATCAAGGTTACAGTTACGTGATTAGGTCCGTTTCTCAGATACTATAAGTAGTAGGTCAACTATGTGTGGTGTATGGAATGATTGTAAGGGATACATGTCAGTCTGGCAGGTTTCATCTGACATTGACCACATTTTCATGGTTCATTGATCAATGTTACAATGTTAAGTAATTTTTTTGTCTGTTTTTCAAGTACTATTAGCAGTAGGTCAACTATATTTGGTGTATGGAATGATTGTAAGATGTACATGTCTGTCTGGTAGGTATAATCTAACCTTGACCTCATTTTCATGGTTCATTGGTCAATATAAGTTTTCGTTTTTTTGGTCGATTTTTCAATTACCATAAGCAATAGGTTAACTATATTTGATGTATGGAATAATTGTAAGGTGTGCATGTCTGTCTAGCAGGATTTATCTGACCTTCACCTCATTGTGATGGATCTTTATAGATGTTAAGTGTATGTGATACTCGTAGTAAAACCCTTATCTTTAAGACTTTCAACATAATATCAATGGTCAGTAAAGCAGGCGAGACATTTCAGCGAGTGCACTCTTGCATTGAGGTATGTCATACGATGGGGCAGGGTATGTTATTACTGGGAAATTGGAAGGTTGAAATCATCAAATTTGTCATAGAATCTAGTTTTTAAGGTGTCAATATTTATGAATAGATCAAGATATAAAGCAGACATGGTTTCAAGTTTACCGGGGTATATGAGATGCAACACAAAATTAAATGTGGGATATTGAGAACAAAACAACAAAGAATTATCTGAAACAAAAACTGAGGAAATTTTGCAAGGTTCCTTTGGTATTTGTCTTTGAGAAGATTCTGTTTGAGTTCTAGATCTGCTTCATATGGGTAGAAAAACAAACCGGCTAGTAAGGTTGTACAAGTTCTCTTTGAAATACCGACTGTCTGTTGGAATATCCATCCACCAAACTCAACAAATATGTTATCGATTAAAACATCCAGCATGTTGATGATATCATTTTGGTGTATTTTTTGTGGGAATCAGTTTTGATTTTCCTAAAGATGTCTTTTTCATGGCCTCAAAAACAATAAATTGGTATCTACAATTCCCATGTTTGTAGAAAAAACACTGTTAATTAGAAGGTGTGGTTCTTTCAACTGAGCATGGGGCATAGAAGGTATAGAGCCCTTAGAGGATTTGCCCTTAAGAGACTATTTTGACCAATTTTTGTCTCTAATTTTAAATCTATTTCAGATCAATTAAAATTTTATATAGCAAAATTTTTCAGCTTTACATGATAGATAAGAATTTATGTAATTTCTGGTAAATCAATATTTGGGGTCCTGAATTTTGTCTCGCCTTTGACAAAAGTAGCAGAATGCCAGACAGGGATTCTATTCCGGCGGCGGCATAAGTTTTATATAAACTTTGTATTTCATAAGGTAAAAGAACTGGATACTTCATACCTTATATGTAGATGCCTTATGTTACGAGTTTTAAGTCTTTCATTTGTCCTTGACCTTAGTTCCATTGTTGCGCGACTGCCTAAACAGTATAATTTTGTTTGTCACTTGAATTTTCACTTATGATCAATGGTATAATAATATTTGCTATATGAGATCCTTGGAAGGTTTACATGTCGTTAGACATGGTTCATCTGACCTTGACCTCATTTTCAAGGGTTCATTGGTCAATGTAAAGTTTTGTTTTTTGGTCTGTTTCTCAGATACTATAAACAATAGGTCAACTTGATTTGGTGTTTGACTGTTAGCTGTTCATGTTGGTCTGGGAGGTATCTTCTGACCTTGACTTCATCTACATTCCGTAGTGTAGACCTTATCTTAGGTGATGATGATGGTTGGCTGCTTAACGTCGAACGGCAAGTTAATATGCATATTGAGGACGAGAACATGTAAATGTTATATGAATATTAACCCTGCTTTGTACTAGACTGACACGCTGAGCCGTATTTTTAACGTGCTAGTTCGCAAGGTAACAGTCAGCAGGAAGACACATCACCTAACCTAGACACATTATTCTAGACTCCGAGCCGACCAGATTGCTCTTTCTCCTTAATGTCGCGTGCTAAGCGGAGAAGCAGCAAATACCAATTTTAAAGTCTTTGGTTTGACCCGGCCGGGGTTCGATACTATAACTTTACGTCAACTTTATTTGTTGTATGAAATGATTGTAGGGTGTACATATCTGTCTTGTACGGTTCATCTGACCTTATCCTCATTTTCATAGTTCATTGGTCAAAATTAAGTTTTCGTGAATATGTCTGTTTCTATATACTATTAGCAAAAGGGCAACTATATTTATTGTATGAAATGATTGTAAGGTGAAGATGTCCGTCTGGCAGGATTCGTCTGACCTTGATCTCTTTTACTCTTTTATATGGATCGTTGTAAATGTTAAGTTTATGCGTAACTTGTAATTAAACCTTTATCTTAAAGACTCAACATAAATTCGGACTGTTTCCTATGGCGTCATCGGTGTCAACACTGTATTAATTTGTTAATATGTCAGTTTAAAAGGAACCACTAGCGGTTTATTATATTTGGTATGCAGTTATATTAGCATTGTTACATCTCATTTCGATGTTGATCATTTAGACCGACTTCCTCCTTCATGATCTATTCACTTTGAAACTTTTGCATAGTTTACATGTTAAAGTTCGTCATTAGGTCAGTTTAAGATGAACCACTAGTTGTAAGTTAATGCTATTTGGTATGCAGTTGCATGATCATTTGCACGTCTCATTTTATTAATAATATCAATAAATAATATGAAACATATAGCCCTGCCCACTCATTATTGTTCATTGACTTTGTAACTTTTGCAAAGTTCACATGTGAAAGGTTGTGTTTTTGTCAGTTTAAATGGAATCACTTATGATAGGTCAATGGTATTTGGTATGCAGTTAGATCAGAGTAGGGACGACAGCCTATGTGCTGTGTTCAAAGCTTCTCGAGTCAGTTGATGGGATTTAAGCTTCTTTTCCAGATGAGGGACGACATTCTGCGCACGGTAGGCAGGTTTGTGCCCTGCACATTCACTGATGGTTCATTGACTATGAATGTTTTGCATAGTTTACATGTTAAAAGTATTGTCATTTTAATTTCAACATTTGCATTATACCATGAAAATTATATCAAGGCGAGATATATCTGTGTGTCAACATTTTATTATGATAATATGTCATAATTTATCCTGGTGAGCGATTCAGACTGTTTAGGGCTTACAGTTTTCAGTATATGTCACTTTTAAAAAAATCTGCTGATCTGGGTTATACATATGAACTCGTAACATATTGGTATAGAGTTTATTAGTATGTGACCAGATTTGTCTGACCACGCTCAAGTCAACTGGAAATGATTATTCTGATGAGTTCTTCGTGTCAATGGTGCCGTCCGCAAGTGAAATTACAGTGCATGAAACTGTGCATTAAAACTAAAATTATGTTGAATTTGCTAATATAATAAGGTGCAATTTAACACACCATTACAATTTGATATTTATGATGTTGTAAGATATATAATTATTGTCATAAATTCTTTCATTGGTGTGATCTATTGTATGTCTAGTTACATAACATACGAGAAACCATTGAGCCGATTGATTAATTAGCAAACTTCCTGGATTGAAACTGTATTGTGGAAATTTATAAGTTCTACAAATTGTGGTAAGGAATATCTTTCTTCTTCAAAATAACTCCTAGATCGTTGAAAAATATAATACGTTTTTATGTTCCCCTGTTCGTCTTTATACAAATCGTATAAGACATTTCGCGATTAAATTATACAAATCGTATAAGACATTTCGCGATTAAATTACCGTCAATGATAGGTGATTGTCAATAAGCCGTAATACAGTTAACAAGTTTATCAATATATTCTGATCAGGCGTTGAATTTATTTTGCCTTAATGAAGAAATTGTATGACTATTTCCAATTAACTGTTCCAAAAAACATAGAAAATAAGATCTTTGTTAAATCGAAGGCAAGTTTAAAGATAATGGAATGACCAATATCTCCCCTTTGACTGTTTCACTTACAGTGTCAGAATTAGACAGTTATTAGTGTCACGCGGCATATCAGAAAGTCTTTCTCCTTTCACAAGATAAATTTGCTTAATTTTTTGCCAAATTACCAAATTGCAGTATGAATTCATCTCTTCAAACAGATTAACTGGTAAAATATTTAAAGTCATTCCTAGCATAAGGTTGTTGGTATGAAGCAATTACGGGTAATACAAGTTATTCTTACCATCCAAAACCTGTGATTGACTTCTTTTTTGACAATAGATAAATGTAATTTGAAGCATCTCGTTATACGGAACACTTGTTTAAAAAACGTATGACTGATCTATGCCCTTCCATCATAGTGACAAGTTTATGAGAAATTTGTTTTCAACTTTGTTTCCATGGTTATTTATGAAAACTGACGTTTTTTTATTTTGTTTTATGAAAGATATTTTTTAAAACTATGTTGTAAATATGATATTAATGCGACACAACAAAATTGTGTGAAACATATCTATTCCATGTTATTGATTCTGCTTTTAAATATAATATGATCTCCCGTTTATATCAGTAGATTACCGACCGTGCAAGGGCTGTATAGCCAGTCAAGGTCGTTAAAAACTTCCATATACATGTATATTAGTAGATCAATAATTTCTACAATAAATTGAAAGCAAAACAATAATTTATTTATTCTAATTTTTTAACACAATATTTAGAACTAATTATTTATAAAATGCCATTATGATAAAAGTATTCACATCCAAATCAAACTAAAGTATGTGTTCGTTATATTAAAGTTATTGTTCAAAACGAAAAAAAATACAGTTAAACCCTGGAATTGAATGGTAAGACTAATTTTATCAAACTGCATTAAAATTTTGCTTCATATTAACAACCTTTCACTGGCACTGAGCCAACTTCTTTACAAGTTGATCAGTGTGTAGATCAATTCTAACTGCATGCAGCCAGTAAAACATCTTAGCAAATTTGTATTGTTAAAGGACAAAGCCTTTCGAATATGATTTCATAAACACACGTACAACGTTTACTTGTAATACCAATTTAGAATTACACACGATATATTGCAATTGATGACAATGCATCTAAAGATATCTAAAAAATCTTATGTTTTCAACATATTTCTTATTTACCAACAGTTGCTCACGCCTGTGTTTAATTGTTCGAAATTATTTTTATGTGAATTAGTAAACATCTAAAGGTGTAACTCCACCAATGAGTAAACTTCTATATAAATGATAAGCTTTTGTCATGGATACATTCATGGTTTGCTAAATTAGTAATGTTAATTTTTTATTCTGTTATCGTTGATGAGTGTTTAAAACCTTTTGGTCGATGCCACTGCTGGTGGGCGTTTCTTCGTCTCAAAGAGTATCACCAACTTTTCTGTTGACATGGAATATCATGGACTTGTTCAATTTCAGTAAATGTACTGTTTATAACATGTTCAATTTACACGAAATACTAAGTTTATTCTACCCCAGGCATAGATTCCCTAAGCTGTTTTTGGCCGTAACTTTTCTGAATTTCGTTTTATAATGCTCTTCAACTTCGCATTTGATTTGGCCTTCCAACTAATGCCATTCCACTGATAAGTTTTATGTAGACGAAACGTGCGTTTGGTGTACCAAATTACAAGCCTGGTGAGTGTTAAGGTGAGAGTTGTCTATATATTATATATTGGATTGATTGTGTAACAAGATATATTTTCTTGGAAATGAGCTGAAGGCGTTGAAATAAATAACGCTTTTATTTTTTTCCATTTTAGTCATTTTAAAAATTTTAAATATAAACATGTTGTTGTAATAAAAGTGATTCCACTCTATTCATTGCCAAAAACGACCATACATTTTTAAAAATGCCTATGTATTCTTGAATTTATCTACGATCACTTATGGTTGTGTTACACTATTAAACCAGTGACACAAAGTATATGATTAATTGGAGGCAACAGTTATTTACCGATGCGTAAATCTCATATTCCATTATAAAGATACAAATCAAGGTAAAAACCTGCAACTGAGAATCAATATATATTAATGTATCCCCTTCATACAATTAAAATTTTATCTATTTGGCTTCGTGTCATCTCATGTCTTGTACATATTTAGACTTGAACAAGAAAGATTAAGAGGACACATAATTTGGATAGCAGGCCAACATGTGCTTGCTAGTACAAGAAGCTAGGTAATATTGTCATACTACCGCTTAAGACGAAAAAATCAGAAACACTCGAAAAAAATGAAATTGTTCTTCATTTAAAAACGCATGTAGATATAACCTTAAAATCGTTTTGGTTTTGTCTTAATATAGAGTTCATTGGATCATACATTTTATTACTTTGAAATTTCCGTTCCGGCAAACAAGTTTTGACAGCTTTGCTGACGTTGTTCATTTCACTCTTCCTATCGAGTAGTGCTGAAAGTACACTTGGCTATAATTTATAGACATTTTCTTGTTCTTTTTTATTTTAACTGTGTCTTTTTTGGAGAAGATCCCTTTGATTCCGTTCAAACGCTTAACAGTTATGGTTTTATAATCTCGTTATCCTGTTCATAATCTTTTCCGTGAGCATACATATTCAACAGGTGGTTAAAAAAAGAAAAAAAGAGAGAAAGATACCAAGGGTACATGCAAAATTCAAAATTCGAAGTAAACCTGACAATGACATGGCCAAAAACCAAAGACGACGAACAGACAAACAAATCCACAAAACACTATACAGAAAACTTAAGACTGAGCAACATTAACCCCAAACAAAAACTGGGGGTGATCTTATGTGCCCCGAAACAGTAATCCTGCTCCTCTAGTATGATGCAAGTTTCACATACAATATTTATTCAAATATTGAAATTTGATTTAAGAATTGATTGCTTCTTTTTGTAACTTTATTTGAGTGTAAAAGTGTTGACCGAAGCACATTTTATATGAAGCGCGGAAGCGCTTCATTCTAGAAATGTGCGCACGATCAACACTTTTACAACCCTATAAAATTACTAAAAGAAGAATTCAATTCTTATAATTACATTTTTATGCTAGGGTCATGAAAAATCGATTTCTATCATCTATTTCTTAAATTAAACCGTGTGCTTTATTGTGATGGCATGTGTCATCATGAATGTTACACTTCATTGGATTATGAAGGTTAATTTAAGTATGACGCGCAAGCGTTGTTATCCAATCATAATAACGGATTCTTCTGAAACATACATTTAATGTAATTATTAACCCTTCTGTCGCATGTCAAACAGTTCTTACAATATGAGATTACCCTTAGCACATGTGTTACAGTTTGTTACACATAAAAAGTCGACGCCTTAAGTAACGTTCTTTAAAGTTACATAATAATAATTTTTCCTTTGATGTAGTTGCAAGGTGGGTTTATTTGTGGCTCCTCCAATTTGACTGCAATGATCTACATGCATATTTTTACTGTAATGCGCATGGCTGTATCCATGACAATAGTTACAGTTACTGAAGTTTTTTTGTATTCATAAAAATGAAAACAACGCTTAATAATTTTTCCTTCGAAGAGCGTTTTTGGATTCACTTTCATCAGTAACGCTCAAAGCTGAATATTTGGAAGCCAAAGATGCACAAGAAACGAAACAGTTGAAGAGATATATGACCAAAAAGGACCTAAGGATAATAGCCATATCCATTTAAGGTCAAGTTTGCCTGAGGGAGTAATAATTTCCAGATTTATAAAATGAGGCAAAAAATACCAAAGGGATAATCAAACTCATAAATCGAAAACGAGGCTGATAATAACATGACAAAAAACGAAAAACGAAAAACGACCAAAAGACAAACAACAGTATACAAAACACAACATAGACAACTAGAGACTGAGCAAAACGAATTCCACCCAAATCAAACAGTGGAGTATTTGCAGGTTCGCCGGAAGGTTAAGCAGATCCTGCTCCACAATAGATAGACAGTTAAAGAAAGGTTTTATTATAAATCATGTCAGTACCGATAAATTAGATATGTGGATGCGACACGAACGTTGGGCCATGTCACATAAATAAGTCAACTGGAAAGAAAGTAAGTCATCATTGCATTGTTAGTTAACTCTAAATATGCTGGCATTATGAAAAAAGTCCATAAAAGTACAATTTTCATTAAATTTATTTGAGTCCATAGCCGCAATTGTGGAAGGTCGGTTATAACCGGAATGAAACGCAGATTAGATCTGATTTTTTTTTTTTTATTGTACACTCAGCACCTGATCTGAAGGCATTACAACATAAAGTCGGTTAATTGTAACAAGACACAAAACGTTCTATAAAGCACCAAAACCTACCAATGTTAAAAAAAACAGATCAATATCTTTATGTATATCGATGACTGACATGGGAAGCATTATATCCCTCGGTCACTTAGTTGGAGAATTTTTGATTTTTTAATTCATGATAAAATAATTCTTTAGCAGCATGATCATTTGTACTGGATTTTTTTAAAACAGCAGTTTTGGTAAAAATTACGTTAATGGCTCATCCAAGATACCAGTATAGTGCGTTTGACTTCTATATATTTGCAGAAAAAAATTCTTAAAATCCAGTTTTTCAAATTTAATTTATTATATTTTTTTCTTGCTGTGTGTTAATATAAATGATATATACTCTGACTATTAATTTCATAATTTTGGGTCGATAAACATTAAAAGCACATGTATGTTGTTTTTTTTTATTTAGATTGGAATGCTGTTAGACTATTTATACTTACTCGATCAAGTAATTACTACTTCAATGGACCTAATGGATAACCTTTTTTAATTATAGACAAAAAATTAAGAAATTTTAAATAGTCAGAGTTCGTATATTCCTTATATTAACATACAGCAAGAAAAAAAACTAATAATTTGAAAAAATGGATTTTTAAGAATTTTTTTTGGCTTTTTATATTGTACGTCATTCGTGTTTCGTTTACAAAGGAACTATTTTTTCTTTATCAATAAGGTTTATATGCTTGTAAGCCAAGAGAACCAGGAAATAAATAATTTATTTAATTCTTTGGAAATCTAGAAATTTTCATCATTGAAATTGACCTTGATCTATGGAAATTGTATCGTAAAATGTTCGACGACTACAAAAACTTCAAAATACCGGTAATACGTGTTCGAATGCTAAATAAATAAATAAATAAAGTCGTGTGTAAAAGACCTTGACTAAGTGCTCTTTGAAATGTCGTTACATTAATACAAAAGATATGTGGTGACACTTGACATGTCTTTTGTTCAGCATTAGAATGTAGAAATCTATTATGATCTTTCAACATATTTTTTGTCAAACTGACAATAATTCAAACGAATTGACACACGTCTTTAAAATCAATTATTAACTAGATCAATATATCCATGAATATCATTTTAAAGAACTGAATATCAATGTTTAAAGAACTTAATTGGATGACCATTTTTACACGGATAAATATTTTCAAGCCATTTTAATGTTTAAATGTATGAATGGACTAGCGCCAGATTATCTTACTAGTAAATTTACTTCGTGCAGTGATCTATATAGTTATTCTCTTAGGTCAACAACATCTGGACATCTTCATTTACCAAGGCCAAAGTCTGAATACTTCAAAAAGACTTTTCAATATTCTGGTTTAATTATTTGGAATAGTTTGCCAAATGATATAAAGGATTCAAGTCATATAGAAAGCTTTAAGGTGAAATGTACTAATCTTTTTTTCACAAAACAGAATGAGTAGACAAACTTTTTTATTTTTTTTTTCTTAGGAAATTCTTGCCATGCTAGTTCTACGGTCTGTTTTCATGCTTGTGTATATAGATTTGTAATGTGTACAACTATATTGATTATTGTGTTATATGCATTGATTGTTATATGTATTAATTGTTCATTTTAATGTGTGAAGGCATCGTGTGAGATTAACAATTGTATGTTAAATGATTTTCCTTCGTTAAATAAAGAATTTATTATTATTATTATTATCAATATTTTCTCTCGAAGCCGGAAGCACTGGCCCTTGGTGGCGAAAGTAAATAGTTGTATATGTGCTTTAGTTATGGGACGGCTATTGATATCTTCATATCTTATCACAAATTGTGTTTTGTTTATTCGATGCTTGGCTTTTATTATTCTACTCAATTTGAATTGAATTATTGCAGCATTTAACGTTATACGTCTAGTATAGCCTACTTAATTATATTCAGGAGGGAAAAAGCAAATTGTTTAGGTTATCAATTAAAAAAAACCCGAGAAGATACGAAAGAGTCAAGTCGAATAAAGCAGAAAACACCACGGCCAAAAGGAAAACCGGCAAAAAGACAAACAAGTCCACACCAAAATAAAAACCCACCAGTACACAAATCATACGATTGAGTAAAAAGATTCCCAAACCCATTTTCTTCTTTTGTCACGAAAATTATATAAACGATGTTCACAGTCTCAGAAAAAAATATTTGATTTTTTCGATAAAAATAAACATACCCTAGGATTAAACTATGACAGAACTACGGGGCCTAGTTTTCGAAAGTGTTTTAAGACATATCCTAAAATACATCTTATGACAAACTTTAGGACTAACATAGTGTATATCAAACAGTGATCGTCCCGAACCAACAAACTATGTTTTTTCAAGAAGTGATAAGCAATGATCTTCAAAATCTTGTATATCGCATAGCTCTTGACATAAACTGTTAGAATCATTATTATCATTATAAAATATCTTATTTCTAATTTTGATATGCAGTCATTGAAGGAAGAGATTTTTTGAGATTTTTTTGTATCCTTTTTCAAATTTCCAAAGGAAAATTATATATATTTATACCATCTGACTACTAACATTTTCATTTGCTTTAACAGACGTTTGATTTTCCAGGATTTCCTGATTAAGTACTTGTCGTTGGGTTATGCGTTAGGTTTCCACTTGCATTGAGTTCCTTGAAATTACTTTATCAAGCACTTGTAATGCGAAGGATGTATATTTGCGTTAATCTACGTACGTAGTACGGATATGCATTACACGTATTTTATACATCGATCCTTTATATTACCCGTAAACATTAAAATGATAATGATTATGATTTATAGAAAATTCGAGATCACCCCTTGTTTTTTTTTAAATAAACTCGAAATTCATGTTTGCACGTACTTTTTGTAAAATGATTACAGAACTATCGACTTCTTTTTAAAACATAAAACATTTTTTCAACGTTACTACCCTGGTTATTTATGTTTTCAACATAGTTTCTAAATTAATGACATTCTATTATATTTCAGGAATGATTGCCATTTAATAGATACACCAAAACTATAGATAGCAGGAATTTTTATAGTCTATATGATAAAGGCAAAATGGAATTGTAAGTATTTTAAATACAATATCAAGGAATCGTTGATGTTGATGAAGGTATAGAATGTATAGATAACTCTGTGAATCTATGGGAAACTAGACTCAATACTCTTAATTTCAGACAACAGTAGTTTACCGATGCAAAAGTTGAAATTTTCACATTTGTCATAGATTCTAGTTTGAAGTAGTCAATCAGGAAAAGATCAACATATCATATGAAGCAGACCTTTTATATTCTGCTCTATGGTTGAGTTGTTGTCTCTTTGACACATTTCCCGTTTCCGTTCTCAATTTTACTTTTATATCCGATAGTATGATTTTCCTTTGTCTCATGTTCACTTTGATATATGTGATTCAAGCAATAACTTAAATGTAGGCTATTGGGTGACGGAAAATTATGAATATATCTGAAAGTGAAGTTAAAGCACTTCGCAAGCTGCTTTTGTTTTAGAAGATTCTGTTTTAATTCTGCTTTATATGAGTACATATGAACAAGTCGTCCAGTAGATGTGCACAATAATCCATGATTCGAACATATACTGTTGAAATATCAATCCAGCAAACTCAACAAATATGTTAGCGATAAAAAAAAACTTGCTATTTTATGAAATCATATCATCGAATCTGGTTGTTAAAATCAATTGGAGTTCTTCACAAAGTAAGATGTTTAATGACCTAAGACAACGAACGCATTTGTATCCCATAGTTGTTGTAAAAGCGCTTTTTAATAAGATGATGTAGTCGATCTTTCAATTGAGCATGGGGAATTATCCATGATTCGAACATATACTGTTGAAATATCAATCCAGCAAACTCAACAAATATGTTGGCGATAAAAAAAGTCTTGCTATTTTATGAAATCATATCATCGAATCTGGTTGTTAAAATGAGTGGCCAGGAGTTCTTCACAAAGTAATATGTTTAATGACCTAAGACAACGAACGCATTTGTATCCCATATTTGTTGTAAAAGCGCTTTTTAGTTAGATGATGTAGTCAACCTTTCCATTGAGCATGGGGAATAGATGTGTAAAGCGTAGAAATATTAAAAGGTTTGATATTACTTCAAATTTGAATGTGGTGATATATTTTGGAGTAGATTTATAGATTTATAAAGAATCAACATTTGATTGACACCACTGGTTGAATATATCCAGAGACATATATACTAAATTATATTGTATCATAGGTCTCTGATATATCTTATCTCAATATTTCTGAAGACCATCTTTTTCTGTAGAAAGAATGGTAGTAAGAACCTTAGAAAGATGTTTAGTTGAGTAGCTGACGAAGTGACTCTATATCGTTCTTTATAAAGAGTGTGTTGAAGTATCCAGTATAAAAAAGGGAGCTTTTTATCGAGCGTTTTGTACATATACCAGAGAGTAGGACGGATTTTACTACAATGCATAAGATGTAATTCTTGTATTCGAATTCTTAACAAGATTTAAATCATTGACATAAAATTTGAGATAAGACTCTTATGTCATGCATTTATAAGTAATCGTTATTTACCTATTTCCTATTTACATTGGTTTAATCTAATTTCTTTGTGAAATAATTTTGTATTATGTTTTATCACTTGTCTTTATTTACGCTTCCACTAATATTGTATTACTTCGGTCTTTTGCCTGGTCATGGATAGGTTTACTGTGGAAGCACTGTATGCATGCATAAACTCTTATCCTGTTGACGCACCCAAAAACAATCTTTTTGGAGTTCATGTCTTTCCTTGGGTTTTTCCACTTGCATATTCAAATTAGATCTACGAGTGTATAACATCGCTAACTACTATTGCCCCCCTATTTACTCAAGGAATAGATTATCGTAGATTTATTTGGCAAAACATTTCGGAAATTTTGGATCCTCAATACTCTTCAACTTCGTACTGTATTTGGCCTTTATAACTTTTTCGATTCGAGCGTCACTGATGAGTTTTTGTAGACGAAACGTGCGTCTGGCGTACAAAATTTTAATCCTGGTATCTATGATGAGTTCATTTATACATTTTAGTTAACCCAAGATAGAAAGAAGGAGATTTTTGGTCCCTTCAAATCATTAACCACTATGTATTATAATTCTATCAAATAAAATCCTTCATCTATTAAAAAAGTGATTCACATGTCAGATGTAATATCTATATATATATGGATGTTTTGTCTTACGTGCTTACTTTAGGGTTCCAACTTCTTATATTTGATAAACACTGCAAAACTATCGTCATAGCCTCATTTTGAGATAGTTTCATTAATATTTTGATTTGTGCAACGGTATTATAAAAGGAATTCTTCAAAATGTCTTATACAATGGTGTTGATGTGAGCTAAATATTTTTTGGAGTAGGGCCGTGTATCATATTTAGTTTTGCATAAAAACTTTGTGTAATATGATTAACGGTACAAATTGTACTGCACAAGATGCCCATTCGAAATTAATAAATCTTCAGTGATGCTCGAGGTCAAAATACATAAATAAGTCAACTTCTACATGTTTTGATATCACATCTGACATTTCTTTTCTGAAGTATCAAGATCATATCATCCTATTTATAAGTAATTTTGAAAGGATTGAAGAATTGTACCTATTTCAATTTCAGGAGCTAAAATTATCTTTCCATACCATGTTCATTTGTTTTGTTTAAATGATCCTATGCAGTCATCATAATAAAGATTATTTCAGCTAGATGAGTATGTTTTACCTACGAGTTTACTTTCAACGTTAAAGCATATTCGTAAGTTCAAATCGGTTGTAACTTATAAACAAAGAAAAAGGGATGGTAGCCACGACAATCGAACACACCTTTGGTCATTCGTGACAATAACCTTCCGTTTTTGGCAACCAAATCATGATGGAACCTGTTAAACTTTAGAGCAGATGTCATAACTTATATTTACCATAATCAGTGATTTCTTTCTTAGCATTTAGTTCGTATCATAGACATTCTGCTCTGACACACAATTTCTTGAATATAATATGCAATTTTGTATCAAGAAGGAGATAAATTTTATGTTCACGTGTTGCTTAAAAATAGAAAATTCACATTATGTTACCAATAAAAATCAAACATCTTAAGGACGACAATTTTAGACATTTCTATGGCTTGTTTTTAAATTCATTTTAGGGGGTTTGTTTTCCAAAGTATGACTGTTACTTCCTTATACAAACATTGGCATCTTTGTTCGTCTTTCTTTTTTTAAATGAAACATCTTTTGACTTATTTTTCCAATTCATAATTATGAAAAAAGTAATGTTTTGGGGTATGACGAAGACAAAGTCTTAATACCATTGCATGAGGAAAGGGATAATGAATGAAATTAATCATAACAGATCTCAAATTAGTCGTCAAACTGATATGTACTGATAGTAATGCGAATTCATACAAACTATCATTGATCTATCACAAGTAGTTCCTATCAAACTAACTTAATCAGAAATCTTAACATTGAAAATTGCTAGTTAATTCAAAGTCACTGGACCATGACCTAGGGGGCAGAGCCTCGAAATAGTTATAAAACATATGTACTGATATTAATGCAACTTTATATTAAATATCAATGATCTATCACAAGAAGTTCCTATCAAACTAACTTAAGAAGAAAACTAAACAATTATAATATTATTATTATTATAATAATTATCTAAACTTTCTAAGAAGTTCGTGTATGAAGTCAGCTTCATATGAACAAAAGAACAAGTAGACAATAGGAGGAATGCCGATTGTTTGTTGAAAAACACGTCCTCCAAACGTAACAAATAAGTTGTCAATTAAGAAATCAAGCATCTTGATAATGTCAGCTTCAGAGATTTTTTTGTTCGAATCACAGTGATTTTTTTTTACAAAATACGATGTATCCCTGCCTAAGACAAGAAACTTGTATCTACGTGTGCCATTCTTTTTTATGAAACAAAACAGAACCAATTCTTTCAATTTGTCTTTTAGTTTGGAATGGGGAATAGTTATGCAAAGTGTAGAAAAGTCAAATGTTTTAATACTATTGTAAGAGTCTTAGATTGTATGTACTCGAACAGATCTTTGAATTTTTTTAAGTATCCACATCTGATTCTCGCCGCCTCTAGAATAGGTAGTTTCACAATAACTTTGAAGCCCGGCTTTGATTGCTGTTAATAATTGAAAAAGAGGTTTCGTGGAGCACAACCTATATAATAAATAATTACTTTGATCGAACTGTGTCTAGCACCCTAGACCACACAGCCGACCAGGCTACATAAAAAATGTAGCTTTTGTAAGTCAAATCTTGCCTTTCATCGTTGGTCTAATATAGGATTGTAAACAGTACGCACGAGGAATGATGGCATGTAACTTTGTTCTTCAATAATTTAGAAATATAGTCACAGGCTACTGCCAAATATGCTGATTTGAATTGAAGTTAACTGTATTTTGCCTTTCAGTTCTGCTGGCGCAATTTTTGGTATTGTAGCTGGTTCTATAGTTTTCCAAGGAATGATAATAGTTGGAATAATAGTAGTGTGTGTGTCATGTTTAAATTCATTTGGAAAAGAAAGACTAGCTGTATATCCTTCCTCAGCAACACGGGTTCAAAGAATTGCTCAAGGTAAGATTATGTTAATGATATATTTTTCCTATTTCTGTTGTTATCAATAAAAGGGGCATATTTAAATAAAAACTCAATGGACGGGAATATCCTTCCCACATGTACATCTGCATATTAGGACCTTACAATGTAATGGGTTTCATTTAGATACAATAAACCATTAGGAGTTGCGATGATAAGGTCGACTATGAAAAGAGTAAATATTTCCAAGGTCAAGGGGGCAAAATTTTGGATAAACTAACCAGCAAAAAACTCCACATGGTAATGTTCGCATATCTTATAAGATTTAGATGAATCAAACAAAGAATAGTTAATTTGGTCAGGACGGAAGAATGATTTGCCATGACATGGTCGGCTATGAAAAAAGTAAAACTTTCAAAGGTGAAAGGGCAAAATTTTGGTTAAACTAAACAAAAAGAAAAAGCTCCACACGGTGATGTTCGCATATCTATTAAGATTGAGTTGAATCAATCAAAGGATGAATAATTTTATCTGAGCACGGACAGACAGACAGGGTGATTGCTATATACCCAAAACTTTGTTTGAAGGGGTAGCAACATCGTCCTTGATAGCACTTGAATACAATTTAATGCATTAAAAAAGATGTATATGTATTTGAAAAAAAATACCTTGAAGCTGGAGAAATGTGGATTGATTAAAATTATTACCTACTCATCTAAATAATTATCTAATAATTGATTTTTCCAGGTCATTAAGAAATGATAAGTATTCTTTCTTTTCATATTTACAGCCCCAAATACAAACAACGAATTACCACATACATCTCAATCGATGGAAAGGAATTCTATAACACAGAAGGCTGCTCCGATGGAAACAAATTCCACTACAACAGTAAGTCGAAAGATAGAAACAGATGATCCACCACAGACCTGTCATGGAAAGGAAGAAAATAAAACACTGAAGACTGGTCCCAGGGGGGAAACAAATAACACACCACAAGGTCATCGAACGGAAACAAATGATGAACCACAGACAGATCATCGAAAAGAAACAAATGACATTCCAGGGCTCACGATCGAAACAAATAATATACAACAGGCAGATCCTCCAATGGAAACAAATTCCATGACAGATCCCGAGACCGAAACAAATGCTATAACAAGGACCCTGAAGAAAACAAATGATATCCAACAGGCACGTCCTCCAATGGAAACAAATTCAATGACAGGTCCAGAGATGCAAAATAAATCTATGATAGGTCCCCTGATGGAAACAAATGATACACCAAGGACAAGTCCTTCATTGGAAACAATTTATTCAACAAGTCCCCAGATGGAAACAAATAATACACACCAGACAGGTCCTCTGTTGGAAACAGATTCTATGACACAATCCCAGATGGAAACAAATGATACACCACAGACAGGTCCTCTGAAAGAAGAAAATTCTACAACACTGATAGTTCCTTGTATGGAAACAAATGATACAAAGAAGACAGCTGTTAAGATAGAAACAAATGATATAGCTTCTAACACCGAAACAAATGATACAGCTTTTAATAAGGAAACAAATGGTATAACCAAGACATTGTTTTCATTGCAAAATAATGATAAAACATCTACCGACCAATTTACTGAAGAAGAAAGCAAAACAACGGATTCAAAATTAACAGCACATTGCAGTGAATCAAATGACACAACACCAAAAACGAATATATTAAATAATAATGCCCAGACAGATCACCTAATGCTCACAAGTGATACAACACAAGAAACGTTTTCGGTGGCTACTCATGATAACGGGTCAATATCTTCTGTTGAGACATCGGACAAAACACAAAAAAATACCCTCATGCCTGCAGCTGATAATGAAGCTTCTCAAATGGTGTACCATAATGATAAAACGATAACAGTTCAACCATTGCTGACATATGACATTATTACTCCAACAACTTCAACAATAAATACGACTGAGGAAATGATGAATGGTTCTCAAATAGAGATACAAACTGATAATAAATCTAACGATTCAATAGTTCCAAAAATGGTAACAAATGGATCAACAAGTTCAAGTACTTCAATGGATTCACTATCTACAACAAAATCTCATGCTACATTACCATCATTACTATTAATGCAAGCAAAGGATACAACTCTAAACAATGTGGTACATAAAACATCACGAGTTGCTTCAATAGAAACGAATGAAAATGCACCAACACTTCCTCTGGTAAAAATTTAAATGATACAGTTGAACAACTGTTCTGTTGGTGCTCACAAAAAGCAGAGACTTGAAAGTACATGTATTTAGTTTTCAGTTAAAAACTTTAAAGTTTGTTTAAAAGTACACTGGTAATACAGTTGTTTTGATTTCTGCTGTTTCTGTTTTGGACAAAATTTAAATAGTAAAAACAAATTAAGGCCATTAGTTTTCTCTACTGAATTATTTCACATTTTATTATCCTGTGCCCTTTAATACTTTGTTATGTGGTACAGGTTTAGCTCAATATTGGAGGCAATACAGTGACCTGTAGTTGTTAAAATCCTTGTTCTTTGGTCTTTTTTTTTGATATTTGTCTCTTTGGCATTCTTTCCACTTCTCATTTTTATAAAATTTGAAATTGTTTTTACCATTTGCAGGTTATCTCAGATTCCCATGCTGTGCACATTGAAATCATATTATAGTTATATTTTTGCATATTGTGGATCAATTCAAGTAAGATATGTGCAGACAAATGCAAATCATAAATATATTTTATTTTAAAATAACTTTTAAAACAAGAATGTGTCCATAGTACATGGATGCCCCACTCGCACTTTCATTTTCTATGTTCAGTGGATCGTGAAAATGGGGTCAAAACTCTAATTTGGCATTAAAATTAGAAAGATCATATCATAGGGAACATGTGTACTAAGTGTCAAGTTGATTGGACTTCAACTTCATCAAAAACTACCTTGACCAAAAACTTTAACCTAAAGTGGGACAGACGGACGAACGGATGGATGAACGAACGGACACATAGATAGAAAAACATAATGCCCCTCTACTATCCTAGGTGGGGCATAAAAATCTTCAGATGACACATTTTGTTGATGATTACCATAACAATCATGTCTTTTCCTACAAACTTTATATAATATCTTATGACAATAATGTTTATTTATATATTGTATTTTCTTTGGTGCCAATTCATTGTTTTAAAAAGCTGGAAGGTGAACAATTTAACAGTTTTGTTATATAATAATTAAAATTTAGAACAAGCTAGTGTCAAAATAATATGCTATTGCAGGATTCATATCTCCAATACGGATTTCTTCCATGAAGAAAACAAATTTATACCAATGTCATTTGTTTTTTCCTTTTCTTGTTTTTTTTTTCAAACAAAGGATGCATTAATATTCGTACATCTTAGCTCGGCTTTTGGAATTTTATGTCTATAAAATATCTTATCTTCTTGAATTTTTACATTGTTGTTCCCTTTTAATCACTTTACTGCACTATAGGCTTTATGGCAAATCAAATTTGATGCATGTTCATACAGAATCAAATATCTAAGGATGTGAAAGTGAATATCTAAACTTTAAAGTTCCTTTAATATACTGTTAGGTTCAGAGTTAACAGGACTACTATCTCAGGAGCAATCTCTATCACTGCTTCAATTCTCATACATGACATGTCTATAATAACATATGCTCTCCTACCCAAAAACATACCTGAAAACAAAATGCATAATTTGACATTTAGATATAATTTATATTTAATAAATATGAGAATGAAGATGTTGATGATGATGGATGGCTATTTAACTTCCAGTGGCAAACTAAATGCATATTTAGGATGAGAACATGTTAATAAAGATTGTAGTGGTCTATATGCCAACTTAAACACACTTTCATGCTACATTGTATTTACTTCTTCACCACTATGCAATATCATTTTCACTCTGCATTTTCTGCAACACAAAATTTTGACAATTTTAATAGTTCATAAACATTCCATCTAGTACTCATTTCAACGAATGCTACATCACTTAGTCTTAATGAGAAGATTATCTCCCTTTGTCATCTGTCTGTATTGACTATTCTCTGTCGTACCTGTTGATTTGGAAGCTTGTATGATGGTTTAAAGCTTGGTTCATACATATCTGTGAAGGTATCTGTACTGTAATACAAATAAGATAAATATATCATTGCATCACAAGGAAACACATTATGTATGATCATAAAGCTTGTTTTTCAGAATTTTTGTTTGTTTGCATTCTTTAATACATTATTATGTCACCCGATCGACAATGTCGGGTGACATATTGCTTTTCCTCTGTTTCTTTTTCCCTATTATTATTATTTTTCTTCCACCTAATTTTGTCCGACAGTTTTCTCAGAGGCAATGGAACCAATCTTCATGATTGTTGAGCATGATGAGGACCACTATCAGTGGAGTTGCAGTGAAACTTTGTAACTTTAAAATGGCCGCCGTTTCCATGGAAACAGCAAAAGTGTGAAAAAATTTTGTTTTGTTTTTGATGACTAATTTGAGAATACCTGAACCTAAAAATCATCAAATTTTTATACAACATAGGTATCCACTATATACAGGTTTTGGATGGTTTTGAGAATCATCGGAACTTCTGTATTGCCATGGAAACTGGGAAAAGGTTTCCCATTATAACCCTATGGGAAATACCTAACAGTAGCATTTTCTCTCTTAAAAGGGTAGGTCAAATCCATTGAAACTTTGATAGTATGTTCCCTCCTATGTACCAATGTGGCATCTGTCATTACAATTTTGGAAATGGTCTTTGTTACCATGGAAACCAGCAAAAATGTCAAAAATTTGAAAATGCACCAAACTTAATATAACTTTATATTAATGCTAACTGGCATGTATAGATACGACTTTTGACTTTGGAATTTCCAAAATGGTCGCCGTTGCCAAGGAAACAGCAAAAATGTGAAAATTTCAAAATGCTCCAAATATTCTGAAAATTTACAGAAAGATGTATTGCCATGCATATATGTGCATTCACCGTTTAAAATTTTTGAAATGGCTGCCACTTAGTGGCAATGGGGGGAAAGGGTGACATCCGCTATTGCTTGCAATGGCAAATCTAGTTATTTATTATTATTGTTATTGTGGTTATGTTATTTTTTATTAGCACATTGCTTATTTGAGTTCAGTGCTGTTATAGTATTTATTTTTATTATCGATTCATTTACCTTTTTGTTATTTCACCGATTAAGATTAAAACAGGTAGAGCTGAGAGCTCAAAAACTAACCCTGTCATGTGCAGGTAACAAGTGGTTGTTTTTAGTTATATCTGAATGTTTTCGCCATTTAAATAATCTGAAGTTGGTTGCAGATCTGTTACTGTCACCGATAAATCTATTCACAACTTAGGAGATTTAGAACTTGGCATATCAGAGGGGTGGACGGGTGTATGGGAACATAGGGATGAGATGGCAGAAAGCGGGAGTCATGGGGAGGTAAGTTGGAGTCAGGGGGAGGGTACTGGTGGAAAAGGGGGAGTAAAAAATGGGATATTCTGGGGAACATTTTTTGACCGATTTTCATCTGGGAGTACGGGGGAGGGAAGTGGGAGTTAGGGGGAGGGAAGCAGGAGTTTGGGGGGGGGGGGGGAGGGGTAGGGAAGTGGGAACCAGGGACCCCTGTCCACCCCCTCATATCATATAGACTTTATTGTGGAGGACCATATGTTGACTTCTTGATGACTTTTGGCTTTTGACATTTACCCCATATCTTCTCTTATTAATACTGAAGAAGGTTAAATTAGTCACTATGGTCATGGCTTAATCTATTCCTCATATCTTTAAATCGTAAATTTGATGCATTCCTAGAACATGATACTGGAAGATTAGTCAATATTCACATAATTTATTTTTAATAAAATCTAAGTTAATAACAAAGAAACATTCAAAGCAGGTCTGGTTAACTAACTTTTACCTGAATGATGGAGATATTTATTCTTTGAAAGATAACTCAAAGTTTCATCATGGTTCTAAATTATGCAGTAATCAACTTTGACCTTATTCAGTAACGTATGCAAAGTATATCAAACTGGACTATTTTGTCTGGATGCTGACCTTTTCACTAAGTGCAAATCTATAACAATTAAGTTTAAGTTGATCTTACATCTGATAATGCCAAAGAAATAAGAAATTTGGTGTGAGTCAACTTTAATCAAACTCGATGAAGTATAAAAAGTAGGTCAGTTTGACTTGATTGCTTCCTAAAAATGTACCAAGATGCAAGAGTATAATATCCAGGTATAATAAAAAAAGTCAATTTTTTATTATCATGAATATATTAAAAAAGTCTCTCTTATACCATAAATGAGCTGCATCAGATAGAAATCGACCTTATGCAAGTGCACGTATACATGTACATGTATAAGACTTTGATTAATTTGGTACATTTAAGTACGAAATAAAAGATGAATTTTGGTCTGTTTTGTATGGTTCTTATAACAACTCATTTTCAAACAGTTACTGACTTCCCGTAGAGATTATTTCTACCCAAAATAAGTTAACAGATGTATTTATATTCATTTGCATAAGGTCGATTTCTATCCGATGCAGCTCAAATATTGTTGACACTTACTAGTAATACTGATATCCTATACAGTAGTAAATGATCAGTATGATGAAAGTAAACACAGTAAAAACTGTATACATCACTGATACATCTCTGGGCTGAAATATAAAGTAAACACAGTAAAAACAGTATACATCACTGATACATCTCTGGGCTGAAATATAAAGTAAACACAGTAAAAACAGTATACATCACTGATACATCTCTGGGCTGAAATATAAAGTAAACACAGTAAAAACAGTATACATCACTGATACATCTCTGGGCTGAAATATAAAGTAAACACAGTAAAAACTGTATACATCACTGATACATCTCTGGGCTGAAATATAAAGTAAGTGCAGTAAAAACTTTATAGCATAGAAACACACTGTCACTGTCAGACCTGAAAATTATAAAGCATTAATTGCAAAATAACTTTTTATTTAGCTTTCCTCTGTGAACTTGGCTAACCTATACCACTCTCTGTCCTAGATATTTTAAAATCTTTATTTTCATGGTAACATGAATAATCTGGTTCTCTGTCAAGCCTCTTCTCACTGCTTGACTGATATCTGTCTAGATTTTACAGATACATGTATATCAATAAAATATTCATCTTCCTTCTTTGTTCATCAATACTTTCAATCACCAAGGCAAACATAGATTTTGTGACATTAAGATCTAATAAAGTTTTGCTGTCATAGCCATTTCTTTCATCATGACAGTTCAACAGGGAATTTCCAGGAAATACCTGCACAAATGTTTTAGTCAGAATTCAAAGTACTCCACTAAAGCCAATTGAATATCCTTGACTATTATAAAGAAGAGAACAGAATCCCAGATATCTAGAATGATCATAAACACTACTCCTATATAACATACCTTTTCCAGTGGGGTTTCCCAGTATTTTTTACAGGTATGGAAATTACAAACTATTTCATTTAATCCTTCTGTAAAAATTAAAATACTGATATTTAATACAGAACAATTTAATAGAGAGATAGGTGAAACAATTAAGGGCTGTTCCAGAATTCAAAGCATGGGGCACTTTTTTAAGACCCCAACCACCCATAAAATAAAAATTTTCTTTTTACTTCTTATATTCCTATAAAATTGTAAGGAAAATGCAATCACCTATATTTAATTAATTGAAGGGCCTTTTATCCCCTCCATGCACTAAATTTTGGAATAGCCCTAACATTAAATAAATGATATCTTGTGTGAGCTATTTCAGAATTCCATTTATATTTGCTGCTTCACAATATAAGGTGATTTGAAGCCTATGTTGAAACAAGAAAGAAAATAACAAAAGATGACTTACACAACATATAATGGAATTATGTCCAAAACTTAATTAACATAAAAACTGCCTATATGTTACATTTTTTCCACACATTACCACAGCTGTAACTGTATATGGTACAATTGTTTTTATTCATATGAGTTTGACATTATTTCTAATTTTTTGAAGTGAATAGGTTTCATTCATTTTATTAAAGTTGTGGGATAGCAAATCAACAACACAAAACACAAAAGACATATTTACCTTCTAATGTAAGTGTTGCATTCCTTGATAAACCTTCAGGAACACAATTATTGAATACTTCCTACAATGAAAGAAACAAACCATTAATTAAAAATCATCTAGCTGAACATGTAGTGTCAATAGTACAACTCACCACCTAGGAAGCACCATTTTTATTGAATCTTACACAATCTGATTTGGTGTCTTTTCACTTTATCAGATGGCAAAGGTTTATATATACTATAAGAAGTTCAATACATCAAAGCTATAATGATTAAAATAAAATCCGTTCTTAAAATATTTTGAGCCAGGAAGAAAGATGCTATAATATCAATATGACCAATAAATACATTAATATTTAGATTACCATATATTCAAACAAAATTTGTTAAATATAATATTCATGGTGGAGCCAAATTACTGAGTTCTTTTCTTTCTTTTTTTAAATTGTCAAATGCCGAGATTTATTTTTTCAAATACAGACATTTATATTCAATGGACAATTAATAACAAATATTTTCAGTAAAAGCCCAAATATAATGTATTTAATGTGTGATACCTGTAATGATAATGAAAATAAACCAGTAACCAGTGTATGTTGACTTAATACCAATGTTGTATTGAATTTTACCTTGCATCTCTGTTTAATATCTTCCATATCTTCTTCTAAACATAAGGAAACATCCCAGAATTCAGCTGTTTGTATCCCAGCAATTATATCACACCTATATAGATCACAGTAATCAGCTAAACATATCACATCCTCCCCCTGTAAATGAAACAATATCATATCTATACAGATTGCAGTAAACAGCTGTCAATAAATCAAAAAGTGACCTTTTAGGACAATCAATGACTTTGAAAAATCAACCAATTCAATTTTCAAATGGTTTTGGCAATTTCCATTCTGATTTAAAAATAATAAAATATGATTTGATTTTTTGATTTTTGGTGTTTTAACGCCACTTTTAAGCACCGCTTTTGGGCTATTTCGTGGCGGCCAGTTTTTATTGGTGGAGGAAGCTGGAGTGCCCAGAGAAAACTACTGACCTTCGATAGGAAAACTGACAATCCTAGTCAATTAAGATTGGAGTCAAGTGCACCCACACGAGCGGGGTTTGAACTCACAACCTCAGTGTTGACTGGCTAGTGATTATAGTAGTAACTACTTAGACCACTCGGCCACCGAGGCCCCAATAAAATATGAAATATTTGTTATCTTTATAATATATTTCCTAATTGGTAATATGTGATGCATTTTTTCATGCATGCAGACTTTGAGAAAACCACGAAAACAAATATCCAAGAAAATCCAATTTTCCATAAATCCAGAAAAAATTGGTATGCATGAAAATAAATAATCCACAGTATAAAGTTATCAATATGACTGAAAAGAGATGAGGGATAAATGTTAATGAAACAACAAAACAACACAAAAGACACCATATTCATCTTTCTCTCATTCCAAAATAAAAAGTTGTGCAGACTTTTATACCTAGAGCTATTGAGCTGATTTGATAAATGTATAAAGCTCAGTTACAGCTACTCATTTCACAAAAAATATCACGAGTAAAAAAACTTGTAAGTTTTGAACATTTCAGTATAACTTATGATTTTATTCATAAGTTTTGTGAAAAGAGCCCTAGATCATTTTTGCATTTTATGTTCAGGATGAAATACCTTTCACAAAATATTTGAGGCTCACCATCATTCCACAGGTGGGGATATTTGTATCGTCCAGACAAATATTGATAATGACAGTACTTGATAAGGTATAGAACCTCTTATTTTCTGTTCAATAATAAAATAAATATATGAAATCAAAATAGGAGGGCATATTTGCCCCCTTGCTGAGATCAGAAGTACCTGTTTTGTACTACCAAACTTCCGGGAACTAGTGGGCTTTAATGTGCAATTAAAGGTATGTTGAATTTTTTAGCACAAGTCAGGATAAGGTATAGATTTGACATGAAATGACTGTCGCTTTATTTGAACTAAGATAAAATAGCTATGAATTTTTGAAGTTGCAGAATTTAACATAGAAAGCAATGAGGCTTTGAATTAGTGGTGTTATTCCATAAGATACTGATATTTAAGTATACATATACTGTGGTACAAAAGTTGTAATCTTTACCTGTCTAATGTATTCTTTATGTCTGTTGGTAAAGTGTAGATCTAAGTAATACTCTGCCATGAACCCTTTACCACAGATATTACAATACCACTTATTGGGTGGCTCATTATATTTTTGGTCCTCTTGTATGGCATAAATATCTCTCTCTTTATTCAGGATACATGTATCTGGAATCTCTGCTTGGACAGATTTGTACAATGGATATATTTTCTAAAATACAATTGCAAATACAATAAACTCAATGCATTACTTCATATTTAACATTTTTAAGAGTTGTCTTTTTCAATAATTTCAGAAGGGGTAAATACAACCAAGAATGTCAATAAAATTTAGATCAATACTTCCTTTTGGTACTTTATGAAATTTCTTTACTTCTTTCTCAATCCTGCTTCATCTGAATGTCATTAAAAATTAGCAGTGTATCCTATGAATTCTAACTTAAGCATTTATAATTCACATAGTAACTCTTGGATTGAACAGATGTTTTTTTCACAAGGGATCTTTAGACGAAAATCATTTGTATTTTTAAACAATTCATTATATATTAATAATAATCATGATAATATTAGTCCTAACATGAGGTGCTGTTCAGAAATTTAAAATGGAATTTATAATAACAATGCATTCATATATGTATTCAGATGCCAGAACATTCTTTTCAGAATTATATCTATATACTTACTTCAGTGATTACACGTCTAACAACCCTGGATCTCTCTCTAGAACATCCATCATTATATCGGAGCACAGTAAACAGTGTCTAAAATTATAAAAATAAGTTTGACTTCAGTCTTCTGAAAAACAATTTTTTGTCCTTTCATTATTTTAAGCTGTTCTTTGAACAAACTCTGCATAAGTTTTGAATATAAAATTTTATCTTGTGCAAATAATATCAATCAACAAGAATATGTGGCTGTATTAAGGACACCATGCCCTGCTCACACTTTCCCATTTTCATATTCAAGATATTTGGGTCACACCCTTATTATGCATGTATATTAAAAAGATCATAATGAATAAGTGAAGAAAGTTTCAAGTTGATGTGACCAGAACTTCATGGTTAACTACACTTTAGCCTGATACAGGATTGACACAGACGTAATGTTCCTTACTATTGTAGACCTGGCATAAAAATAGGAAACTGAAAGAATTTGTCACAGAAGTGATAGCTTTGATGGTTTGGAGGACAATCTTTCTCTTTAAACAGTCAGTCAGGGGTAATACTTATAAATTATGTTATTTTACTTGAAGATGTAATTTATATTTACTTGTACAAGTAAATTGGTTAAGATTTTAATTTTCTTTTCGAGGTTTACATGATCTCCACTTAATCTTCTCCTAATATTTACTTATACCATTAATTTTTTTACAACCCCTTAAAATCTAAAGTTTGCCTCTAGAGTTTTTTTCTGGTTTGCACATTTTTGTTAAATTAGAGTTCAACCTTTTATCTCAAGAGCTGAACAAAGAAACCTACTGTGCACAGATGTTAACATTGTCCCATACCTGTCAACCTACATGTATTATGCAAGTGTAACCTGTGAAATAACCAGCTCACTCCAGATTTTTTAATAGCCAGTTCGGGTAATTAAATAATCTGGGATTTCATCAAATAACCCATTTTCACCTGTATTCTAGTGCCATGAGACTTCCAATGTCTAAATTTTCTTCTAAAAAACTGCTTACTACTTCAGATCTTTTTTTATATAAAGGCCACAACAAAGCATTAAAAATATGCTGCGTAGGATGATCAATGTCCAGCAAAGGCAGAAAAATACTGATAAAATGAGCTATGAAGAGTTATTTCCCTTTGACATTTTTTAAATGAAATTTCTTTTTTGTAACAGTTTTTATTAGAATGTGCATGCTAAAACTCCCTGGTATGATTAGAATTTATAATTGAACAATATAATAGGGTTGATATAATATGTCAAGCTCTAATCACCCGGAGTCTAAAAAAGTTAACCTCAAGTTGTTTTTATGTTTTAGTGTTGTACAGTTTCCTGATTGACATCTTGTTCAATTCATTTTAAACTCAAACTTAAAAAGATAGAGACTGCACTGCCATAACCCCATTAGTTGGAAGGCACTTAGAAGACTCTCCATACTAAAATTTATGACAAAAGAGACAATGTTTCATTCCCTATTGTTAATTTTCCTTTTTTAGATGGTGATGTTCCTTTGGCTCCATCACATGGTGTTTATATAACCCAACTCGTTCGTTATGCCCGTGTGTATAGTGATGTCATAGATTTTAACAAATGTAATCAATGCATCACTGGTAGATTATTAAGTCAGGGATTTCGTTACCATAAATTGCTTAAAACATTTACTAAATTCTTTCATAGATACAAAGATTTGATAAGTAAATTTGGCTGTACCTGTAGAAAACTTATTAAAACGGTATTTCACATCCTAAATTTTACGGTAATATTGTACTAAAAGCGCGGAAATCACTATATGATTCGTGTAAACTCATCGAAACTTTAAACAAACTTCTTAGTAAAGGTTATCTTATTAATGTTGTAATAAGATCTTTGAATATTGTTTACATTGGCACTAACATTGATTTTGTCATCAACAAATTAAAACATAACTAAATTTGTATTTTTTCGAATGGTTTTTTGGGATGTATAAATACACATCCACGTTTATTTTCTATTTAGAGATTGCTTTACCTATATATAACATAATACATATTTATTATAAGGTTAAATCCTAACTATCCTGCTGCCTGTCGATACTTTTATTTTGGCATTGCACAAGTCGTATTTTCTTTGACTGTCCATGGCGTTAAAACACTAAATCCCTGGGATGTGTTTTAATTGATTTTAGTCTCTGATGCATGATTTTTTATTATTATTGTTTTTAGCTTTTAACTAGCTTTCAGTAACTGCGAGTACTCTCAAACCGTACCTTCATGTTAATTTGACCTTTGACACAATTTGTAATGCATTTTTGTTATTCAATGTTTATTTATTATGTGTTAAACATGTTATATCTTGTCTCACTATTTTTAATATGTACTACCTTTGATTAGTATTTAGTATGACGATAAATTTTCACTTCTGTACTCGTACTGTGAACAACAAATTATTAAATTTAAATTTACCTGTGTACGTTATTTCATTTAACGCCATTTTGTCCCAGGTAAGAGTTGTCTTTTTGACATTGTTTCACATATATTGCGTCATAGATCAAATTTATTCGTTCAGTGTATGTTTACTTGTTTTTGTTTATATGTCTTTTTGGTCGAGTTAAGCCATTTCAATTGATATTTTATAGTGTGTCTTTTTATGTTGTTATGTTACACTACTGTTTCAGGTTAGGGTGAAGGTTGGCGACTGTTAAAACGTTTAAACCCACTGCATTTGTATGCACCTGTCCAAAGTCAGGAGCCTGTTATTCAGTGGTTGTCGTTTGTCGATGTGGTTCATAAGTGTTTCTCGTTTTTTATAAAGATTAGACCGTTGGTTTTCCTGTTTGAATTGTTTTACACTTGTTATTTTGGGCCCCTTTATAGCTTGCTGTTTGGTGTGAGCCAAGGCTCTGTGTTGAAGGCCGTACTTTAACCTATAATTTTTTACTTTTTACACATTGTGACTTTGATGGAGAGTTGTCTCATTGGCACTCATACCACAACTTCTTATTTCTATCTAAGGCAACCTCAAAAATTTTAAATGCCCATGATAAGCATAATAATTACAATCATTATAATCAAACATAGTAAAGAAGTTTGTATTCAAACAATGTATAACATGTATAGTAATAGATCTAAATAACATTTTATATTACAGTAAATGAATTAAGTTATGGTAATTACTTTCCTTTATAACGAAAAGCGGGGGACATAGAAATTCTGGATGTCCAAATGTACTTCTGTCTAGTCTTGTAAGCGCTGTCACAGCTGCATTCAAAGATGTTTGCTCCTCTTGTTTTTGAAATTTTATCAGATATTCAGAATCCTCTGGTTTTATCCATGTAGTGCCATTGAAAATTTAGCCCGCTAACCTCTACTTTTCTTTTCATAATTTTATTATATATAGTTTAAAAAGCCATATTTGAAAATCTTATAAAATCCTTGATATTTTTCCTATTTTTGAAAGACAAAAGATGCAAATGTTAAATGTACGAAAAATCTAGAGAGAATCATTTCCCGCCAAATTTTCAATGGCTTATATCTTGAAAACAAGGACACTGACCCTTCATTTTTTTCTACTTTTTTAGTTTCATTATTTATGCACTATCAATTTATATCAGTCTTTTAAAAAGCTTGTTATTTTTAAACAGAGTAGTGAACATCCTTAAAGTCAATGTTTTATGAAATTTGTATCAAAGGTTTATCATGTTTATATCAGCAAAATCTAAGACAAATCTGAAAATCAGCACTGATCAACTTTTTTAAGCAGTTATGCCCCTTGGAAATGTAAATTCTATGGAAAGTTGCATTTAAAGTATTCTCAGTCCTACATAATTCATACCTGCCAACCATTTCAAAACACAAGACGATCTAGTGCATGTTTTATACAAAATGCCATTAATATCATTTGAATAACTATTTTGAGGTATTAAGTTCATATAATAAAGGATTTAAATAATCAGGCCAATCCCTCCCATGGGAGAAAAATAGTTGGCAGGTCTGTGCAACATTTCCTGTGGGAATTTTATGTAATTTATATAATAATGGCATATATTCATAGCAATGACTCAAACAACACAAATCAACTGTTTTTTTCAGGGCATTAACTTATGACCCTTTAAATGTAAATGTATATGGAAAATTGCATATTATGACCCTTAGGAATGAAAATTCTATTGAATATTGAACTGTAAAGCGCCTTTATAAACAGATATTGATAAGGTTTATTTTACCAACTTTTCTGACAGATTCAATAATCAGAGCAGATCAACTATTTTGATATGAGTTTTATTGTTATCATTGGTTTGAAATGATGACACCTTTTTGATTGATTGATTGATTGATTGATGGTTCCTTAATGTCCAGTGGCAAACAACACCTTTTTGATCAATAACAATTAAATATAATTGAATCAATTACCCATTTAGAATATATATTATAATATAGTTGATTAAACAGTCTTAAAATTCTTATTTCTATTTCGTATATTTTTTTGTAGCTCATACAAACATATTTTATATGTTCAAACAATAACCATTGCTTAAATATAAAGTTTAACATGATCAACTAACTATAATTACTGTACAACAAACATGACAAATGTGAAAACCTTTTTAAAGACTAGTCTAAAACAAAATGCAATTGTTTTATACTTCAAAAACTTAAACTATATAATTAAACATTTTATAATAGGGCCTATAGTGTTTACAGCTAGGTAGAGGTAAATATAAATATTTGTTTACAGAGACAGTGACTGTGGTTCACTGAACCTGATACTGATAGAGACATGGCAAGTCTGTCTTGTGCTGAGAACACAATTCAACATTACGTTTGTCCCAAGGAGTATGAAAGTGATGGGAAATCTTACAATATAATACACCAGATTCTCATATGATGTGTATTCCAACTTCATGTTTCAGTACTTTCACTCATTCTTCTTGCTAGATTGAATAGATACAAAGCCTTCCGAAAGGTAAATGTACTCTATCTGAAAAATATATGCCTATGGACACCAGTCGATAGGCCACACATATTGATGTTATCGTTTATTATGAATCGAATACTTATAAATGTAATTTAAATTTACAGAATGGTTTTGCTGCAAAATAGAAAAATGCTATTTGAAAAATGGGGTTCAATCATGTATGTCATGTATGTATGAGGAAAATCTCAAATCACCTACTGAGTAATGCTGCAGTGAACTTGATAAGTTCGCTGTAAGATATATATATATATATTTCTGAAAATAACACCCATTTCAAGCAGAGACATATATAATACAAATATTGTATTATATGTTCTGATAATACATATATATAATATGTATCATATTTCTTTGGTCATAGTAATTTAAATTATGAACAGGGAAGACACTGTAAACTGAGACTACTCAGTATATCACATAGTTAAGTAATCTCGATCAGCCGTATATTACCCCTTGAAAAGAGATTATGTCTCCTCTGTTATAAGAGGGTTGAACATAAATTTCATTTTGCTTTAAAATGTCAAAATTAAGAAAAACGTCATCAAAAACTTTTTTGAAAGTAGAAAGTATAGTCCGGCCATCTTTCAACAAAATGTATTGTAAGGAAAATTTACATTTATGTTTACATTTAACTAATATGACACGACAGTTTAGAAAATTCACTTGTTTTCCATTCCTAATATAACAGTCATATTTGTAATATTTATGTTATTATTTTCACAATAAAATATTGTTTACAGCAAATTTTAAGACATGTTATCATTTGACCACAGATTGTCGGATAGTAAAGCAGTTCAAAACAAGGGAAACTGTGAGCTACTGCTCATTGATAATACCCCCGACCAAATACTTGACGGTAAACAGGAAGTTGTTGAGTGATGAATCTGAAAACGCATCACACGGTATAGCTGACTTATATAAACCCTGAAACCAAATTTCAGAAATCCTTGTAGTGTAGTTCCTGAGAAAGATGCGACGAAAAATATTCATGGGACGGACTGACGGACGGACAGTTGGACGGATGGATGGATGGACGGATGGATGGATGGATGGATGGACGGACGGACGGAAGGACGGACGGACGGAAGGACGGACGGACAGACAGAGGTAAAACAGTATACCCCCACTTGTTTCAAGCGGGTGTATAATAAAGATAGAAACAAGCTTGCTGTAATTACAAAATAAATGTGTTAATCTGATGGCCACTGGAGTGGTAGTGTATTTAATTGTAATTGTCTCGGATGTACTCGAATAGTTATAGCGTTATAGCGTTTACAGTACCACATACAACTACATGTAACTGAATTGTGGGGTCTGTACATTCTTAACATGGACAAAAGATTAACACCAGGTATAAATGATGATTTAGAAAAGACTTTTTTAAATGATTTTGCACCTGAAAAAGTGCACATGCGATATTGTAAATTAATTTGTACTTGGTGTTACTAAATATGCTTCTAACATTGCCAGTATGGCAGAACTTGTTCGATACCCGAATTCTATATTTGTTATTTTGCAGTCTATTAAATACTGGCTATATATTCATATAAAGACCCTCTTTTGAATTTTTCAAAATTAGCATACAAGTCAATCGAAGAGGTTGATTGTACATTTCCATGTAACTTTTAACAAACACATTTTTCAGTTTCTAAAAATCATGTCTGAAATAACAAAGGAACACTGTCAGAAGGAAAAAAAAGGAATATAAACCTGATACTTATACAAAGTTGAATGTCTCGAAACAATATATTACTTTAGACAGTTTTGTAAATTAAGAATTTCTAACCATAATTTACACATCGAAAAAGGCAGATATAATAATACACCTGTGGGTAAAAAAAATGTAAACATTGTATTGATAACAAAATTGCTGATGAGTTTCAATTCATATGTTACTGCAATCAGAGACATATAAAACATGTATTATATGTCTCTGGTGCAATCTTTATCAAGAAGATAGGAAAAAGTTTTATGATGACATTATACCATGTTTTTGTAATTTTCATGGTTTTGAAAAATTTATATATATAATGAGCTGTACTGAGACTGATGTTCTCAACAGATTTCTTATATATATATATAGATAAATGTATTATAATCAGAAATTCACCAGTAGGAATAATTGCATAAGTGATGTGTGTGTCTTGTCATTCAGTTGTTTGTTATATTATACGTGACAAAATTGTTGTTTCTATCAGAGACATTGTATTATATGTCTCTGTTTCTATTAATTTCTTTTTTCTATGTTTTTTATGTATTTCGGCGATGATCCTTTGTAATGGATTTTATACTGAATAAAATAAGTTATCTAGTTAGTTATAATTACAATCTAACTATTGTGTAATAGTAGGCTCAGCCCAAACCGAAGAAAGAGATAAGTTTGTCCTCAAATCTTAAAATGAAGGTTCCTATTTTATTTTTAGAAATATTCATTGTCCAATCAAATTTCAGCTAGCATAACTGGATAATCCGACCGCGCAATTTAACCGCCATTGCTGTCATTTCTTCAGCTGTTTTTGTTTAATTCTTGGGTTCCAGAAAGCATTATTAACACGTATTTTGTGACAACTAAGAATGGCAGTTCCGATGAATTTTTTGGCGTTTAATCGGCATGCTTGAATGGCCGGAAGACAGGTAATTTCGATAGATTGAAACGGAAAGAGTTCATGTTGTCGTTTTGTTATGTTGTTTTCTTTCTTCTAATTTAGCAGCATATACATGTAATGCATAATGATAGAACAAAAGAAATTAAATTGACATTATACACAAATCAAGAAATAATGATCGAATATTGCCAAAACAGAAACAATGATCAAACAAAGCATTTGACAGGTGCGACGTTGATTGATTACGTCACAATGTAAACAATCGCACGTGCCTTTCACGTGGATTCTGTCAAAGATTTCCAGCGTTTAGAATTTTGAGATTTATAATGAACTTTGTGTATAGATTATCTCACTACCCAGGCATTCAAATATGGTAACCTAACTAATTAATGATGCACATTTTGTGGAAAACAGATGGAAAAAATCCTGCATTTCTAAGGGATAAGCAGACTCCTCAATTCCAAGAATAGTTTCAAAATGTTTCTCTAAAATTTGATTTTAACAAAAAGATATTCATTTACAACTTAAACCACAATAACTGTCAATTTCTATAATTAAATAAAAATAAATTTTCCAAATTAAAAAAAAAATGTCACAGAAAATTTGTGTATGTCCTTTTGGGCACTTTCTTGAAATTTCCTGTCACAGTGCTCATGTTATTATGTCTCAGTAAGAATCTATTGTTTCGATGACGTGGTTTATGCCTGTCAATCAGTGTAACTCACCACAGAGTGAAAATTAAGGTTGGGGGAGCGATGTCATAACGATGCAGTCCTGTAAATCTCCCCACACAAGGCTTTGATTGTATGTATTTCTGCTTAATTATATACAAATTGTATCAAATTAAATATAAGTCAATTCACTGACAACTCAATTTTGAGAAGTTTATCTCATTTCCCAAAAAATATCTGAAATAAATTTTTAAATCACCAAAAAACAAGTGGGTCACGTGTGTTTTTATCGGAAATGGGTTTGTCCGGTAAATCCGCCCATGTGCAGTAAATGTGTATGTAGGGCCAGTTTATCACATAATTATGAAAGGAAAGTGGTGATTTATTAAAAGACCGCTTATAAAGGGATTCCAGACAATAGAAAACAAAAATTTCAAGTCAGAAATTAATTGTTTAAGCAATAACATGATTATCATTAGCTTTAGGAAATGTATTATAGATATCACTCTTTTCTTTATAAAGGATTTTTCTTTAAAAGTTGACATGCAGTGAGGATAAGTACAGTTCCTATGAATAAAACAGCAGACGAAATATTCACGGAAGTGACAATTACGGAAGTAAATGGGAGTGGGCGGGTTTCAGTGTTCTCCCCAGGATTTTTTTAAGGCGCAAAATTCAAGGGCGCGTTCCTCTTTTTTTAGAGTGAACGTTTGTGATCTGAAGCAATAAGTCATAAATCATGACATGCAATATAAATTATAATGCTTTGTGTTATGTGTATCATAATGCAGAGTATTAATGAATTACAAGAATATATATATGAAATAAATTAATTTTAAACACAAGAGTTATTTATATATGTACAAATGTGTATTCAGTCAATTAAAGAAGTCAAAATATAAATATTCATCTCTACTCTCTGCTCCTTCTAGGGATATTGTTTCAAGATAGTGTTATTTTGTTGGACAGTCTGTTCCTCAACTTTGTCTTTATCCTCTTCAGGGTTAAAAATTAAACCCCCAGTCACAATAACTTTTGCTTATACCCCCTTTAACATTTCATAGCCATGAAAACTCAGTCAGCCACTTGTAATTGAAACCAGAAACATGGTGCTTGCTTTTATCAATTGCTAAAACTTGAGCTTGGTTGGGATTAGAAGCAATGAAATCTGCTTATACTGACAGTGTAGACGGAGGTGTATTCCCCTTTTCATTAGAAGTCATTGGTCTGAAAAAAACTTCTACTTCCATCATCTACCTTTTGCTTATAATTCACCCCTTTGTTATTTGCAGAGAACATGTTCATTCAGAATTAATAAAATCGAATATGGTTAAGATATTTGGTATACAACTTTTTAAAACAACTTTTTTTTATAAATGAACAGCTGACCATGCAGTTTCCGTAGTTTCACATTACGCTTCCGTGCGTATTATTGTTTAATCCTATCTTTGGCAGATAGATATAAACGAAACATTACAAATTCGTTAAAGTTAAAACCATTGAAATTATTTACCAGTGACATTATACAGAAGCTGCGGCGATTCTGTACCCGTGTTGATTGTCACATATTTCCCGACGCATGGATTCACGATCGATGTTCAATGATCATTTTATTTCTAAAAATATGACAGTTTCAGACGAATTTACCTTGCAAGCAACATTTTTTTCACTTTCTATTAAAGTAAATCACTCCTCGTTATCTTTAATCAAACTTTATTTTAATTTTTTCAACTACTAATACTTTCATTCATAGTTTTCATCGTAAATATCTTTAGCAATGTGTATTCAAATTTATCATGTGTATTCAACACGTTCATTGGTCGTGTTTAAATAGATTCTTCTTCTCGACCAATGAAAAAATTCGTTATATAAATGGTCAAGTGATCACACACACGATGCGTAAATACAATGTATTTGCGATCTATTTCTTCAATTTTTGCACTGAAGTTTTTAAAATTTTTAACTTTCTTCAGAAAATATCTATCTTCTTGATGATCATTTAAGCTATTACCTGATAACATAGTCCGATAAGGCTGAGATAAGCGTGGCTCAGGTAAAACTTATTATCAGTTATTGCGTAACACTGACCGACCCATCAGCGGTGATCAGTAACTTGACAATTTTAACCAACATTTATAATGAAAATGTGAAAATTAACACGCTGCAGGATCAAGTATTAAGGGACAGCGGCTAATTAAGACGCTGCGGGATCTTCAAAAATATTATGAAGGCGCAGCGGCACCGCAGCGTCATATTGGCCTGTGGAGAACACTGGGTTTACCGGACGGGCGGAATTACCAGACACTACTGTAATTGTAAGAGGATAACGATTTGTCGCATTTGTTCACATACGTTACTTAGCAGGGGTGTCATTTGAAACCAGCAAATTCCGCCGGTTACTTCTGCTTTAGCGCCGGTAACTTAAAAATTATCAAAAATAATATTTTCGCAGATTTTTGTCGAGTGTTGCGTCTTTAATTTTGATTTCTGGTTTATCGGTTGTTGCCAACTTTACAACATTGTACCAGGGTCCGACACTTACGGTTGTCCGATTGCCCGGGGCAAGCTAATGCCGTATTCGGACAAGTAAAAACATCATCTTGGTTGTCCGATTGGGCAAGTGAAAAAAAAAGTGTTATATGATTAAAATTTCACAAAATCAATAGTGTCTGTTGTTTTGTCCATAGATTACTCAGTGATAACACCGCACGGTCGAGTAAAGTGGTCTTAACCCCCCTTCAATGCTTATATTTCGTCAATTGTTCGCACTGAATTCCCCATTTTTCCAAAAATAGATCACGTTTAAAAATATTGGCCAATCAGGCTGCCGCGGTGTTGCTTCGTCATTATCGTTATCCATCGGGACACCAATCGGGCGTTTCCGACGCACGTGTTATTCCCACCGACCAATGGAAAGCGGAGGTCTATTTTCGTTGTTCTAACTTTATAATTTGACATCGGATGTGTATTTCCCTAAGATGGAAAAACGTAAAAGCTTGAAAGAGAAAATGAAATTAAACTTTAACAAATTTGTCAGTTGTCAGTTTATCAAGAAGGGTTATTTGAAATGGCATTTCTTAGATAAATTATTATGAAATAAGTATCTCTATGTGAATGATCCAATTCCCGTATATTCATCGATCTTTTCCCTCCCTCCTCGGCTCATATATGCCTCATAGTATATTTTCATATACTCCATAATCAATTTACACCCCATATACATGATAACTATATTTTATCTGCATGTACTACATTACAACCACAAAAATAGCATGTAAAAGTTTGGACATGTAGATTTCACTTTCGGACAAGTAAAAGTAATAGGGCACTTGCCCAACTGGACAAGTTGGTATAAAAGTTAATGTCGAACCCTGTGTACAACACAAGATCGGAGAGCTGCTACTCTGGTTTCTGTATTTAACATCATCAAAAACAGGGAACCATAATTTCTGGAAATTCTCTGTCTTGTATCCATTTTAAAAAGAAAAAAAGAGTTGTTGCTTATACAATACTTCCGTCATTTAAGAATCAAAATACAGAGACACGACGAGCAAAATTGATCCTTTCTGCCGACAGACATCAAATTTCATTAAAATGTCCGACTGCTTATAAAGTATAAGGTATGCAGTGAGATACAGGGTTGGCAAAAACCCTGTTTTATGAGTATTGCCCAGCAAATACTGGGAAAACCTGGGTTTGCTGGGATTTACCGGGTAATACTGGGTAATATGAAATACTGGCTTGAATTTTAAAGAGGATTCAGTGATTAATCACAAATGCAATACATTAAAGATTTTTTTATAAAAATAAGATATAGTATTTTAATTTATACATGTAAGTTCACTTGTTTGTGACACTTTATATAAAGTTTATGAATTTGAGAATATATTAATGGTCCAGCAACTCTAAGACAAGTGTACATGAAGACACATAAGACAAATGTGAAAAGTGTTGACTTAAAGTCGAAAAATTCAATTTGTTTTTTTTATAAGTATAACTAACATTAAGAATTAACAATTCTATGTAAGGAAAATTACTTTTAAACAATTTTTGTTCATTACTAAAAATGTTTACTAAGATCTCACTGAGATACCTTCTCTCTATATGATACATCAGTTACCGCTGTGGACAATAAACTTGGAATTGTTAGTAAATAGCAAATATAAGTTATTTAGAAAACAAAAAAATAACCGATTTTGGAATAAAGGGGGAGGGCTAAAGAAAAATTGTCCTGTCCCCAAGTACCTATGATCTTTTTGCCTGAAACAGTCTAATTCACTATTTGATTTATTGTCATTAGTATGTGCAATTATGAATACTGGTATTAGAAAAAAAAGAATGTTTGTTTATGAGTCAGAATTAATTAATTAATTGCCTTGGCTTCAGTTAAAAAATATTATCAATGAATAAGATTAAATTTGAATCTTTCCCTGAATGATCAATACATGTATGTCTCACAGTGTCATGTATTCACCATTTTCCTCGAACATTTTCAATTAGTTGTTAGCTGCAGTCTGCGCCGTTAGCCATTAGTCCAATGCCCCAGACTAGTAAAAAAATTTTGGACTTGTAAGTTTTTGCAAAACTTTGTTCAGCATCTCAAGAAAAATGTTGGAATATTGGTCTTCTGACTAGTAGTCCGAAAAGATTTTGGTGCAGACCGTACTTGAAAGTCCAGGTATAGTGAGAATATGAAAAACAGTGATTTCATGTCATTTGAGAGGTCGAACTGGTAAACAGTGTAGAGAAAGGTGAAAATTTGACAGGAAAAACACATTTCAAAATTACAGCAACACTTTTTTATTTAGAAATTTGAATAAATTCTAGAATTACAGTATGATAATTAAATAATGTTAGAATTGTTTATCTAAAGATAGGAAAATTTTGGGAAAATGGTTTCAGGATGGTAACTTGAATTTCACTTAATTTATTGCAATTTAACATATATATACAGATGGAAGATATGGGGAAGGTGAAGAAGCCTATTGATATTGATTTTTGGAACAACTGTTCAAAAGGTCGCTGTTAATGAAAAACATTTGTTTTTGTCGAGCCTGCGACTTTTGTCGCAGAATGCTCGACATAGGGATAGTGATCTGGCGGCGTTAACTAACTTCTTAAAAGCTTAATATTTCAGAAGGTAGAAGACCAGGATGCTTCAATACTTTGTATATAGATGCCTTATGATATGAAGTTTCGGTCTGTTATATCCATTGTCCTTGACCTCATTTTCATGGTTCAGTGACTACTTGAAAAAAAAGTTCAGATTTTTTGTAATGTTAATTTCTCTCTTATTATGAGTAATAGGATAACTATATTTGGTATGTTATGTACCTTACAAGGTCCTCATGCCTGTCAGATAGTTTTCACCTGACCTCGACCTCATTTCATGGATCAGTGAACAAGGTTAAGATTTCGTGGGCAAGTCCATATCTCAGATACTATAAGCAATAGGTCTACTATTTTTGGTGTATGGAATGATTGTAATGTGTACATGTCCAACTGGCAGGTGTCATCTGACCTTGACCTCATTTTCATGGTTCAGTGGTCATAGTTTAGTTTTTGTGTTTTGGTCTGTTTTTCTAATACTGTATGCAGTAGGTCAACTATATTTGGTGTATGGAAATATTTTACGATGTACATGTTAGTCTGGCAGGTTTCATTTGACCTTGACCTCATTTTCACGGTTCATTACTCAATGTTAAGTTTTTGTGTTTTGGTCTGTTTTTCTAATACTGTATGCAGTAGGTCAACTATATTTGGTGTATGGAAATATTTTACGATGTACATGTCAGTCTGGCATGTTTTATTTGACCTTGACCTCATTTTCATGGTTCATTGCTCAATGTTAAGTTTTTGTGTTTTGATCTGTTTTTCTAATACTGTATGCAAAAGGTTAACTATATTTGGTGTATGGAATGATTGTAAGGTGTATATGTCTGTCTGGCAGGTATCATCTGACCTTCACCTCATTTTCATGGTTGATTTGTCAATGTTCAGTTTTCCTGGTTAACTTTGTTTCTTAGATACCTTAAGCAATAGGTCAACTATATTTGATGCATGGAATGATTTTAAGGTGTACATGTCTGTCTGGCAGGGTTCATCTGACCTTGACTTCATTTTCATGTTTCATTGGTCAGTATAGAATTTCCATGGTTTGGTCTGTTTCTTTTATACTATAAGCAATAGGTTATCTATATTCTGTGTATGGAATGATTGTATTAAAGGTGTACATGTATTTCTGGCTTGGTTTATCTGACCTTGACCTCATTTTCTTGGATCATAAATGTTAATGTGATACTTGTAGTAAAACTTTATATGTAGGACTATCAACATAAAATCAATGGTCAGTATAGTAGGCGAGACATTTCAGCGTGTGCACTCTTGTTTAATTTGGTTTTCAGGATGGTATTTCACTTTGTTTTTCCGTGCAATAATTTATGAACCATTTGACCTATGGTTTTCAAATTAGATAATGTTGTTTCTGATGATAAAATGGAGGCAATTTCGATATTGACGATTCAGGAGTTATGATCCTTGATAGATTGAAAAATGTCAATTCATTTTGTTTCCGTGCAATCACCTTTGAACCATTCCTTTAGAGCTTTTAAAATTTTAATATGTTGTAACTGATGACAAAAAAGAGATCAAGTTGGATTTTGACAATTATCGATTTTGCTGTTCAATAGGTATGCTCCTTGATTGATTGGATAATAGGTATAGAGTGTGGCAAGTCAAACAAGCCTGAAAAGGCCTTCAAAATACGGAAAACCAGGTTTGCTGTTAATTTGACATTTCATTTCTTGTGAATGATGAGCTAAAATTCTGATGTCAAACCTGCGCTGAGGAGAAAGATTTCAACTTTATGAACATGGAAAAATATGGGAGTTTGCAAGCAGGATTAATTTGAAAATCTTAATTTAACATTTAAATGGGGACACTTTCATAAAAGCGGTTGTAAATGTCCAAAACATGATGTGTTGACAATTGTCAGTCGGCTGACTTTCAGATCACATGTTGTCACCTCTTGCGTTTTGCCACTTACCACTTTGTTTGCAAATTATATCAATAATAAATATACATAGCCAATAACTTTTTCAAAGAATGGCAAACAAAATTAATGCATAGCAGGCTAGGACTGCTATTCTAAAATAGCATATGGAAAACACTGTACTTCCTGTTTTTCCATAATTTGAAGTTTTCAAAATGTTGAATAAACTTTTAAATTTTTATCACACACTTCTCTATTACTGAACAAAATGGCTTCATGTTTGGTCAGTAGTGTTTCCTGGAGCATTTGAAAAGTGCAGCATAATTTCTATTCTCAAAGGGCACTGTTGGAGAGATTGGTGACACTTTTAAGAGCACCATTTCGCGTGGAGTGCTATACTTTTTGGGCACCCTTATTAGAGATACCAAGGTGCTGTTATGGATAGGGATTGAATTTAAATATACCATTTTAACTACCAGAGTCTAAATGACATAGATGTAAGCAACTCATTTATTACATATACAAATGTAAACTTGTTTTTTTTAGTTCATCAAGTAGACAGTCTTTTAGCAGTGACGAGGAGACTGACGAGGGAGAGCATATAGATCATGATTATAATCTTCCACAAAGACATAAACACATTAATAAAGGTCGTTGGTCAAGAGAAGAGGTAAGTAGAAGAAAGTTCCCAAAATTTCCTTTACATTCATATTTTGTTCTGGGTCTTAGATGGACTAAACATTTAAAATTTTGGTCTGTCTTAAATAGACGGTTACTAATGGTAGAATTTTTTTTATATGTTAATTTTTTTTTAACTTCTATACTGCAAGAAAACTTACCAACAGTACAGTTATTGATTGGTTTGAGGTCAATAGCTGTTGAATGAGAATCCAGTCTAAAACTGACTTGTTAAACAACCATCAAATATTTTTGTTCCTAAAAATTATTTGTGCCATGATAGAGGCTGAAAATGGTATTTTATGTCATTTCCATGCAATGATATAAGAGACATTTGAACCAACACTTTTCAATTTTTTATTTTTTATTTTTAATGACAAAATGGAGGTAAAGTTTGATATTGAAAAACTTCTCATTTCCATGCAATGATATAAAAGCATTTGAACCAATACTGTTCAAATTTTAATTTTTAACTGATGACAAAATGGAGGTTAAGTTTGATATTGAAAAACTTCACTTTTGCTGTTCATTAGTTTATGTATCCTAATTGCTTTAACAATGACACTGTTAAATGTAATAACAACCTGATTTTCCTTCATTTTGATGACATCTTGTTTACATACATAAAGTAATTACATCATGTACATAGAGAAAAATATTGTAAAGGTTAAAATAAATTTTAAAAATAGGTTAAGTTTTAATCCATGATAGAGAATCAAAATCAATACTTAGAAACATCCATTTCTAGAGTTAGTTCATAACTTTTTCAATGTGATTTTTGCATGCAGGTTGAAATTATTTGTATTTCCAGGACGACTTACTGCGGAGAGTAGTAGAGTTACAGAATCACAATAATACAGATTGGAAGAAAGTTGCACAATATTTTCGTGATAGAATTGATATACAGTGTCAGCATCGTTGGTTTAAAGTTCTGAATCCTGAACTTATTAAAGGACCTTGGACAAAAGAGGTATTAAGTTTTTTATTTAAATAAAAAGATTGAACGCTACCAATACACATTAGATATCAGATTGTCTTCAGACATATATGTCTTTTTCCGTTGAATATGAAGAAAGCATCCAAAGAAACATACATGCAGTAACAAATATTTCTTCAAGGGTTTTAACATGCACATAAACAGCAAAAAAGTATACATAACTACCATGAAAATGATGAACATGAAAAAAATAATATAATTTATAGTTTTGGATATTTCTTAAAAGAATACTTTAAATAATTGTTTAATTTTTACAGGAGGACGAAAAGGTGATTAAACTTGTCAAGGAACTAGGACCAAAACGTTGGACAGTGATTTCACGTCATTTGAAAGGTCGAACTGGTAAACAGTGTAGAGAAAGGTGAAAAATTGACAGAAAAACACATTTCAAAATTACATCAACACTTTTTTATTTAGAAATTTGATTTAATTCTAGAATTACAGTATGATAATTAAATTATGTTACACTAGAATTGAATGAAAAAGTAGATAGGTACACAGATTGCATATATGGCATGGGATAATGGAGAAAATCATGAGTATGGATAAATAATGTTTTATTTGAGGTTTACATGAATTCTGATAACTTTATCTGACTAATAGACAATGAAAATGTTTTTATATGACATTCAAACATAGAGAAAAAACAAGTGTGAGGAGAAATTTCTACCTTTCATACCAAGGTTAAGAAAAACTGGCAACAATGTAATAGTTTGTGATAATGTCAGTTTTATCAGGAACCACTAGTGGTAGGTCAGTGATATTTGGTATGCAGTTGTATTAGTACTGGCACATCTCATTCCCATAGAGATTATTTGGCCCTGCCCCCTCAGTCATGGTAAATGGACTTTAAAACTTTTGCTTCGTTTACATGTATGTACAATGTATTAGTTTGTGATTAGGTCAGTTTATGGAGAACTACTAGTGGTAGGTCAATGGTATTTGGTATGCTGTTGTATAAGCATTGACACATCTTATTTCCATGAAGATTATTTTGTCCTGCCCCCTCAGTCATGGTAAATTGACTTTAAAACTTTTTCTTTGTTTACATGTATGTATTATTTTGTGATTAGGTCAGTTTATGGGGAACAACTAGTGGTAGGTCAATGGTATTTGCTATGCATTTGTATAAGCATTGATACATCTTATCTGCATACCAAATATTATTGACTTAACATTAGTGCTTTATCTTAAACTGATTTAGAGCTATTTTCCTAATGCTTGTAGTTTAAAGGTTTGGTTGGCTTGTTTGCTTTGTTTGTATAAATGTTTGCTCAAGCATTGTAATTAAGATTGACATCTGCAATCAATAGATAGGCGGGGCTTAATTCAGCGTATATACATTATACTTAAATGTTATTGGATGTTAAGTATAATGTAAAATATTGCCATTTTAATTCAAGCATTTTACTATAAAAGCTGCAAAAAGCTAGACATTTCTCTGTGTCATAATATACAATAACCTCAGAATGTTTTGTTTTTTTAAATAGGTGGCATAATCATCTAAACCCAGACATCAACAAGTCAGCTTGGAGAGAAGACGAAGATAACCTGATATATGCCTTGCATAGAGAGCTAGGCAATAGGTGGGCAGAGATTGCTAAATACTTGCCTGGCAGGTAAAGAATATAAGTTATAGGAATAGATTTTTCCCAAAACTGACTGAAGGATTAATGTCTCACAATATAAAGTTTTATTGTATAGCAACATAATATTTCCTCTTGAATGTAGCAAATAGTTCGTGTGCAATATTCCATTTCTGAAAAAAACAGAAACTGCTGTCTTAGTAATTATGTTGGAGCTGTAGACGACAGGAGTCACATGTCAAGTTAAGTCAAGAATGGTAGCACAAAAGATAATGGTTATTCCTAGAAAATGCCATCAGGTCATTGGAATATTACATCACCCATCTTTAATAAAATCTTAATTTATTTTTGTTTTTTATGGGGTATGAACAGACTTGTAATATGTATGAATTTACAAAATGAACAAAAGAACAAACATTGTTTCTGATTTATTTATTTGGGATTAATCTTCTTATTTACAATCTTGTAATCTCAATGCATTCAGTTTAATTGGAAGAAGGAAATACTATGATTAAAACCATTAAAAAAAACAGTAAAACCATTAAAAAAAACAGTCTGGCAAGAAGTGACAAGTCTTTATTTATATATTAACATTCCACCACGTTATTTTTGTAAATACTGTGGATTCATTATTATTCATGGGATACCAATATTTAGTGAATTTTATGGGTAATAAAAGGTGCCATGAGTTTAATGTTTAACAAAGTACAAATTTTCTTTATGCTTGTATGCATACTTTCTCAAATCCATGCAGTTAAATATCCATAAGAATACAATTTACCTCAATCCATTTGAAAATTGGTTCCAATCAAAATAAATGAATACACAATACTTGTTATAGAGTCCACCATGATTCATGATAAAGTAAAGTGATCTGTAACATGCTCAGTAAACAAGTACCTTGACACTTTAACCACAGATGGAACTGCTAACTGAATCAAATTGATAATGATCAAAATAGATTAAATATACATGAAAATTTTACATAAATCTAGACATGTTTAATGTCTAATGCTTACTTACACATCATTTTAACTTCCTTGGTCAGTTGTCTTAATGGCAATTATAACAAATCTCCTTATTTTTATATGTATTAACTTTAAGTTTATGTTACAGAACAGACAATGCTATAAAGAACCATTGGAATTCTACTATGAAAAGAAAATATGAAGAAGATTTAGAGAAGAGACCAGTTTTATATACCTACCCATATACACCCAGTAGTGTGATTAATATGCAGGGAATTCATCCAGTTAAATTGTTTCCAAATCAACATAACACAGAGGCAGTAGTTACTGTTCAGTATGTCATACAAATCATCATATGTTTTAACATGTTCAAATTAAAGACCAGATTATTTAGATCTTTACTTTCATTACATTTTATATTCACAGCAGAGAAAATTACAATTTTTCAGATAGAAACATGAAATATTTTGTATAAGGATATATTAAGTAGTAGTTAAAGAACTATTAGGTTATTATTTGAATTAAGATATATCTCTAATAAAAGAGATGGTCAAGGTAACAATAGAATGAAAGCATTTTTTCCCCATCCTGTTTGATGATACATTTTAATTCAAATATCACTATTTAAGGTGCTTTAGCTGTTTACTACTTTTTGAAAAAGAATAGAAATATAAACCTTGCTTTCATTTCCCAAAATAAGATAATTTAAAAAGAAACGCTTAAATTAATTGTTATGCCCCAGCCGCTAAGTGTTACCCTTGTCCGTCCATTGTGTACGTCCCCAAAATTGGTTTCCGTTCTCTTACTTGAGTTTGCCTCAACCAAATGTTATAAAACTTATACACAATGCTTATTACCACAAAACACAGATCAATTTCAACAATTGGGTGGCGTCACTTTCACCGTTCATGAGTTATGCCCCTTTATTAACATAAAAATTGCTGAATTTTTTCGTTTCCATCCTCTAACTTTAGTTTGCCTCAACCAAATGTTATGAAACTTATACACAATGCTTATAATCACAAAACCGTCTTAACTACGTGAATCCTGCATCTGTATATGGAAGTTGACTCATGCATATTTACAAGCGGGGGAATCTGTGGCCACATAGACACATTCTCCATTTATTAAGTCTCCCAAACGAAGTTTGGGAAGACTTATTGTTTTTGCTCAGTTCTTATTATTATTATTATTATTCTTCTTCTTCTTCTTCTTCTTCTTCTTCTTCTTCTTCTTCTTCTTCCGCCGCTTTTAAATTTGAACTTGTCCGCACCCGTTCTCCAAAACCGCTTGTCAGATTAACTAAGGGTTTCACAATATGTTAGACTAACATGTCTAGTGGTGCAATCAGGGTTTTGTTTGTGCAATGGGGTTTATAAAGGGGTACTTTGAGGGGCAAAAAGAAAAGAGGGTTTTACTATAGAACCCTATGGGATTTTATTTTTTTAAATTTTCAAATGATTATAAGTTGAAAACCGTTTGTGATAGACACAATCTTTTTAATTGAAAATGTTCTTAATGATAAAGCCCATTAAATGAAATACAGGGTTAGTCCCCAGGGGTCACCCCCACCCCCTGCCATTTAAGAAAGTTCTAATATCTTGTAAGTGGTCAAGATCCCCACCCCTAAACCATATATATTTTGGTTTGTTATGCTAAGATGGTTTGAATGATATACAGGGTTAGTCCCCAGGGGTCACCCCGACCCCCTGCCATTTGAGAAAGTTCTAATATCTTGTAAATGGTTGAGATCCCCACCCCTAAACCATATATATTCTGGTTTGTCATGACAAAGCACATCAAATGAAATACAGGGTTAGTCCCCAGGGGTCACCCCCACCCCCTGCCATTTAAGAAAGTTCTAATATCTTGTAAGTGGTCAAGATCCCCACCCCTAAACCATATATATTCTGGTTTGTCATGCTAAGATGGTTTGAATGATATACAGGGTTAGTCCCCAGGGGTCATCCCGACCCCCTGCCATTTGAGAAAGTTCTAATATCTTGTAAATGGTCGAGATCCCCACCCCTAAACCATATATATTCTGGTTTGTCATGATAAAGCACATCATATGAAATACAGGGTTAGTCCCCAGGGGTCACCCCCACCCCCTGCCATTTAAGAAAGTTCTAATATCTTGTAAGTGGTCAAGATCCCCACCCCTAAACCATATATATTCTGGTTTGTCATGCTAAGATGGTTTGATTGATATACAGGGTTAGTCCCCAGGTGTCATCCCGACCCCCTGCCATTTGAGAAAGTTCTAATATCTTGTAAATGGTCGAGATCCCCACCCCTAAACCATATATATTCTGGTTTGTCATGATAAAGCACTTCAAATGAAATACAGGGTTAGTCCCCAGGGGTCAGCCCCACCCCCTGCCATTTAAGAAAGTTCTAATATCTTCTAAGTGGTCAAGATCCCCACCCCTAAACCATATATATTCTGGTTTGTCATGCTAAGATGGTTTGAATGATATACAGGGTTAGTCCCCAGGGGTCACCCCCACCCCCTGCCATTTGAGAAAGTTCTAATATCTTGTAAATGGTTGAGATCCCCACCCCTAAACCATATATATTCCTATTTGTCATGTCTCGAACATTTGAATGACGTATACGGTCAGTCCCCAGGGGTCCCCCCCCCCCACCCCCAATGTTCTAATATCTTGTAAATGGTTGAGATCCCCACCCCTAAACCATATATATTCCTGTTCGTCATGTAATGAACATTTGAATGACGTATAGGGCCAGTCCCCAGGGGTTCCTCCCCACCCCCAATGTTCTAGTATCTTGTAAATGGTCGAGATCCCCACCCCTAAACCATATATATTCTGGTTTGTCATGCCAAGATGATTTGAATGATATACAAGGTTAGTCCCCAGGCATCACTAATGCATATAACTTTACCAAACCAATTTTCACTGGAAGTTGCCCAATGTCTGGCGACCCTGGGAATTATGAATTATGGGAGCTTCGTTTGGGAGACTTTGTAACAGCATCCTGTTACATTCATTTCTTGTTTATATTATATTATTGAATTATTTTTTTTTAGAAATTACGATTCAAAGAGTGCAGGACTGAGTGGATTATCGTCAATAGAATTTGTACAAGGAACAACACAGCAGACTAGATACTCAGCAAAATTTACCTCTCTTCATTCTAAAGGTTGGAATAATAAACTCACTGTATTTATCTTAATATATACTTGGAGGTCATTGCATTTCTCTAATAAGGGAGAGCTCTGAAAACCAAATTAAAAAGTCTTAGAATCAGTACCAAAGGATAGGTTACCCATATTAGAAGTTATTGGGCATTACAACCTTTGTTTAGTTATAAAAAAAAACTTTCGTTGAGGGAATATATTCTCATAAAGTCAACATTAAAAAGAGAATTTATCTGATATACATAATATACACATGCCAAGTGAGTTTTGATGAGATGTAAGATTTTAAAAACGAAGTTGTTTGTGCTATTGTAATCAAACTCCACATTATGTCAATCTTGTCGGCCTTTTTAAGAACATTTGCAATATATTTAGGGGTGTTCCAATTAAACATACACAGGGAAAGCACTTTTCAAAATGGGAAACTTCTTATAGAGTCAAATTCAGAATTTCACTTATATTTTCACAGAACTTGACACACACCGATAGTTGTTATTTCAAAGTTCCTTCCCTGGGTCCTATATATGTTATGGAATGGCCCTAATGAAAGTTATGTGTACTGTTCATTGTATTACATTATAAAAGTAGTTTAAATAAATAATATGTGTTACTCAGTCAAAAGTTTTAGATAGGAAACAAAATATAAAGAAGTAGTTCCAAGGAACAAACATGAAGATTAAATGTAAACCTATCAATATAAAAAAAAAAAATAAGAGCTACAAGACAGAAAATGGCAACTAAATATTTTGATACAAAAGTTGTTTATCATGGGATTTTAAACAGGAAAAAAAATGAAGAATCAATGTTAAATGAGGACAGATAGATTATAAGTAAGATGTGTTTATCTATTGTAGATATGAAAATATATGTTATACACTTGATATTGATCGAAAGTAATAAGGCTTAAGTAGAAAAAGTACAGTAAACACTTAAATTTGTCAAACTTTGTTTCAAATGTGCTTCATTAATGTTTATATATTTATAACTGAACCTTCTAGTATTGTGATCTGTATGATAACAGTTTATGTGTTGTATATGTTTAACAGATTGAGCATTACTTAATAACATAAAACATCATCTTTCCAATTAAAACTACTGCTGAAAATAGCTTATAATTCCTTATCAATAAGTACAGTAATTGATTGCATCACATAATATTTTTGAAAATCATTATTATTTATTTATATTTTGTTTGTGAAAAGAAGGACTTTTTTTAAAATTTTCATTAGGATTTCTGAGTAATACATTCTAAGAACTTTTTGAATATTAATCTGTATGTTAGATAAAGTAATATAATTTAATAATTCCAGAGTATAGATTTAATGGTAAAGCTATTCAGAAGTTAAGAAGTCCTGGTTGTCTTATACCAATCAGTTCCCCAGCTGTATCTAGATTTACTAGTCCACCAGCTATTCTTAGGAAGAGGAAAAGAAAGGTAGAATATGAATTTGATACCCTTTACTCTATAATATCACTAGTCCTTACAGCTGAAAAGGAATATTTTTTCACACCAGGCACTGACAAAGGCTGGGACTGAAAATCTTTATTTGCATTATGTTACACACAAAGGATTTCATAGGTAGCAGAACAACAAACATAAGAGTTTTATTGGCATAGCCTGATGTTACCTCAAAAATTGTTTTCTTTTTAACTATAGCTTTACATTTTAACAAAAAATATTATGGTAAAGGCTTATCTTTACTTCCTAATAGAAAAAATAAATAACTTGCAGTTAATTTTCTCAAATGAAAAGAGAGAGCTATGTGTTTACATATTTTACCTTTTAAGCAAGCAATGTGAATTGGATAATTTTTTGTGTGTTGCTTAAAAGTAATGTCAATAAAAAAAATGTAAGGAGATGTGGTATGATTGTCAATGAGACAACTACCAATCAAAGGACAAGGATGTCACTGTACAGCCTTCTATAATGAGCAAAACAAAAGATTTTACACAACCAGTTATAGCAGCTATTAAGACATTCCCAGTTATTCTTATAGCATGTCTTTTGTGTTAAAAAGGAAACGATTGTTAGCCAGTTTAGGTAGATTCTAAAAATAAATCGTAGGATAAGATGTTTTAAGCAATTAAATTTAAAGAGACAGATGATATATTCTCAGATTTATCTTGAGGTTTGCAAATTTGCAGGAATAATATAGTCATTGTTACATTGATGATTTATCTTTAAGCATTTGTTATTTTTTCAAAACATAAAGTAAAATGCTGTAAACATTTGTTCTTTAGCTGATCCAGTCTTGTCCAGTTAACTCATCTACCGATTCAGACAATTGGCAGAAAAGTAAACATGGAACCAATAAAAAACCAATAAAGGATGACATAGAGAACCAGTGTCCAGATTTATCTACTGAAACCCAAGTGGAATTGAAAAAGGAACCAGTCACTCCAACTGGTACTCCAATTAAAAACTTACCATTTTCACCATCACAATTTTTAAACAGTCCAGAAGTACATTTTGGGAAACTGACATCAACTCCTGTCTGTAACAATCCTAATTTAGCTACGCCAACACCAAATACATCACTCAATACACCAATTACCAAGCTATCTGACAGGTAAGATAACTCAACTGTATAAAGTTGTCAACTCCTATGTGTAACATCTCTTATTATACCCTTGCCCTAAATGTTTACCTTTGTTTATTCACTTTTCTGTCTGTAACATATTTCTGTCACATTTTCCTCAGCAACTACAAATCATTACTTCTTGATTTATGGCACTAAGCTTCATCTAGTTGTACCATACTGTGTGACATGTTTTCACTCCTATGATTATCTACTTCCTGTTTACCATAAATATGTATCTTTTAAATGTCCTGCACATATATGAAATTTTTGTCACAAATTTCTCAGCAACTTAAACCATAGCCTAGTTTAACTATACTTACACCAAATATATTACTGAATCCATGAGTTACAAAAATTGACTGATGGGAAGGTAATGAAAAATGCAATAAATAGTCACACAATAACAAAGGAGAGTTGAATATTTTAGGGATTGTTGAAATTGCAACAAATTTAATCACTGCAAAATGTGCATTGTGACTTCACTATTCATGGCAGGTGAATTTACAACTTAATTCCTTGGAAAAAAAGGTACAATTCTTAGGGGTAAACAATGCGTCTATATTAAGCTTAGATAGTCGAGATGTAAGATAATAAAACTATTAGACATGTTATTATATCAGTTTACTTTTTGATGTAAACATCAAGTGAATGGATCTTTTAAAAAAACTTAACATTCACATCTCAAAACAAACAGCAATTGCTTGTGTGCCTAACCATCTGGAACTTTGAAATATACATTGTCGCTTGTCACCATCTTATAGTGTTTATATATCTCAACTTGTACGATTCGCTTGTGTATGTAACAACGTATTAGATTTTAGCGAGAGAAATTTATGTATTACTGAAAAATTATTACACCAGGGTTTTCGATATCATAAACTAGTCAAAACATTTACTTAATTTTATCATCAGTATAAGGACATCATTCGTAAATATAACTCAACATGCAGACATCTTATACATTCGGGTATTTCACATCCAATCTTTTATGGTAATATTCTTTACAAAGCACAAAAATGTCAGTATTCACCTCAAAAGCTAACAAAACCTTTAAACAGACTTATTAAGAAGGGATATAGTTACAATACTATTGTCAGGTCATTAAAGATTGCATATTTTGGCTTTAATATTGATTCACTTATAGGGTCTTTGCATCGGAATTAAGCATATTTATTCTAAAACCAGTTGTTGGCATGACACGGGTTATGTTCTCCTCATATATTTTATAATGGTATATTACTAAACCCCTAGCAGGAGGGATTGTGCCTGATATTCATATGATGAAGACATAATCTTTCAATCTGTTTAATTGAGGTCTGGAGCTGGCATGTCAGTAACTGCTAGTAGTCTGTTGTTATTTATGTATTATTGTCATTTTGTTTATTTTCTTTTGTTTCCTATTCTGACATCGGACTCGGACTTCTCTTTAACTGAGTTTTACTGTGCGTACTGTTGTACGTTTGTTTTTTCTACATTGGCTAGAGGTATAGGGGGAGGGTTGAGATCTCAAAAAACATGTTTAACCCCTGCCGCATTTTTGCGCCTGTCCCAAGTCAGGAGCCTCTTGCCTTTGTTAGTCTTGTATCATTTTTAATTTTAGTTTCTTGTGTATAATTTGGAGTTTAGCATGGCGTCCATTATCACTGAACTAGTATACATATTTGTTTAGGGGCCAGATGAAGGACGCCTCCGGGTGCGGGAGTTTCTCGCTGCATTGAAGACCCATTGGTGGCCTTCGGCTGTTGTCTGCTCTATGGTCGGGTTGTTGTCTCTTTGACACATTCCCCATTTCCATTCTCAATTTTATTGTACATGTATATGATTTTCGGGGTAAGTTTATTAGTGGCATAGCTTGTATGGGACAACATCAACATCAGCTCAAAATAACAATTACAAAAGTGCTGAAGTCCTTGGTTTTTTTTAAATAGAGGCATCCACTTTCATTTATATCTAGGAAGCCACTGTTTTATTTTGTTTGTTAAAGACATAACACTTGACAAAGTAACAATATATGTTTTTTTCATTTTTTTGTAGGTCAACATTAAATACTCCATGTATTAGAAGAACCATTTTAGATGCCACACCTAGGACACCAACTCCATTCAAGACAGCATTGGCAGAGATTGAAAAGAAATCTAAAGTCTTGCAAGATGTTGTATGTTGAATATATATATTAGTTTCATTTATATCAACAAGTTTTAAAATTCTGTTCCAAAATTTTTATAATGATTTTAAGGTAAGGCATATAGATATTGTTTGGTATGCAGTATGTTTGGACAATAATGAAGGAGAACATTCACTATGCTCCTAAAATGATCCTTAATTTAGAACTATTAGAAAGTTTATTAAAATTAAAATTTTTTGGACATTTGTTAGTGGGAATTAAAGTGGCCTCATGCAAATAACAAACTGATCTTTTTACACATTTTTATGCCCCACCTACGATAGCAGAGGGGCATTATGTTTTTCGGTCTCTGCATCCGTTCGTCTGTTCCGCTTCAGGTTCAAGTTTTTGGTCAAGGTACATTGTAGTTTTTGATGAAGTTGGTGTCCAATCAACTTGAAACTTAGTACACCTGTTCCCTATGATATGATCTTTCTAATTTTAATGCCAAATTAGAGTTTTGACCCCAATTTCACGGTCCACTGAACATAGAAAATGATAGTTCGAGTGGGGCATCCATGTACTATGGACACATTCTTGTTTTTTTTTGCAATTAAATGGAAAACTGAATTTCAGAAATTTTTTAGAATATCTTCAGTACCAAAATGACCTTGTTACCCTCTTATTTTATTTTTTGATTGGAACTATTTTCATGGCTTCTTGTATCAAAACATAGAATTTTTCCATATCTATTCAAATGTGGCTAGTAGTGTATGAACTATCACACATGTTATCTAGTCTTATTCAGATATGGCCAAATTCTTTAGTAGGAAGCTGTTAAAAAAGATATAGTATGTTTTATTTTGAAGAATCATCTAGTATTAAAGTGTAACAATAGCATTGAACTGTTTACAAATCTACAAAAGCTGTTAAAATACATTAAATCAATTATTTCTGAATAAAAGAAAATTAAATAATTAAGACATGCCAATGAATAATACCAGAAGGTTGAATAAAGGAATCTGGAAACATCTTAAACACTTATTTTAGAGTCCAGGTCAGATTGAGAAAGATATTGATGAGATGATGAAAGAAGATACAGGCTATGATGCTGATATGTCAACTATGACAATGTATGTCACACCAAGGGAAAGGAAACAAAAGGTAATGTTATAATGAAAACTATGACAATGTATGTCTATGACAGTGTAAGTTTATGTCAATTTTGATATAGTACGCCACACAAAGAGGAAAGTAAAGATAGGAAATGAATGTCCCCCAAAGGAAAGGGAACAAGTTATGTCAACTGCAATAATGTATACATTTTGCAACCAGAGAAAAGTAAAATAAGTTATGTGAAATAAAGAGAGAAGGTAATGATAAAACAATTAGTTAACAGCACACAAACATTCAAAATCAGCTAAATAAAGTTTACTGTATTTGATGAAAATTCCACCAGATATTTTAAAACTAAATGGATAAAAAATATCCAGTAATGGATATTAACAGATAATGAATAATTATCCAGTGACTGATAACTTTCAGACACTACATAAATAGTGTGCCACTATTAATCCATCAATCTGCATCTGAAGAAAAGCAATAAAACCATAACTGGTTCGGCTATAAATCATCACCAGGTCCTGTTAATTATGTGTTTTTTCATTACCTTCAGTTTTTATTTGTCATTTTTTTTTTTTACGCTAATACATAACTTACGAAATCTCCATTGGATCTATTAGGTTTATAGACCTCTTTATGTCAGTTTCCACTCTATTACTCATCTAAAATAAATGATGTTACTGAGGACAAAAAATGACATACTTTGGAGAAGTGTTCACATTCAGATCATGACAATCCCAATGATGTACAATCCAAAAAAAAAAGTTCATTTGCTGTAGTTTACATACTGAAATCAATACAATTAAAACATAAATTATATGACTTGTGGTATTGTAGGGTGCTGCTAAGAAGGCAAGACAGTCATTGGCTAAGAAATGGTCAGCATCTGACATGAACTTCTCAGAGTCTATGATCATGTCTCCAGAAACACCAGTGAGTATTGTTGTTCCAAACGAAAACTATTTTACAGTTTTTACTTGGTTTACAATGTGTAGTTTATATCAGAAAATGATAGATATAAGTAAACTCGGCTTATCCAAACAATCAAGACACATCTTAATAATCAATTAGACAGGTAAATTCGGCTAATTGATATAACATTTTAAAAATAGATAACAATCCAGTAACATTAAGCCTAAACCCAGTAAACTGAATTGGGTCATTTGTTGTTATTTTTATATTTCATGCCCCTTTACTAGTCCTTGCAGCATTTATAAATGGTTCTGTAGTCTTGATATTTAGAAAAAACGAAAAATACACAATTACTTTAATTAAACTCTGCTCTATCAGAGTTGAGGTTTAATTTATAGAGACCCTCCATCTTTTCTGCTTTAATACGAGATAGTCCTTTATCTTAAGATAATGTAATTTGGTGATATGATCCCTTGATCCTTTAGTTTGCTGGTATGTAAACAACTTCATTTAGTAATAATCTAATACTGGGAATTTCTCAAAATCCTTTAGTTACATTTTATCAAAAAGTTACAATAGGTGCTGAAATTCTCAAACTAAAATGACTCAAGTCCAGGGCTAATTGAACAACAAGTTTTCTGATTGATAAGAAAAATTGATGCCATGCTTGTTTAAAAATTTTCTAATATCTGCTTTTTTATAGAGTAAATCTTTACTTGGTGATACCAGTATTTTATTCTCGCCACCGTCCATTATCAAGGATACCCTAGCAGAGGAAGTCATGGATGAAGTATTCAATCAGCAAAAAGATAGTGAGAAGAAGGAAGTAAAGGTAGGAAGAAATTCATAGTATTAAACATCAAGAATCAATGCAAAATACTACAGGTTCTTTGTCTATGATACAAATAAAGATTGGGGTAGGAATCACATTGTCAGTTCATTCCTAAACCATGTAAATGAAATTCCATCTACCCATTGGTAGTATACCATGTAAAGATGGGCATGAATAGAAATGATTTAGATGTAACAAATTATAGTGAGTTGAAATGCCAGCCATTTTTAGAATCCTGCATGCACATCCACAGCCTTTTTTATGGATCAATTCTGCAATATAATTTAGTGAACAGATGGTTCTTGGAAGAGACAGAAAATGAGAATTGTGATGTGAGCTGTGCATGGTGTCCATAGAGCACATATTCTTCATTCATTAAATTTTAAATCCGAGATCTGTACTCAAATAAGTGACCTACAAGCATATTACATTTTGGAGGGATGCATCTTGGAAAATATGATTGCCCTCCCCCCCCCAAAAATTAGGACTCTGACTTACATTTTATGCTTCATTCACTTCCATTAAGTTTTACTTTCCAGTTAAATTTCAGGTACTAAGTGACTCATTCAAGTAACTCAAGTGTAAGGGTGCATCTTGGAATATAGCAGCCTTCCACAAAAAGTAAATGGACCTACATTTAACACTACATTGTTTGCTATTAAGTTTAAGTTACTAAGATAATAACTTACCTTCAGTCATATAGTATGATGAACATATACATGTTTTCGGAAGTACAAATTTTTGTATAAGAAGCTCACTTTGACCTACATTTTACACTTCATTGACTTGCATTAAGCTTTTCATTTGAGTTAATTTTTTCAATTAAGGCCAGTCTAAGCTAAATTGAATGATTCATTGTATATAGTTCACCAAGAACATTTCTGAGATATTAAGTGACTATTTCACACTGAAGTTAATTGTTAAAAGTTCATCATGTTAATATGGGAATGAGGTGAACTTTGAAATAATAGAATACCTATGCTTGATATTTCTGATCAGTGTTCAACCTTGTAATGGAAACTTGCCTAGATTTAAAACAAGCTGGTTTATAACACTATATATATACCTGAAAGTTTGTTACTATGGAAGGACAACTGAAAATTCAATTATTTTGAAGAGCAGAGATATAAGGGACAGTCATAGTGTCTTTTGTTGATAAATTTGAAAGAGAAATCAACAGCTTTATGATGGAAAATTAAAGAGGAAAAGAAAATGTTATCTTTAAATGACCAATGATTTTGTTTGACAGTTCAGGTGTATTCTTTCATTTTACTACAATTCAAAATGATAATGATTAAAGATAACATGTTTGATATTTATCATTGTAGAGGTTTAAATCTAGTAAAAGAATAACATTCCAGGAAAATGAAGTGAAAGATACAAAACAAGTTGCAAAGGTAGGTTGTAAAAGAGAGGCAAAAGTAACTAAAGGGATATTCAAACTCATTAGTTGAAAACAAACTGACAATGCTATGGCAAAAAATGAAAAACAACGATTTGATTTGATTTTTGGTGTTTTAACGCCACTTTTAAGCACCGCTTTTGGGCTATTTCGTGGCGGCCAGTTTTTATTGGTGGAGGAAGCCGGAGTGCCCGGAGAAAACCACGACCTTCGATAGGAAAACTGACAATCCTAGTCAATTAAGATTGGAGTCGAGTACACCCGCACGAGCAGGGTTCGAACTCACAACCTCAGTGTTGACTGGCTAGTGATTACAGTAGTAACTTCTTAGACCACTCGGCCACCGAGGCCCCTTGAAAAACAACGAAAAAGAAACACAGTACACAAATGACTTTTAAGGAAATGTAAATTAACATTTACTTATTTGTCATGCAGGCAAAATTAAGTTTGTTATATACAAATAAGAAGATGTGATATGATTGCCAATGAGACAACTCTCCACAAGAGACCAAATGACACAGAAATTAACTATAGGTCACCGTATGGCGTTCTACAATGAGCAATGCCCATACCGCATAGACAGCTATAAAAGGCCCCAAAATTACAAATGTAAATCAATTCAAACAAGAAAACCAACAACCTGATTAATGTACAACATAATGAATGAAAAACAAATATGATATACAGTAACAAGCGACAACTACTGAATTACAGGCTCCTGACTCGGGACAGGCACATACAGATTGTGGTGGGTTAAACATGTTAGCAGGCGCCCAACCCTCCTTCTAACCTGGGACAGTGGTGTAACAGTACAACATATGAACAAACTATAAAAATCAGTGTTATGTTTACCTAATAAAAGTATGTGATTTACTGCATGAACAACAGTGATTTAAATACCAATAACCATAAACAAATTATTTTTACTGCAGGCAACAAAAAACAAATTTTTAAAATAAAAATACAATGCTACAGTGTAACTTGAAACTGCTATCAGTGTACTTTTAGAAATCATAAAACTTACATGAGACTAATAAGATTTACGTGAACTTTTTTCAGCTTGATGCAGCCTATGAACGTATTGCTTGTGGTAAAACAGAGGACCAGTTGTTGATGACAGAGTTGGCAAGACAGATATTTAAATCCATTAAACGACCTGCAAATAGACGGACTTCGTGATAGTATATGTGTTCAATGTTAGACTTCTGTAAAGTTGTGAAATCTTCTTATATGTTCATATCAATGACAACAGTGTTTATGCCTTTAATTATTCATGAGACTGACAATAGACAGCTTTAAATGAATTAGATATAAACAACTATTGTGAAAAAAAGTAATTCTGGATATTCACTCTGTATATATAAAGTATATATTTACACATAGAATTAGTGCTCAACAACTGATATAACATAGAAGGCTTTTTCGTGTGTACTAAATCATTTACTGTGAGAATAATTTCAGCTGTATTCTGTAAAACTCCAATTACATGAATAATGGTCTACTGTTACATGGTATAAAATTGCATTAGTTAATCTAGCAAATTAGACAGTCTTAGGGAATTACGGTAATGAATGCATTAATTTCTGAATTTATTATATGAAAATAAGTTTTTGTCAAAAATATTTTTGAAATAACTTTTGCTAGACATATTAAGCAAGCAGATAGCAGAATAAGACGTTGTGTATAGTTACAGAATTTGAAATCCTATTCCTACTTGATATGGTACTTTGTATTTTAGTAACATAACATTGTTCCACTTTTTATAGCTTGATTAATTGTGATTTTTTCTAAGTCATTTATAGAGTGTTGTGTTGATACAAAGAGTGTTCCATTTTGTTAAATGTAGATAGAGACTGGTCTCTAATTGATGAATGGCTTGATTTTATGTAGGGCTAAATGAGGATATTTTTTTTTTAAATAAATGAAAACTTTTTCTGTAACTGTAAGAGTATATGATTGTCACATTAAGAATATCAGAAAATGTATTTTTTCTATAGATGAAAGTTCGTATTATTTTATTTAGTATTTTAGTGTGTATAGAAGGATGCATGTAAATTGACACACCTTCAGAACAAAATCAAAATATTTTTTTTTTTTTTTATTAATACCGTTTTGATTTCACATTCCAATCAATGAGATATCGTAACATTCTTTTTATTTCTGAAAATAAATTAACAGTGAAGTAATATCAGACTACAGGATATTTTAAAGTACAACTTAAAACCAAGTACAATTTAAAAAGTATAATTAGTATTGCCTTCCAACTGTGGAACACCAATGTTAGATAACAGAGCCTTGTTAATGTTTATATTGTTATAGTAGAGTAGTATAATTAATTTATTACTGCAGTATGTATGCCTGAGAAATGGCAGTCTTTTTTTTAAGTCTTGTTGGTAACATTTTGCGCATTTTCATTTTAAACCTTGTAATACATTAAATATTTGAAAATGGATAAACAGATATTTGGGTGACATAGGCGGATCCATGCCCCCCCCCCCCCCCCCCCATGACTGTAGCAGGCCCCCTCTTATGGCAGTCAGTGGGCCCCCTCCCCTTATAAAAAGTTCTGGATCTGCCACTGGATGAATATATCAATATACAGCAACCTAAAATACATCTAGAAATCTAAAAATCTTGAAGCAATGTATCACTGACAAGTACATGTATTGGGAATAAATGTCAGAATGCACTATAGATACTTATTTATGATCATGTGCATTTCATGTCTTGTCATGTAGTTAAAATTTCAAATTCTTTCTGTTATATACAGAAACATCTCAGCTTAGACCAAAAAATCAATTTGCTTTATTTTCCCAGTGCCAGCTTTTGATATATTAAGTCTTTGACAATTTCTTAATGACATCTTTTTATTTAAGACTCTGACACTTGATCAATTGTTCTAGACATATAGGATAAAATTATATTGAACACTGGTATTTCAAGAAAATTTGTTTGTCTTGTCAATTGGAAAGATACATACATGTATTAGGAGTAGGCTACAGCTACAAACAAGTTTCAACTATCAAGTATATATTGACCAATTTCATAAGTAAAATTTTGTAGTCTGGAAGAATAAAATGTTTAAAAGTTCATTGACTCCCGAAATGCTTTGATTCATATAAAGACACAGCTTAAAATGGAGATGTGCAATATGTGTAACAGCCATGTTTGTTGTGCATATGTTTTTGTTTTTGTTGGTAGATATTTATATTTTGTTTGAGGAATGTGCTAACATTTTGTAAAACTGTTTAAACATTCTATAAAATTTTGTTTACTAAATTTTATGTGAATGCAAGATGAATTAAAACTGAAATGATTGATTTTAAAACAGATTTATTTTTGTTTGACCTGAAATTTTTTATTGAAGTTCATTTATTATGATTTTTGTCTTGCCTGCCAGAAAAGTCGCAGAACTTGAGACATAGGGTTTACTCTAGAGCTGGCAGTAAAGGCATAAACTATCTGTATAAAGCTTCATATTTCAGAAGGTAGAAGACCTGAAAGCTTCATTCCTTGTATGCAGATACCTTATGTTACAAAGTTTCCTTCTGTCATAGGTCCATTGTCCTTGATCTCATATTCATGATTCAGCAACTGCTTAAAAGAACTGAATATGATTGTAAGGTGTACATATCTGACTGGCTGTTTTCATTTAACCTTGACCTCTATTTCATGTGTCATTGGTCAGTGTTATGATTTGGTGTGTTTATCAGATACTATAAACAATATGTCAACTATTTTTGGTGTATGGAATGAGTGTAAGGTATATAAGTCTGGCTGGCAGGAATCAGATGACCTTGACCTCATATTCATCATCATGGTTCATTGGTTATTATACCCCACGCAACGAGTTGCGGAGGGTATAATGTTTTTGACCCGTCTGTCCGTCAGTCCTATTTCTTGTCATCGCAACTCCTCTCAAACCACACAACAGAATTTCACGAAACCTTTTTAGATGATAAGGACATACTATGTAGTTGTGCATATCGACAGGAAATTACGATTCAATTTTTTTTCTAGGAGTTGCGCCCCTTTGAACTTATTTACTTTAATGTACTACTGCAACCTTTTGTCATCGCAACTCCTCTCAAACCACGCAACAGAATTTCATGAAACCTTTTCAGATAATAAGGACATACAACATAGATGTGCATATCGACAGGAAATTACGATTCAATTTTTTTTCCAGGAGTTGCGCCCCTTTGAACTTATTTGCCCAATATACTACTGCAACCTTTTGTCATCGCAACTCCTCTCAAACCACACAACAGAATTTCATGAAACTGTGTAGGTAATAAGGACATACTATGTAGATGTGCATATTGACAGGAAATTATGATTCAATTTTTTTTTCTGATACAATTTTTTTATCTTACACTTATTTTATTTCTCCAATGACAATGTGGGGTATGTGAGTGCGCTCACTAAGGTTCTTTAATTTGTTAAGTGTTTTAATAGTTTGGTCCTTTTCTCAGATACTTTTTCATTGGTCAGTATTAAGTTTTTAAGAGTTCAGTCTTTTCTATAAGTAATTGGTTTACTATTTTTGGTGTAAGGAATATACAGTGGCAGATCCAAGGGGCTTAGAGAGCATACATCCCCCTTTGATCCTTTAAGTTGCCATTTAAAGGCTTAAACTTCCAGAAGGTGTCAACTCACTATTATGGACATATAAAAATACCACGCTTGACTCCCAGATATTTTCTTAAACCATTGATATATATGCTCAATCACGAGTTTTACGATTTAACATGTATGGAAACAGCTATTAGAATTATAAGTGTTTATATTATATGAAAAGGAGTATAATCAGAAAAGCATTAAGAAAACCTGTAAAAACTAAGACATCAAACCATCAATCCCTGAAAGGAAGGTATTGACTTACATAAAACAAATATTGAATTGAAGGCTGTGTTTGGATATACGCCTAAGGCAGCCTCTGGTTAACCATAGGTACCGTTGGGTACCTATGGTTTGATATTTTATATAACAAAATATCGAACCATGGGTACCCACGGATACCTATTATGCAACCAGAGGCTGCCATAGGCGTAGATCCAAACACAGCCTTTGACTTATCGCGAGATTATGGCTGTGTTTGGATATATGCCTGAGGCGGCCTATGGTTATCCATAGGTACCTTTGGGTACCCATAGTTTGATATTTTATACATCAAAATATTGCTTTTCTGGCTTTGGCGTCATTAATTGTTAAGTTTTCCACTTAAGTTAGTTTGATAGGAACTACTTGTGATAGATCATTGATATTTAATATAAAGTTGCATTACTATCAGTACATATCAGTTTGACGAATATTTTGAGGCCCTGCCCCTCTAGGACATGGTCCAGTGACTGAATTAATTAGCAATTTTCAATGTTAAGTTTTCTGCTTAAGTCAGTTTGATAGGATCTACTTGTGTTAGATCAATATTTTGTATGAAGTCGCAATACTAACATTTCATATCAGTTTGACGACTTTTTGGAGGCCCTGCCCCCTAGAACAACTATATTTTCTATTAAGTTACATTACTGTCTGTACATCTCAGTTTGTCAACCATTTTCAGGCTCTGCCCACTAGATCATGGTCCAGTGACTGAATTAATAAGCAATGTTGCTGTCCATCAGATTGTCTTTTTCTGAATTTATGCCGATAGGTGACACATATCTCTTGTGTCAACAGTTTACAGGGGCGGATCCAGCCATTTATAAAAGGGGGGGGGGGGTGTTCCTATCCCAGGATAAAGGGGTGGTTCCAACTATATGTCCCCATTCAAATGCATTGATTGTCAAAAAAAAAGGGGGGTTCCAATCCCGAACCCCCCACCCCCCTGGATCCGCCACTGGTTTATTAAGATAATAGACAACAAAAAATTAGCTGTCAAATTGACAGCAAACCTGGTTTTCTTTATTTTAAAGTTAACCATTAATATTGTTGAACTTAACAGGTGAGCTAGTAAAAGATAAATTGATGTATTCAAATGTAGGGTGCTTTCAGGCTTGTTTGACCTGCCAGTTTTTGTGCCTATTTTCCAATCCATCAAGGATCATATGACCTGAACAGTAAAAGTGAAAATAATCAATTTCACAATTGACCTCCATTAGGCATTTTGTCATCAGTAACAACATTTTAAAATTTTGAAAAGCATTGGTTGAACTGTTCATAAGTTATTGCACAGAAAATGTTGGCAGCCCTGCACACATCACCATTTTAATTACCAAATTTTTACTTTGGAAATCCTTTTTGTAAGGGGTTCTGCAGAAACCTGTCTCTTGCGTGCGATTGCTGCTCAGGCAGTGTAAAAGTGTAATGTTGACTTAAACTAGAGGCTCTCAAGAGCTTGTGTCACTCACCTGTATCTACTGTGGTTTTGGAAATCATGTAAAATAAGGTTAAAATCATAATAAATAGTATTAGATACCCTAATAATGATTAAGGCCAAGTTTGGTTTAATTCGGCCCAGTAGTTAAATTTAAAGCAGGTCATCCCTTGGTAGTCTTACAATAGTTACTGAAGACCCCTTATCATTATTTAAATAAGTTTTCAAGTTGTGACCATTTTGAATTGTTTTTTTACAATTTTCCCATAGACTTCTATAGTAAACCCCTATGTTCTATTTTTAGCCATGGTGGCCATGTTGGTTGGATGACAGGGTCATCAGATACATTTTTCAATCAAGATACCCTATTGAAAATTGTGGCTTTGTTTAATTCTATTTGGCCCAGTAGATTAAGTGGAGAAGATTTTTATAAAAGATTACAAAAATTTACGAAAAACTGATTTAAAGGGCAATAACTCCTTGTGGGTCAATTGACAATTTTGGTCATGTTTGACTTATTTGTAGATCTTACTTTGCAGAACAATTTTGCTGTTTACAGTTTATCTCTATCTATAATAATATTCAAGATAATAACCAATAACTGCAAAATGTCCTTAAAATGATCAATTCAGGGGGCAACAACCCAACAACGGGTTGTCTGATGTGTCTGAAAATTTCAAGGCAGATAGATTTTGAGCTGATGAACATTTTTACCTTGTCAGATTTGCTCTAAAAGCTTTGGTTTCAGAGATATAAGCCAAAAACTGCATTTTACCCCATGTTCTATTTTTAGCCATGGTGGTCATCTTGGTTGATAGGAGGGGTAATCGGATACATTTTTTAAACTAGATACCCTAAGGATGATTTAGGCCAAGTTTGGTTTTATTTGTTCAAGTAGTTTCAGAGGAGAAGATTTTTGTAAAAGTTAATGGACGAAGACGGACGACGGATGCCAAGTGATAAGAAAAGCTCACTTTGCCCTTTTGGGCCAGGTGAGCTAAAAATGAGTTCAATTATCAGTAAAATACAGAACTTAAATAAAATTCAAACTTTTTCTTGAGATGCTATTTCATGGTCTTGAAGGTTAGCTTCTGTCCAAGTTCATAACAATCCATGAAGGTTTACCAATAAAAGTTTAATTC